GCTAAGGGCATTCAGATGATTGTAGACATCTGTTTCTCTAGCTCCCTCGGCAGAATAAGCAACACAGCAGAGGTGATGAGGGTACTGTGAGAGGAATCGAGAAGCAACACAGCTAAGGTTGCATTGTCACCGGGCAAGCCCGACCAACTTGCAGTTGGCACACGCCTGTTGTTGCATTAGGCAAAGTAGCCATTTGAGTGCCTCTCCTCTGAAGCCTGTGTCCAGATTCTGGCTAGACTTGGCGATTGGTCATGTTCTGCAATCCTGGGATGTCTGGCGAAAGCTAGTGAAGAACGGTAGAAAGTTTCATCTTTCATCTCTTCGTCAATGAGATCTCCAGTCCCCCTTGCAAAGAGCATATCGGGGAGAGAAATCCTATATCAGATGGGCCAATGCCCCCCGCTAATTTATCTTGTTCGTGTGTTGCGGTGCTACCACTGTTGTATGTGTCTGATGGGCGGTATGGCTGGCGATTATAAGCGTCGTCGTCACTGGAACTACTTGAATCATAACCGTCAGGTGTCTCCTGTGATGTCTAGATCGGCGTGTGCGAGACCTCTGTCTCGGAGAACGACGCCGAGAGCTTCTTGACCGATCATTTTGAGCGCGGAGCTGAGCAAGTATTGCTAAGTGTCTGGCGAGCCCTAGCACACCGGCCAACTGAGCGAAGCACAGTATGATGGTACTTCGTAACTGTACTTCCCACCTGCCCGAGAATAGCTCAAGTATGCAGGGAGCACACCTGTTGCGCGGTATGCAGGAGCTTGGAGACACCGGTAGCAATAATGGGCCGGAGGAAGAGAATCAGGCGCAGGAGGAGGCGGCAGGACGACAGCAAAGGCATAGCCTGTGGAGATGTTGGTAATGCACGGTTGGACCAACCACAAGCCCTACCTGAAGCTGTGCGCCGTCTATTTATGTTTGATAACTGATCTCGCTCATCCCGGACACGTCCAGAACCTCGCTATCCGAAAATGGCAATCGAGCAAGACCGGATTCGGCAGAGGGATATGCTCGGCTCCCTCGCCCTTCGTGAGCGTCACATGCCATCGTTGAGAAGCCCCCTTTGACTCCAGGAACGCCAACGCCGGTAAGGCTTCAGCTTGTATCTGTGAGGTACATCCTATGCAGAGGGACTTTCTCAGAATGTGCGAACTGTGATAGCCAGTCTAAATAATACACACCGTTGCCTTGCAGGGTAGTTTCCGATAAAACTGTTCATCGGGGTGTCCATGCAACTCCAATCGGTTCAGATGCATGTGACGACGCCTTTAGGAATCTTCCAAACTGAGCGTCAGCTCCGCAAGTATTTAGTGCTAAGAACATAAGTCAATGGAGATACCAATATGTGGATTGAATTCCTCACCGAGCTTACTGGTGATAGCGGTAATTTCTAGAACCTCTGCGCACTTGAAACTTAATCTGAATAGAATTGCCCGTGCTGGCAGTTGTAAGAAGTTGACTCCGTTGTCATGAGCCGGCCTTTCCCCATTCGCCTGGCTTCGATAATTCGACCCTGAAGAACGGCGTCATGGATAAGACGCCATCGGCCTCTGCTCCAGCAGGCAACATCAAAGTGCAGACGATATATTGCACTAGATATCGTCCATGATGAGAATTTGGCTCTGTACGTAGCTTCCGCTGTTGCAAAAGACCATTGGGCATAACTTAAAGTATTCTTGTCCACGGTGCGAAACCACAGCGACATGCTTGTAGGCTGATGGGTGTGTTCTCCATTGGTAGAAAAACTGTGTGGCAAGGAGAAGCACAAGGATGAAGTGTGCATTAACGTGGATGGCGGGCAGCACAGCGACAGCAACCATGGTGACTGCAGCAGGAGCCGGCTATTGTAACATGTTAGCTTTCATTCAGAGGAACGCTGCCTATAGGTATACTCGCCAGATGGTGATGATGGCTATGGTGGTGATGGAAGACCACCGAATTATTGCAGGCTGTCATGACCGACAGAGTCCAACCGGCTGGGCACAGTAATGGCATCTTGTCCTCTCGGAAAACGAACCTTCACAGGGTTTGCCTGGAAGAGTCTGGCTGGAGGTGACTGCCTGCGCCTCTAGAAGGGATTTTCCGACTTAGTTCCTCCATGTCTGAACGTAGCCCCACAAGTACACCAGAAACGAAGTATCAGAACGCCCCATAACTAGTTCCTAACTAGTTGGCAAACTTGTTCGATATCCCCTGCTAAAGAAGGAACCATGAGAAACGCCAGCCTGATCAAGTCGCAGTGTATATCTGCCAGACCCGCCCCGATTATGTTCCATTTGTTGCAGTGATGTCTGGTAAATTTGGCTTGCGAGTGGCAGGAAGGGCTTGCTGTATATAACTTTAGCCAGGAACCACGGAATGTTGCTCCTTAGATCGTCGAGATCCTCCACATCATCTAGGACCCAGCCTATCTCCTCGACCATGACAAAATTCCGACACATCTTCGCACCCTCGGCGTAGTAGCTTGCCAGGCCAAAGGGACTATTCACAGCTCGCATCCCTTTTCGACAGGAGTAGCCAGGAGAAATGCTTGCTTAACCAGGTAGCTCCGCTATAGAGCTGCTGCATGAATTGGACAATGTGCTTTGGCTTGGGTTTAAGCAAAGCTTTCTTGGACTTCGTAACCCGTAATGGTTTTGGAAGAGACAGAAACACAGCCGTGTGGCAGGTGCGGAGATGGAACTGTCATATCATGGCAGCGAGATGTCAATCCTGTTCCCCGTTGTCCTGCAGCCGCGAATGAGTGATTTCATCCTTTTATTGTATACCGGGCCAAGTGTGGCATCTGGACGAGAACGCTTTTTTGAGAGACTTTGAAAGAGAACGCTGTATGAGATTTTCCCGGCTGGATAATATGGGCATACGGCGATGAATGACTGACAGGGAAAGAAGAAGATCCTTTGGTGGTGAGAAGTTAAAAGTTATATACGAGGTGTCGACATACAATAGACCGGAAGAATCACAGGGAATGGCCTGCGCTATTATTTGGAATAAGTGAATGCAGCAGCTTTTCGATGGGTATATTGCTGGAATTCACCTTAAATGAGCAGAGAGAGTGAATACTCTCGACCAGAAGCAGTGGGCAGAGATGCGGGGGTATAATTGAAATGATATATAGACTGTAGTATTAGGGAAAGATGGAAGAGTCTGCAGGGGAAGCCTGCTTAAATAATATTAGAGAACAAAGGGCCTAACCAGAAAGCCTGGTCATGTTTCTGTAGCTATTTGTTTGCTACGGACTTTCCATTATAGACAGGTTTCCCACTACATGAATATGAGACAGTGCCATGTACAAGACAAATGGCAAGCCTGCTCTATCGGACAGATCAGATCTCCCTCAAACTAGGACAGGCAAAGATACATACCTCGATCATTCGTTCCTTACACAACACCCTGAATAACAATAGTTATTTCCTTGATGTGCTTAAAAAATGTGAAACAAGGAAGACTAAGTGCGGTTCTCTGTCTGAGTCCCAGCGGCTATCGCTCCCCGCTCCCCATGGAGAAGTCATTCGACTCAGGACTGTTTTGGATCTATCTTGCTTTACGGCACAGCTCTATGTTTGATGAAATTTATTGAAAGTACATTGACCAAATGTTTTTCGGCTTGTTTACAACAATGGAAGATCGACTTTGTCTGTTGACCGCAGAAGAGCAGGACCATATGGATATTATTTTGAGGGAGAAGATGAAGCAGGTAAGTGAGGGCGACTTGGATTCTCATTACAGCATTGACGAACTAGTTGAACTATAAGAATCTCGTTTCGCTTAGGGGCATAAACTGCTTATACTAGGTTAAGGGATATGCTATTCCATAACTTGAATTCGCCTAGTCTATAGGGCTCAATTAGTGAGAAATTAATATCAAAGGTGCTATGGTCTAGGGGTAGGACGCCACGTTGTGGCCGTGTCAGCCCCGGTTCGATTCCGGGTAGCGCCAATATCTTTTTTCCCCTTTTTCAACGTCACAGCATTATATTTTTCATTCAATATGCATCTTTTTGATGATGGGCAGCGAGTTTAGTTGAAAGACAGTCAACAATGAGAGTATTTGTTAGATAATATATATTCGCTGTACTTTGCAATGCATAGGGAGATGCAAGGATCTATAAGGTGATGGCTGGCATTGGATATAAGCTGATTCTCAGGGAAGCTGTTGGTGATACTGAGGAAGAAGAGTGGAGAAGAAAAGGATATACCATTTCTTGACTCAGGGAAGAAAAAAAGGTGGATCGTTAAATCCTTGGATGGAAATAATAAGTGTTTAGCTGTTTCACTAGGAACAGGTATTACTATATGAGATTGATAATGTTAAAGAACGGACTGAATGTTTTCGTCCTAGTTCTTACTGCATCGGTCATGTAACATTGGCTGTAAAATGTTGTTATCGACTACTGGAAGTAGCCAGTATCCCTCTTAAGTTCAGGTCGCTTGTCTTCAATATAACAATAGCTTTAACCTGGATCTACTAACCCAGCCCCCATAAAGGTGCTTGTTTAGAAGCCATCATGGGGCACCTTCCTGAGACTAATCAATATTCAACAATGTATGGACACCTTATAAGAGCATACCGAATTCAACACAAACATATCGGGTTGAGAAGCTAAATGCCGCACTCAGATCCCCTAAGAATTCTGGACGCAAGTATTCTCATCTCTCAACTGCGGCGCAGGACCCTAACGAAGACTAGGCAAGGTTAGCAAGACTAGCTATCTCCGAGTTAATACTAGCTTTGTATGGTTTCCTACCTTGGACCAATCAAGCTTCAGTGATTTACTAATGCACTCTTGATATAAGTGAATTTGGCGACGTGTGTTGAACTAATGGACAAGGATCCCAGTGTCAAGATAAGCCTAAGGAGAGGGGAATTCACAAATTCACCCCCTTTTCCTCCCCGGTCTCTCTGGGCGAAAATTTTGTGTCTTTAGGATCTGTCCTGCGCACTGTGACGTGCTCAAATAGGGAGCATCCTGGTATGCATAAGAATGCAGCCCACTATGGTCGCTGGATTGGATGACAACGCAGACGTGTTTGTGAACTTATGGCGAAGACTAAAAGGCCTTCTTGGATCTTCACCACAGAAGGAACGTACGCTGCAGGGAGAGGGTGATAATGTGGATAGCGTCACAGAACGCTGGAGACTGCTCACTCAATACCAAGCAGATATACCCCACTGCTCGGTCAGTGTTATAGCCACCTCATTTGTATTTAAATACTGAACAGTTTTCCTCTCCAGCTAAGTTGCATCTACGAACTGGTGTTGGAGTATAATTGTCCTCACACCGACTTTGCTTGCATCTGTACGAGGCTTGAGGTGATCACTCAGGATGTGAAATTCAGATCCTGCTATGACCAGTGTCCTATCAATCCTGATCAGCGATGTAGGTTATACCAACACAATCAAGCTTTGACATGGTTTGTCTTAACGATATGAGCTAGGGACGCCGGGACGGTTGCTTGATTTCTGCGACTTAGTAGGGGTTCAGCCGACCCTTCCGGACTACATGAGCCAATACACCGAATTACATAGGAGGCAACCTGTCGCAGAAAGGGCTTTCTCCTGGGAGTCGGGGGCGACTGGCCGGGTGAGCGCCCTTACAGTATCTGGTACTGGAACTGCGATCCACGCGTCGACTTCAGATGCAGAGGTTTTCTCCACGATGACAGTTACACCTTCCTGGGTCGGGGCCACACAAACAGTTCTAATAACCACAACAGCGACAGGATTCTCCACAAGTCAGACCTCCAGTGTTGAACCGGTGGATCCGAGCCTCCAATCGACCGGTCTCTCAACGGGAGCAAAAGCGGGGATTGGCGTAGCGATACCCTTGGCAGTGATTTGCATAGCTTCTATCCTGCTATGGTACATACGACGCAAAAAGAGAAATGGTGGAGATGGCGGGGGACATGATAGAACCCAACTGCCGACAACTGTATCACCAACTTCACCCGTCGTCAATAACTTACCTTGCGAGAAAGACGGAAACGCTATCAGTGAATTAGATGGCCAGCAGAAATCGGAGACTGACGCAAAGATCAAGACGCCCGTTTTCGAGCTGGATGCGAACCTGACCATTTCTGAAAAGGAGTCAGGAGAGCAAAAACAAGTGGTTATTCACTGACGGCTGTCCAAGCCTTCCCACGACCTTGCTCTATCAAGAAGAGATGAGCGGATCAGCGAATATGTCTGGGTTCGATATCCCTGTAGAGTCCCAAGAAGGAATTCCGTCTTGGGCCTACGAAGGAATGTTACTTGTGAATCTAGAAGAAGAATTAGCTCGCGTAGCAAGAAGAAAAGAAACACTTCAGCATTTCGAGTCGCTTAAGAACAGGCCAGGAAGCCTTGAGGCTATCCCGAACTAGCTACTGCTCAAATATCAGAGAGACGGCTGAAATATTGCCCTCCGCTTGGTCACTATTTACTAACTCTTCATGCAATCAATTAGAAGCATTTGCAAACTTCAAGCGCCAATTCACTTTTTATTTTCTTATGGCAAATACATGCTTCGTATCTCTCCTTTTATTTTTTCTTTTTGACCAGAAGGATTCCCATCTGAAAGACAGACAAGCTACATCGTGCTCGCTCGGACTCTACTGGAAGAGATAGTACATGCTCAGGGCCTTCGACCCTCCACAGACCTCAGTTGAATCCCCAGCACAGGGCGTTGCACAGCTCGACGTAAGCACACCACCATTATCAAATGAGTTCCCACAGAAGCACTACGTGCCAAACTCCATGCCCGCATACAGATACCCCTCCCGCCTGGCACTTCTCCACCGTGTTCCCGGCAATGTTATACGAGACAGCCAGCGTGCGCGCCTTGGTCGAGTCGGAGTAGCAGCCCAGACTCTGCCAGATCGGCACAACGACATACAAACTGAGCGCGCTGAAGCCGCTACAAACCTGCAATCCATCCGCCGGACAAGCAATGTTACACTGCGACGCGGGGACAGAGGCCGCGTTGTTCATTATCGCCGTGCCGCAGAAGCATTGCGTTCCGAACTCCATGCCTGCGTAGGTGAAGCCGGCCTGGGCGCAGGCGGCCTGGTAGGTTTGCACCGTGTTGCCGGAGACGAGAATGGAGGTTTTCAGGGTGCGGTGGTTGGTGTCGTCCGAGTAGCAGCCGAGGGAGCGCCAGCGGAGGGTCGTGTCGATGCCGCAGAGATAGCAGTATACAGAACAGGCTCATTCGACTGGACCACGGCCGACCCTCGAAACTTTTTTGTCGACTAGCAAGGCCTCCACATCGTTCCAACTCTAACTCTCGAAGATACAGATATCACACCGCCACAGCTCGTGGATGGGTGTGTCGCAGCCTCTTCTTGCTCGCGTTCTCTCACTGACGTCTGATAGGTACATGCTCAACTTGACCACAGACGGCAGCTGCACCACAACGGACCAACGCCTTTCCAATCAACCACCATCTCCTAGTGCGCAATCCGCAGCAACGTGACCGCAGGACAAATTATCAACCCCGTCCGCTCGGCTCGACTAACCACCGCCGGGAAGAAGACTATCAAATATGGCCGGGTTGAGGTGGTCACTAAACTCCCGACGGGCGATTGGCTGTGGCCCGCCATCTGGTATGTCCGCCACCTGCCACGCATCAGCACTAGGACTAGGACTAGAGCTAAACTTTATAAGATGATGCCTCGAGACTCAGTATACGGTCCTTGGCCCTCCAGCGGGGAGATTGACATTGCGGAAAGCCGCGGGAACGACGCGGAGAGGTATCCGTCGGGACGCAACATCATCAGCTCGTCGATGCACTGGGGCACGACATACGATAAAGATGCGTATCTGCTCAGCATGGGGGAGTGGGGATCCAAGCGCACCAAGTACTCGGATGGGCTTCATACGTTTGGGCTGGAGTGGTCAGAGAAGTATCTGTTTACCTGGCTGGACGGGCGACTTCGCGTAAGTGGATTTGGGAATAATGGTGAAGGTCGTGAATTGAATCCAATTAAGGGTATCATGGGAATCTTAGCGCTGTACACAGGATGACTCAAACAGCTATTACCAAGTGACCAACCGATCCGATCCAGAAGCAGAGCAAACGTATTGGTAATGGCAGCCAGAGGAGCAATGACCTATGAAAGCGCAGCTACAGGTTGCCTATCTCCGAAAATACATTCTACCGGCCACCGAATCCAGCTCCGGTGCTCCTCTGGCAGCGAAGCCTGAATCCCCGCCAGAACATGCTCATGCCACCCCGTCATCAGCCACGAGGACTGCATGTACTTGAGCAGAATAGCCCAGTAGGCCAGGACAGCCAGCGCAAGCGGATCCTTCGCCTCCAACCAGCCAACAAACCCTTCCCGAAGCCGATACAACCACCCAATAACCAGATGCATCAGATTCACCCCATGCTTCCCGGCCCCTCTCATCCGATACACCTCATCAAACGTCTCTTGCAGAGCGTTCAGAGCAGAATCATACATCTCTTTGATTACTTCGTCATCCGTCTCCGCACGGATCAACAGCTGGACCTCCCGAATCCGGCCCTTATGCCTTTCCAGCTCCTCCGCCAGCTCCTCGCTAACCTGAGCCTCCCCCTCCAGCTCCTCAGGCGCCAATACCCCCGAAAAGATCTCCGCATGCCTCGACTCCAGAATCGACTTCACCCCGCGCATGAGAACAAGCCACTCCGCCTGCCCTGTCTCGCTGAAAACGAGGAACTCGCCTGCGCGCGGACCATGGCCGAAGTATACGAGGCAGATCAGCACGGCGGAGATGTAGATGTACTGGCAGTTGTCCTCGTTCAGGCTGGCCAGCACGGTGGTCACGGAGCGGACGCCAAAGGTGAAGTGGGCGTCTGCTTGGTCCAGGTACTGGGCGCGCAGAGGCGGGTGCTGCTGCGCCAGGTGGAGGGCGGAGAACGCGAGGATGAGATGCAGGATGGAGGGGAAGGTGAAGCCCCATTGTGGGACGTGGATGTCCCAGACGTGTTTGCGGTCCTGGCCGTCTGTGACTGTACTGGCGGTGGAGGTGACGTAGTGATGGAAGAGGTGCAGGTCTGCTAGGGAGATGCTCTCCAGAGGGGGAGGGGGAGTCGGTCCCGGACTCAATGACTGTATGCTGGTGTCTGTGGTCGGTGAGTCTCTCTGGATTTCGTATTTGGACTGTCTGAAGCGATACTGTCGACGCGGTGGTCGAGACGGTGCAGCTGATTCAGTGGCATAATCACAGATGACTGCGTGCTGGCGACAATTGGTGCAGGTCGGCTTCTTCTCATCGCACTGCTTGCACGTCAGCTTTTTGGCCATAGTTGTAGAAGTTGAGCTGAATTCAAAAACGTGGCAATGGCAGCTTGAAAGAAGTCACCACTCACCTTGACTCGTCGCTTTTTACAGGTCTTACAGCCTAGTCTGGATTTCTGATGGGTTCTACGCGCGCGAATCCGACGGGCTTGCCCAGTTTCCATGCTGCAGGCGGTGATACAGAAGGATGATATGGAAGAATACTTCGTATTCGTTTGCCTTTGGCCACTTTAGGCAGCAGAAAATTTAGCCGAGATACGATGAATCCGAATTCTCCTCTAAGACAGAACAGCAGTCGATCATAAACTAGATCTGGACACCGTCGCAAATATGTCAGTTAGATTTCAATAGGTTAATGGTGCTGGTCAATAGGGACGAAAAGGGGCAAAAAGGAAACAAGGAAAAAAAAGGGAAAAAATTGAAATGATGCGTTAGCTGGGAGTCGAACCCAGATCTATTGCTTGGAAGGCAATAATGCTAACCGCTACACCACTAACGCTATGGATGAAAACCTATCACAATTAATGATACATGTTAGAGAGTCAAACAACCTGACGATTGCCAAATACCATTGCGACTACTACATACAAATGATATAATTATACTCAATTAGTCAAGACATAATCCGTTTTACAGCCTACAGAATTGAAGGCCGGCTTTCTGCATGAGGGATGAACAGCATCAGCAAAGTCGTGGAGACCGCAATCGACCAGAAGCTGCGTGAAGAGATTGCCAATGCAATCTCCCAACCAGTGACAGCGAAAGTGCTTACAATGACAAGGCTACAAGCAATTCTTGCTAAATTTAGTTTGCTCTGCGGCTGTTTGGGTCCCATGTTGAAAGTTTCAGGACAAGCTCAAAAGACCCACTCGTACTCGTTCAAAAATTTCCCAAAAGGGTAATTTGATCTACCTTCTGTAGACAGCAGCGCAGTATATGAGACGGTCATGGTCGTCGTAGCTCTTTTCTCCTGATCAATTTCAATTCTCACAATCAAGGCAACATGGACTTTACATTCCACAACGGGACCAATGGCTCGTCGCCATGGGTCGAATTCTACCCCTACACCCCCTCCGCCTCAGCAGGATATGCCTTTATGTCCATCTTCGGCATCGCAACAGTCGTGCACATTATCCTCATGTTCCCTTACCGCGCGGCCTACTTCATCCCGCTCATCCTAGGAGGAATCTGTACGTCCCCGTCCCCATCCTTCAATGCCATCACTAACCACCCCTAACCTAGGCGAAACCTTCGGCTACTACGGCCGCGCATGGTCCCACGACGAAGGCAGAACCGCAATCGGCCCCTGGGCGCTGCAGGAGATGCTCATCCTCTGTGCACCTCCCTTCATCGCCGCAAGCATCTACATGGTCCTCGGGCGGATCATCCGCGCCTTCAGCGCAGAGCACCACTCCGCCATCCGCACAAAGTGGCTGACAACTATCTTCGTTCTCAACGACGTCATCTGCTTCCTGACGCAGCTTGCCGGCGCAGGGGTGCAGATTACCGGTGACCCGCACGTCATGGCGATCGGCAAGAAGGCCGTCCTGGCGGGGTTGATCTTTGCGCTGGTGGTCTTTGGGGTGTTTGTTTGGGTGGCGGCGGTGTTTCATCGGAAGTTGGATGCAGAGCCGACGGCTGTGGTGAGGGAGTGTCCGCGGTTGGGGTGGAAGAAGTACATGTGGGCGATTTATGTCTCGTGTGGGATGTTGATGGTGAGGAATTTGGTGAGGACGATTCAGTTTGGGTCGCCGAAGGGGTCACCTTTGAGTACGGAGGAGGCGTATATATATGTTTTTGATGCGGCCTTGATGCTTGGTTCGATTGGGGTGTTGGTTGTTTGGCATCCGGGGAGGTTGGTGCGGAGGGCTCAGAAGGCGACCAAGGCGAGTCAGATGTGTGTGCAGATGGAGGATGCGCCTGATATCCCGTTGACGGGATATAGAGAGGTTTAGTCAAATGCAACCGTGGACGGACTCTTGTATATACCAGCAGAAACTGCTTCAATATGGACTTGTTTAGATGAATGAACTCGAAGTCATGAATTCAACGCTATGGATATCTCTATATACGCTCTAGGTTAAACATGCAAACCGTCTACTTTCCAAAAACCTTGTAGCGGTCCTCAATGGGCTGGAAGGTCTTCTCGCCAGGGTCGCTGGCAGGAGTACCAAAGACGAGCTGGGCATCCAGCTTCCACGAGGCAGGGATGTTCCAGGTCTTCTGCACCTGCTCGTCGATCAGAGGGCTGTAGTGCTGGAGATTGGCACCGAAGCCTTCGGAGCAGAGGGCAGTCCAGACTATTCAGTGTTAGTTACATGCCGCCTCTTTGAATTTTTAGGAACAAAACCTACCGAGGTACTGCGACATGGCATTAGACTCAAGAGCAAAAGGATCGAACTTGTCAGCGTAGATGGCAAACTGCTCCTTGATAGCAGCGAGAGAGTCGTAGTCAACGAAGAAGAGAACCTAGACCGTCAGTACGGAACCGTCATCAAAGGGAGAAATCAACCTACAGTTCCATAGCCCGCGCGGAAGGCGTTCAGCTTGGGCTTGGTGTGGGTCTCATACATCTCCTTGGGGACCTTGCCGGCAGCCACGAGGCCCTCCATAATGGTGATGGCAATGTCCCAGAGCTTCTGGTGCTCCTCCTTAAGCAGGAGGACCACACGGGAAGTCTGAGTGTTGAAGGAGCTGGGGACATGCAGGACGGCATCCTGGACGATGCGCTCAATGGCCTCGTCCGAGATGGGGCTCTCAGCCTTGAGGCCGTAGTATGTGCGCCGGGCCTTGACCAGCTCCAGCAGAGTGGTGGTGGCGGGGTTCTTGAATTCAGGTTGAGTTGAGCCCATTTTGTTGTATGCGACTTAGGGTTTGGTGAAGAGGTCAATACTGATCAGATGGTGATTGATTTCTTTATCTGTATGGAGCAGAAGAGAGGGTATTTATATTCCCCACCACACACGGCGCCATCATTTTTCTACACACTTCCACCTGTGGAGACTCCCGGTGCGCATCTAAGGAAAATGGGTCAAAATGTCGACCTAAAAATTGTCCTCTGGGTTTCCGCCATCACTGGCCAATTAGCCTGCATATCCATACTTCCGACTATGGGCGTTTTAATTTATAAGCGGATATACGGAGAACCATTAGTGAGACTACCACCATAGATCCATCATACCCCACTGCGGAACTTACCAACAGTGCTGACCAAGTGCTTATAAATGCAGACTTCCCTAGAACGGTAGATTATGAAGTGTATTACCATGTCATATTACTTTGGTCATCTGTGTCCCTTGACTTAAGCCAAAAATAAGCACTAGTAGTCTGACACTGATACATAAGCATAAGCACAACAATACTTGGCTACTGACTAATTCAACTGTATAGAAAATGCCTCATTTGATTTTCACGAAAACAAGCTACAGCAAGCAGCACCTAAGCACCGAGGGAATGACCTTCAGTTGGACTACACAGGAGAATGAGGCGGAGAATGAGGCTTCAATCCTGTCAACCATCCCAAACTAAAACGGCGTCTAGACAACCACCTAGCGTACCGAGTAGAGGAGATAGTAATGTAACAATTTGTTTCACGGATTGCATCAATACTCGTGTTCGTTCCTCGGACATGGGCCCATTTTTCGTATGGGACAAATGACAGCTGTGTCATATAGAAGGTGCTTTTGCACTACGGCAGCCGCCTGGTCAATGGCTAAAGCCATCCACTTGGATGGGGCCAGGGCCGTCGTGTTGTCCTCCAAGGGAAGGAAATGACTATAAAAGAATAAGAAAGTAGGGAAAAAAAAGAATAAGACGTGGTGCTGCCCGGAATCGAACCGGGGCTGGCACGGCCACAACGTGACGTCCTACCACTAGACCACAGCACCGGATTTTTGATTTTGCGTATCTTTTATGCTACATAAGCAACCTCTATTCATAACTTGTCAACGGGTACAAATTAGGTCAGTATATTTCGGGCCTTTTCTACTGATGGAAAAGTGGTGCTTCGTCGATTATGGATCTTAGGCTATTGGATTTCATTGTACTAAATTATTCTTGATGTTGCGTTATTATAGTCCTCCAATATACACTACCCTGCGAACCAATATATATACTCTGGAAAGAGACCCACCTTTTCAGCAGAGCAAAGACGATATGAGATAAGAAGGCGACTGTCAGGAGCGCAACGACAGTACTGTCTGCATCGAGATGCCAAGATGCGATAATTGAGTTGATCAGGTTTTCAATAAGTGGGTGGCCAACGTTTTATACGCCCTGACACCTTCCAGCAGTTCGTCAATCTCAATCTGCTCGTTTTCTCCATGGGCCACCAGGATTGAACCAGGACCGTATAGGTACTTTTTATGATCTCCCTTGAATCGAGGAACATCTGTTCCATATGACACTGGTGCTGTTTCGAACCCTGTAATCTGTCAGCAGGATCAGGAGAAAGGTATGGGTCAACAACCTTCGACATCATGATCAAGCAACGTCTCCGGATATTCGAACTTGAATTCCAGTCTGACGTGTGGATGCTTCGCAACGACCTCCGACACGATTCTCTTACACTTGGCCATATCAGTCGCCACACGGACAGCGCATAGTGCCGTGCTGGAAGCCGGGACGATGTTATAGCTCACTCCTCCTTCAATTTTGCCAATGTTGAAGGTCGACGGACCCAGCAGCGACGACTCGGGGAATTTAGTGCACAAGAACTCATTCAGGACTTCGACCAGAGCGGCATTGGCGTTGATGCCATGATGGGGGTATCCGGAATGACTGCACCATTAGCCTCAGTAGATATACAGTGTATCAAAAGCAGACCTACCACGCCTTCCCCTCGCCAACCAACTCAAACACCAAATGTCCCTTATGCCCAACAACCAATTTCCCCTCGGTCGGCTCCGCAAACACCACACCCTCAAACTTCAAATCATGATCATTCGCCGCAATCATCCCAGGACCTCCCTTCTCCTCGCCCACAACAAACAACAAACCAACATCACCTTCCTTGACCGCCCCCTCCGCACGCAGCTCCTCAAGCGCACAGATCTGCGCAGCCATGGGACCCTTATCGTCGCAGGCGCCGCGGCCGTAGATGGTCGACCCTTCAACGCGTAGCGGGATATGCGGCGGGACGGTGTCCATGTGCGCGGTGAGACAGGCTCTTACCCTGCGCGAGGAGCCTAGGTACGCGTAGACATTTTCGCGGGTTGAGCCTGGGGCGATGGGGATGCGCTCGACGGTGTAGCCCAGGGTGGAGAGGTGGTTGTCGAGCCAGCGGGCGATGTCTTGTTCGTGGTCGCTGGTGCTGGGGACCTGGATGAGGGATTTGAGGAGGGTTACCACTGGAGCTTCGGACATTTCTTATCTATCTCTGTAATTGATGTTCGACTGAGTGAGTGTTGTGTCAGTCATAGTGGGCAGTCGATAGAGGTTGGTGCGGGGAGAACGTTGTGTGCGGGGAGATTTCGTCATTGCATATGACATGCTCAGGATTAACACATTAATTCAACAAGATACGATAAAGGCATGCAGGAAAGAATCAGGACACCGTTGGACATTACGTTGTCGGTGGTAAGTAACAGAAGAAGGAAAAGATGGACACTCGTGGCTGAAACGCGCATTATGCTTGGTGGATTGCTCACTGCTGTAGCCTGTTAATTTACCCCGCCACTATTGCTGATCTCTGTATTTATTATCTGGCTTCACGACCCTTCCGGGCAAATAAACAAGATCAATTGTACAGTTCTCCTCATGGCGTCTCTTTCTCTTGAATCTCGAGCTCAACCCGATTCTCCTGAGCATCGTATCTTCAACATCCTCAATGACTATCTTCAGCCGTCTAGCACAACCCCTCCCCGCGAGGCCGCGCAAGCTATCCACGCCTTGACTCCAAAGACGGGTTCAACACCAGAAGAAAACTCTGAGTTGGAGGACTTCCTCTGGTACACATGGGGAACTATCATCAAAGTCGCCAAACAGATTCCTCACAATCACCCCTCGCAAGACCGACTGGTCGACTTGATCCACGCTCTGACCGAGCTACCGCCAACAACGGTGTCAATCTGGGGTGTAAGTGTCTTCTTCTTCTTCTGAAGCAAAATATACTGACAATCCAGTCCGAAAATTACCTATGGAAAGACCTGCCCATGCTCGGGCCAAGCCTGAGAGAATCCTGGGATCGTACGTACCCCTGTCTGATAATTGTGCTACATCGCTAACTGTCCAAGCACCTGCGTATACAAAACCCGACGACCAGGAGGTTACCGAATGGATTAACCTACAAGCATTCACCGCGCGGCTGATGAGCAAATGCGACCCATCGCTTTCTCTCCTTGGCGTCTGGAGTCTGCGGTCGGGATTGGAAGAGGAGCTATCGGACAACGAACTCGAAGGAGAAGTCGCCGCAGCAGCGATGTGGATGGTGTACGGTAGTGAGAACTTGTTCAGTCAACTGGCAGACGCGGTGGAAGACGAGGAGAAGGAGCGCTTGATGAAGCCTGGGACGCTGTATAGCGGACAGGGGCAGTTGAGCCCAGAGCGGTGGCAGTTCTGGAAGCAGCGATTTGGGGAGATGAGCCAGCAAATCCAAGTCAGTTATGAGACAACGGGGGTGATTCGGTTGGCCGGGGAGAAGATGGAGAGCGTTGAGCAGTAGGCTTTAAGAGTGGTAGTAGGTGGCGTCCATGTCAGCACTGGCTCTAGACTCTGGGATAAGCAGAAATATATTCATTATCAATCCAGCTCAAGCCTGTACTCGTTTCTCAGTCCAATGGCATACAAGTGTCATGAGTGAGACGAAAATTCCATCAGATACTCTAGAAACTATCTATAAAAGAGAGGTACTGCTTACACAATGTGACAGGGGACGCATGATGTAATCGCGGAAATTCCCCGCTGTGGGCTTCATCGCGGAAATACGGATTAGAAATTTTCTGATTATCTCACATCATCTCTTCATCTTTTCCGCATATACATACAGCAAATTCTTATCAATCATAGGTATAACAAATGGGATGGAGCGTCCATTTTCCACACTATCATCAATGGAGCATTGCTTCGACCCATAGCCAGAAATGAGCGAAACAGAGGTGGAGGACGGCCTTGACCTCCAGCAAACGCGGTCGGGCTGGTCCATCGCCGAAAGCCTCTCCCCACTACGGGAAACGGTCTTCATCTTCGTGATATGCATGGCCCAATTCATGACCCAGGCCGGGCTGGGTAGCCAACTGGCCCCGCTGACCATCATCGGGGACTCCTTCCACATCACCGACAACGGCATCCTCAGCTGGTTCATCGCAGGCTACTCCCTGACGGTGGGCACCTTCATCCTCTTCTTCGGTCGCTGCGGAGACTGCTTCGGCTACCACACCATGTTCGTGATCGGCTTCGTCTGGTTCGGCGTCTGGTCCATGGTCGCCGGCGTCAGCGTCTACAGCAACTACGTGCTGTTCATCTTCGCGCGCACCGCGCAGGGTCTCGGGCCCGCGATGCTCCTCCCGAACGGTTTGGCGATTTTGGGAGCGACGTACCGCCCCAGCCCGAAGAAGGATATGATCTTTGCCATCTTCGCCGCGACGGCCCCCAACGGCGCCATCATCGGGGCTATCTTCGCCGCGCTCTTCAGCCAGCTGGCCTGGTGGCCGTGGACGTTCTGGGCGAATGCGATTGTGTGTCTGGTGCTGGCGGCGCTGGGGTGGGCCGTGATTCCCCGCATCCACCACGAGCGCGAGAAGCACGGCATGACTCTTGTCGAGTGGATGCAGGAGCTGGACGTCGTTGGGGCGTGTCTGGGTGTCGGGGGCCTGATCCTCGTGAATGTGGCGTGGAACCAGGCGCCTATTGTCGGCTGGCCGACAGCGTATGTGTATGTGCTGCTGATTATCGGGATGGTTCTGCTAGGGCTTTTCTTTGTGTGGGAGCTGCGCGTCGCGAGCAAACCGCTCATCCCGTTCCATGCGTTGACGCTGGACGTCTCCTTCGTGCTGGGCTGCGTCGCCTGCGGCTGGGCCAGCTTCGGCATCTGGACGTACTACCTCTGGTTGTTTCTGGAGCATGTGCGCGGCAAGACGCCGTTGATGGCCGCGGCGCAGTTCGTGCCGCCCGGGGTCTCGGGGCTGCTGGCCTCGTTCACGACGGGGTATTTGATGAGTCGGATCCGGCCGGGGTGGATCATGCTGTTTGCTATGGTGGCGTTTACGCTGGGGAATGTCTTTGTTGCGATTGCGCCGGTGCATCAGACGTACTGGGCGCTGACTTTTGTTTCATTGGTGGTCATGCCGTGGGGCATGGACATGTCGTTTCCCGCGAGCACGGTGCTGCTGTCGAATGCGGTGGAGCGCCGACACCAAGGTATTGCGGCTTCCTTGGTCACCACGGTGGTGAACTACAGTATCTCGCTGGGACTCGGGTTTGCGGGAACGGTCGAGGTGCATGTCAACCATGGCGGAAAGACATTCCATGATAGGCTGGTAGGATATCGCGGGGCGTTGTACATGGGGATCGGACTGGGAGGACTGGGAGTGGCCGTGAGTGTGATTTACCTGGCCAAGAGTATCTTGAAAAAGGAGCCACAGGGAGAAGAAAGTAAATAGACGACGTACACATAGATAGGCATTAATCCTAATGTAATTACTACGCGCACCTATCAAAGCCAAGATTCTTGTCCAAGTTAGGCAGCTAGACGATACTAGGCGTCCGGTTTCAGCCATGACTTAAGACCTATCTAGGGACTAGACTGATAAAAGAAATAAATTGAAACTTGTTCTGTACAAAAGGAAACAAAAAAGAAAAAGAAATGAATGACAAGAGTGGGATTCGAACCCACGCCATCATACGATGATGAGGAAACTCGTAGAGTTTGGTATTAAGGTGGACCTTAACCTCACGCCTTAGACCAACTCGGCCATCTTGCCTGAATATGTTAGATTGGGTCTATTTAGTTATATAAGGAATTTACTCCGAAAGTTCAACTAATATAGACTGTTAAAGAATCAGAACCGTTCTAGTCGACCTTGGTTCTGATGGGTGACTCTGCAGACACTTATGATTTTGGTCTGCTGCCATACTTCTCCTTAGACTATGGTCTTCGACTGTATACTCAGATCTCACCGCGAGTATCAAGTCAATCAAGGTGCCTCCCTCAGCCACATGCGCGGAAAATACTTCCTTGTTCAACAGTATTGAAAGGCAGCCGATTGGCATACCCAGTGGCAATGTACAAGGGAAATATGCCGTGCAATCCGCGTGCATGCACTGTCTAATAGGTCATCAATTCCCGGATACTCGACTAGTCTACCCCGCACATCCATCAGCCTTACCCCAGTACCTCCGTGATGCCTGTTCATCTGACTCTGAATGAACCACCTTAAGGACATCCATGTCGATCATCTATATTCCGGGGTCCGTGGTCAAGTCGTACGATACCGGAGCCTTCGATCCGAGTCTGAAGTCTGTCTTCTTGCATTATCCTCGGTACTTGGATGATGGGTACCAGATTCTGGGCATAACTATTCTATCGGCTCATAAATACACAATTCTAATTAAGCATAAGGACGACGATCTATTTACCCCGCAATCATCCTCGGTCCACCATGCCGTGGCAGTACTCATCGTCATATGAAGATATCACTATCAGAACCTTAGTTCAACCGAGAAGGTTGAGATCCTGAGAATTCAGAAGATGACCTGATAATTTTGGACAGTATCCGAATGAGAATGAGATAGAGTTCGCTAAATTGAAAATCAATCGACATTTGCATGTGCTGATACAACATGTATAAAGTTAGCCAGCCCTCATGAGCAGAGTAGTTCAGCCTGAGCATCACAACCACATCCATCATCATGGATAAACTACAGCTCACACTTCAAGCAGTCCAGCATCAAATCACACACATCCTCAACCAATACACCCAACACCCCTGGGTCTACACCGCAGCATGCCTCACAGCCTATCTCACTCTCACCCTCTCCCTCCGCTTCCAACGCCTCCGCAGCATCAAAGGAAAATACCGCAAGTACTCAACCCGGGAATCCTACGCCAGGATGACCGACCACGACGCCTGGGCCATCCAGAAACAAATGCTCCAGCTCGAGTTTCCATTCACAGCGCTGAAAGCTCTGCAGTTTGCTCTCTTCCGCGTACCCCTTCCCCCTTCTCCCAGCCGTACAGATCTAATACTAATGGAAGTAGACATACGGCATCCCCACCATCTCCGCCCTCCTCCTGCAAACATCCCAATTCGCCAACCCATCCACCAGCTTCAAACGCTACGCCGACACCGGCGTCCTAATCGGCGAGTTCATGGGCTTCGAGCCCACCTCCGAACGGGCAATCACTGCCCTCGCGCGCACGAAGCTCCTGCACGCAGGCTACCGAGCCAGCGGAAAGATCCTGGAGTCTGACATGCTGTACACGCTTAGCCTGTTTGCGCTGGAGCCGGTGCGGTTCGTGGAGCGGTACGAGTGGCGGGGGTTGAGCGCGCTGGAGAAATGCGCGGTGGGCACGTTCTGGAAGAGTGTGGGCGATGCGTTGGGGATTAGCTATGCGGTGTTGCCTGGTGGGCGGTCGGGGGAGGGGTTCCGGGATGGATTGCAGTGGTTGGAGGAGATGGGGAGTTGGAGTGAGCGGTATGAGCAGGAGAGGATGAAGGCGGCGGAGGCGAATCGGGCGGTGGCGGATAAGACGATGGATGTGTTGGTTTATGGGATGCCCGGGTGGGTGAGGGGGTTGGGGGTGAGTGTTGCGACCTGTGTGATGGATGAGAGGTTGAGGAGGGCTATGATGTAAGTCTTTCTCCTTGTGTGGTTGTGGATGATGCTAATGCTGATGCTGGTAGGTATGATCCGCCGCCGTGGGTGGTTAAGGTTATGTTCGACGCTGCGGTGGTGATCCGGCGGTTCTGTCTGCGGTATCTTGCGCTCCCGCGGCCGTACATTATGCGTCGTGATGTGTTTACGGAGAAGCCGAATGAATACGGCCGACACCATGTGCAGGTGTGGAACGGGATGCCGTATTATGTGCAGCCGACTCTGTGGAACCGATGGGGTCCGTCTGCATGGGTGCAGCGGCTGATGGGGTTGCCGTTGCCTGGGGACGAGGGAGACAAGTTCTATCCCCGGGGATACCACACGCCGGATGTTGGGCCCAAGTATTTCGAGGGCAAGGGACGGAAGACCCTGGAGGAGATCAAGGAGAGCTTGAGGGTGCAGAGGACAGGCGAGTCGCCATTCATTAAGCTATAGTAGAAGGGTATAGTTCGTATCAATGCAGCATTTCCTAAAGGTATATCATCAAAAGTCCAGTTCCCAGCACAATAGACAGAGACAAAACCGTCTCCCATCCAAGTCTGCGGTTTGCATTTGCAGCATTGGGATCACCTCCAGCACCCATGACCCCATTGACCGAAATGCCCACACCCCCATTTCCGCCACTACCACCGTTGCTGCCTGCATTGCCGTTACTACTGCCATCATCACCCGACGAAGTCAAAGTCGGTCTGCTGGCCGTCGCCACATTCGTCGGGGTTACCGGGTTCGTCGCACTAGCAGGCGTATAGAAGCTCATCGTAGCCGACAGCCGCGTAAACGAGGACGAAGCGTCCGACCCGTCCGTAGCTTTCACCGAAACAATCGTCGATGTCGTCGTGACAGTCGACGTGCGAATCGAAGCCGTCGAAGGGATATAGTACGTGTAAAACGTCACCCAGTACGTCCTGTTCTCATCAGCCATCTCCTATTCCTCCAATTTTTCAAGCGACGAAGGGGTCGTACCATGTCACCGTCCACGAATACCAACTGTACTCCACCCCGGCATAAGTCGTGGTATGATACGCCGTGGTATAGTGATTCTCCGTCTGCGTGTAATGATACACCGCGTTCTCTTGCGCGCAATCCCCGTTCGGACAGCAGCCCAGTTTCCCATTGACGGTCATGCATCGCTCCCCCGAAGGACAGTACCCCTGTACGCCGCAGCACTCCGCGCCGTGGGGCATGCACCCCGTCCCGCAGCAGTGCTCGCCAGAGTTGCAGAAATAGCTTCCGCAGCAGACGTCGCTGAGGGACCAGACGCAGAGCCCATTGTCGCAGCAGATATTGGTTGAGCAGGTCGATGGGCAGGTCCAGCGTTTGGCCAGCGGGTCGGATACGATGTCTGTTGTGGGTTCGGAGACGAGAGTGTTGTTGGGAATGCGGAGGGGTTGGAGGGGATTAAGGGCGAGTGCCCCGGAAACGAACAGGAGTATGGACGACGGCTTCATCTTGGCTGCAAGGGTTTGGCCTTGCAGAGCAGAAGAGAAATTTGTGGAGAAAAGGGTGAGAAAAGGAGCTAGGGTCTAGGGGTCATGTTTATAGGCGGTTGAGCCTCAGCGGTCTAATTGCAGCCCTGCAGATTGTTGATGGACATTCAGCCTTCTTGCATGTAAATACTCGGCTGATTGGCTCTTCAGATCAACTAGGACGGATACTAAAGAGCTATACGAGACCCTACAGAGCCAAGTGGCACGAGGATCAAGTTGGACCAATGGTGGTCCGCTGTAGATCGTATTTAAGGTGCAACTAGACGGTGGAGATGAGAGATCGGCAGCGTGTAAGCCTGTCGGGTAGCTAGATGTCAAAATAGTATCATAGAGCAATCCTCTTAGGAGCTAAGGTAGAATTTTGTAGATTATCGAGAGATAGTTTAGATACTCTGTTTAAGTTAGACAGCATCTGCTGTTGAATTGCTTCAAGGCGTGCTATCTAGGACCTAACCCTACTTTGATCTAGCTGTGGACAAGCACTCAGCACTATGCGCCAAGCACCAAGCACCAAGCACCAAGCACCAAGCACCAATAATATATACCAGAACTCTAGTGTATTGATGGTAATAGTAAAATCTAACTGGCTAGAACCAGGAGTGTTGTATTGGTGGCAGTTGATTTCCGCATTCGGCGGCAGATCCACAGTCGTGGTATGACGACACCAGTCAGGCCACAGTATAACTCAAATCGTACAACACAATCTGGCTATCTAAACGCCTAACTGGACAATTCACGCCGTGCTTATTATCCTAACTCGATACAAAATGTCCCGTCCGCCGTCACGAGCGGCGTCGCTGTTCTCCTCACGCCCATCCACCCCAGTTCCTAGTACGGCCTCTCGCGACCCCGATTCCCTCGATGTCTGGATTCTAGGGAGTGGAATCGCCTCGTTAACCGCGGCCGTACACTTCATCAGAGAGGCCAAGGTGCCCCCGTCGAGAATCCATATCCTCGAAGCACTGAGCGAGCCAGGCGCGGGATCAGTGGGTAAAGGCGATGCCGAGTCGGGCTACCACTATCGCGCGGGATGTACGCCTCAGTTCTGCGGGAGTCAAATGGAGGAGTTACTCGCGCTGGTGCCGTCGGAGACGCCCGGGAAAAGCGTCTGGGATGATATCCGGGAGTACTTTGAAGAGCATGTATCGAAGCAGGCATCGCGGACGAGATTCCTGGCTCGGCGGAAGAACGGACTGGAGCGGATCGAAGGACGGAGACTCCATCTGGGGATCAAGGATCGGATGGATCTGTTCCGGCTGTCGTCTAAGACAGAAAGTGCGCTGGGCCGGTCCCGCGTCCGAGACCATTTCTCCGAGGGGTTCTTCAGGACGGAGTACTGGCTGGTGCTGTCGACGCTGTAGGTTTTCGTAGATCTGAAAGGAGTCAGGATGTTAACCAGGATTAGGTTCGGTTTCCGGCCGTGTCACAGCGCTGCCGAGTTCCGCCGTTTCATCCAGCATTTCCCTCATGATATCCAGACGCATCATCCTCGTCCCCTGGACCGTGTCCGCTTCAACCTGCATGACTCCGTTGTCGCCCCGATTGCTCGATTCCTGCAGGCACAGGGAGTAGATTTTCGCTTCAACACCATCACCACCGATATCGTCGTCGAGCCAGCTCAGGATCCTACTCGCGTGACAACCCTGCGTACAGTAACCAAAAGCGAGCGCGAGGTAACCATTGATCTTGGCCCGCACGATATCATGATTGTTTCTTTGGGATCCATCTTGTCCGGTGCTTCCTGCGGGTCAAACACCGAGCCACCCTCGCTAGAGATGATGGAGATCGAGAAAGACCTCGACGAGAACTGGCTCCTGTGGCTGGAACTCGCGACTAAGCATGCCAAATTCGGCAACGCATATAACTTTTGTACCCGACTGCGGGAGTCCCGGGTGGCATACTTTACGGTCACGGTCAAGAATCCGTCTTTCTTCGAGAGGATTCTTGCGATAGTTGGCGACGATCCTGCGACGGGCTCATTGGTCACGCTGAGAGATAGCAGTTGGCTGCTTACGCTGAATCTGCCCAGGCAACCGCTGTTCCCAGATCAACCGGACAGTGTTCGAGTCTTCTGGGGGTATGCACTCGATCCAGAGAACGATGGGGATTTTGTCAAGAAACAGATGCTATCCTGCTCAGGTGAGGAGATACTGACGGAGGTTCTGCATCAGCTTGATCTCCCAGCCGGTGACATACTGCCCAAGACAGTTACTGTTCCATGTGTGATGCCGCGATGGACTTCCATCTTACTGCCGAGGAGTAACGGGGATCGGCCTCAGGTGATTCCCCCCGGCATGACCAACATGGCCCTCATCGGGCAGTTTGTAGACATCCCCGAGGAGGTGGTCACCATGGACTATATGGTGCGCGGAGCGCAGATGGCGGTGCACCAGCTGATGGGGCTGGAGAGGGAGATGAAGAAGTCGAAGAAGGGATCTACGGCGAGTCTGCTGGGGTTTCTAAAGGATTAGTAGATCTACCAGGGTGTATAGCATAATAGCTTAGTAGCCTAGATCCGAGATACCCCGTATATAGCATGAGACAGTGAATCTCCTGATGCTAAATATTATTCCTTGTGATTGGACCGGGTTAAATGCGGCTACCGAAGGTCAGGTGCCTCGGTCCGTTGTGATACTTAAGTTTAAGCCTTTAGTCCCCGCATTCCTGGACACTATTCCAGTAACCAATTTCCCCAGGTTGTGACAAGCTATTGATAGACACTATGGATCCAGCAATTTCATCGCAGCCTGCCACCGCGGACCGTGGCTCCTTCACCAGCCCCGAGCCGCTGCAAAATACATATACAACCGATACGAATCTCCATCGGCTGCTTTCATGTGAGTCTGCAACAGATGATAAATACAAACAACTAACGTCAAAGGGTACCTCCCGTCATCGACTTATCAATCGATTCAGTCCAACCTCACCCAGCTTGGCGAAGAGGCCATCTCGCCTCAGATCCGCGAATGGAGTGCCGACGCCGAACGCAACCAACCCTACGTCAAGGGATATAACGTCTGGGGTCAGCGATACGACTATGACCGATTGATCACCAGTGAGGGCTGGAAGCAGCTGAGCCGATGGGGAGCTCGACATGGGTATTCCTTTTGTTCATTCCCTTTGAGTTCAGAACTAACGGAAGCAGGGTGGTGGCATTAGGCTACGATCCTAGCTATGGTGCCTCCCGCCGTCTCGTGCAATATACCGTCAATTATCTCTACGGCCCTTCGTCAGGGCTGACGTCCTGCCCCGTCGCCATGACCGACGGCGCAGCACTGATCCTCTCCCAGCAACTGCAGCAACACTCCTTCCCAGATGACCATCCCTTCCGGGTCGTCTTCAACCACCTCACCTCCCGCAACGAAGACTTCTGGACCTCAGGCCAATGGATGACCGAACGCGCCGGCGGCAGCGACGTCCAAAACACCGAGACATGGGCCACTCACGATCCTCTCCCAGCCTCCACCAACAACAACACCAACCAACTCGGCACCCTAGGCGAAGGCGAGTACAGCATCAGCGGCTTCAAATTCTTCTCCTCAGCAACAGACGCCAACGTTACCCTCCTCCTTGCCAAAACCCACCCCTCCGGGAAACTAAGCACCTTCCTCGCACCCCTCCGGCGCACCATCACCCCTCCAAACCAGGGCCCCCGGGAAATAACAAACGGCGTGCGCATCCACCGCCTCAAAACCAAGCTCGGGACCAAGGAACTCCCCACCGCCGAGCTGGAGCTGCGGGATATGCGCGCGCACCTCGTCGGGCAGCGCGATAAGGGCGTGGCGACGATCGCGCCGTTGCTGAACGTGACCCGCACCCACACCTTCATCGGCTCGCTGGGTGCGTGGCGCCGTGCGCTGAGTATTGCTAGGGCATTCTCGCGCGCGCGCAGCACAGTCGGCGAGCCGCTTTGGTTGATTCCGATGCATTTGCGGCTGTTGGCGGAGGTGGAGGTGCGGCAGCGGGCGGCGATGGAGTTGGGGTTTTTTACGGTGGGGGTGATGGGTGTTGTTGAGAATCCTGACAGAACCGAACAAGTGCCTGGGCATGTGCCGAGAGGAAAGGAAGCGACAGTTGTCTTCCGGACGTTGACGGCTGTGTCCAAGGCGGTGATTAGCAAGATGGCGATTTTGGGGATCCAGGAGTGTCAGGAGGCGATGGGGGGTGTGGGGTATATGGATGAGCCGGACGAGCCCGAGTTCAATGTCTCGCGGCTGCTGAGGAATACCGCAGTGAACAGTATCTGGGAGGGAACGACGAATGTGCTGGCGAGCGAGATGGTAAGGTTTTTGCTGGCGAGGGATAATTTCGCGGTGTTTGCTGCGTGGGTTGAGCGGGTGTTGGGCATGATACGGAGGGAGAAGTTGGCGCACGCGTTGAGGCAGGCCTGGACGGCGTTCAAGGGCAAGGTGGCCGGGGATGTTGCGTCGGTTCTGGCGGATGGTCGTCGGGTTATGTTTACTCTTGCGTGGATTCTGATGGGGGCCTTGCTGGCTTTGGATGCCGAGCGAGATGGAGATGCAGTGGCGGCGGAGGTTGCTCGTCGGTGGATTCTGGCTGGCGAGGGAGGAGTCGGAGATACGGTGCATAGGGATATTGTGAAGCCGTATGAGGCAGACGGGGACGAGAAGGATCATGCCAGCTGGGACTGCCGGATCGTCTGGGGACAGGAGTTGCCCGAGGGACAGGTTGCCGGCCATCGTTCTCTGAAGAACAAGCTGTAGCATTGTGTTCATACAATATCATATGCAGTTAGGTGCAATTAAATATCCAGCAACCAGGACCCGCTCCAGTCAAACCCTGATCCCTCCCAGTTCTGATCCAAGATATCCATATACCCATCAAACGGCATCACATCGCGCTTTTCTGTCTCCAGACTCGTCGCCTGACCAGACACTATTCTCTCACCTTGTATAACCCCCCACTGCCGACAAAGCCGCCGATCAATCCCATTGAAGAAATCCACCAGCCCAGGTCCCAGACTCGGCACACTCCCCTCGAACAAAGGCTGCCGCCGTACCTGCTCTGTCAACCTGTCCAGCGCCCGGATGGGGCCCACCGCCGAGCGCCAGCGCTTCGACAGCGTCTGCAGACAGAGCTTGATAGTAGATAACTCGTACTCGGCCGTTTCCTTGAGCGGCTCGTATCGATACGCCGAGAGCAGCGATAGCCCGGCGCTGAGCCCGTACAGCGCAAAGATCGGACCGAGATACTGCAGTTGATCCTTCTGGTGGAAGTCCTCAAAGATCCCGGCGATGCAGGACGCCGCGACAAGCGACGCCGCCGACGGGACGCTGTTGGGTGTGGGCGAGCGGTGTAGGATGATCAGGATGGCGAGGTAGACGACGAGCAGCTGGTTGACTTCGAACTCGTGTGTCGAGGAAATAGTGTCGGTTGGTGCTGTGGCGCGGAGCGAAGGGAGGGACTGGTTGATCCAGCGGTAGAGGGCGTTTTCGAGCTGGCTGCGGCGGTGCAGCGACATTGTCTTGCGGAGACAGCCTTCGACTGTGTCGCCTAGCAGGAGACAGATCGTCGTGTACGCCACAAAAAGCTGGGATTTGTCGTTTTGGACGTCAAAGTCGTCCACGCTCGGCGGGAGGACGTCGCTATCGCTGAGGTTGATGGTCCGCGGGCGTCCGGTGCCGGCGGAGATGATATTATCGCGGACCTACGCTGTTAGCGCATGCTTTAGTTTAGAAAAACATTACATACGACTAATGCCCACCAAAGCCTCCTCCGCAGCCCCCGGTCCTTTGCATTCGCGGCAGGCTCCTTGTGCAATCCGATCTGAAAGGCCATCGCCCCGGCCGTGCGGATCCAGAACCCACTCGTGTCGGTCGAGACCTTCTCCGGTCCGACGGGGTTATACCAGTGCAGCAGACATGCCGACACGATGGAGATAAGCGAGTTGTTGCCGCTCCCGAAGAAGTAGAGCAGCTTCGCCTTGCGGTAGAAGTCTTTGCTCGATACTTCGTCCGAGGGCGCAGACACCCGACTCCCTGCTAGCAAGACGGCCTGCAACAGCAGCGGCGAGGGGGTCTCCGCGGTCAACCACTCCAGGTCGATGATCGGCGTCCATGGCGCACAATACCGCATGAAGCAGTCGATGAGATGGTCTTGCACGGGCTTGGGCGGGAGATCAAACACGCGCTGGTGCTGGAAGAGCTGCATGTCCTCGTGGTTGTCGGTGTCGAGGGCATCCTGGCCGGACTGCACCAGTGTCTCGTCAAAGGGCACACTCCCGCTTAGATACTCGCTGCGGCCGCTGTAGCTTTTTTCAGCGGAGATGGCAGCGGCGGGACTATATGCGGTGCGGGGGTCCTCCCGGGAGGGGGACAGGCTGTTGGTGATTCTTTTGCGTTTGCGGGTGAATGGGCTAATGGGTCAGTAGACGACGGACGATCTGATTGATAAGAGGCTTACAGGCACTCGGCCTTGAATTTGATGCAGTTGCTACATGGCTGCTGTTTCTCCAGATCGCATTTCACCTGCTGGGGTTAGCAGATGCATCACATATGGGGCATACTCCGTACCTTTCTTTTGTGACAGATAATGCATGCTCTGATGACAGCTGGCATATTCCATATCTAGTCTACTCTGTTCCTCGTTTATCAATTATAGTTGATATCCTGCTATCAAGAACAGGAAATGAAGTCCAAATAACCGGACATTGCCGAGGAAACAGGTGGGCCGGATGAGGCACCAATCAGATTGCACGATGCATTTACAATTCATGAAAGATCATGTTGATTGAATTAAACGGCTGGCTGATATTATCTTGTAGATAGACCCGAAAGAAGGTTATAAATGCTTAAAGTCACCAAGCTTGTTCCTTTCATACCCTAATCTCCGAGTGTTGCTTCTGCCAGGACGACTCCAGGGAAATACATATATAGTTCCCTCTTTTTAGACTCTGATAGACTCTTTAGGAGTCTCCGGTGTAATTATGTTTATATTAACTAGTTCTCTCGACTGCATACTAGTCAGTAAATATAAAATCTAACAGAGGAATACCGTGATAGCAGAGAGATCCTACCATATTAGGCCGTTAGATGTCACGGCTACCCTAATAGTCTATACTATACTATACCAACCAAGTATGTGTCTGACAATAATACAATGACATATACTTAATTGTAGTCACCAAACTGCGTCTTCTTGTCTGCCGTGTCCAACTATTCCACGCCGACTGCAGTGTTGCCATCGTCGTCCATCTAGCACTTTCTGGGCGGCTAATCTGCGGGCCCTGCAGGTTCCCGGCGCGATTTCTGCCTGGTGCGCCTTGCCTTTCCTCTTACACTCCTACCCAGTTTTCAATCTCACCATCCAGAATCCATCCAGACAGTCTGATACTCTCTCTCATAAACACCTCCATCACAATATGAGGCTTGAGAGCCGGTAATCTTGATGGTTTCTTGATTCTTGATGGTTGAGCCGATGGTTGAAAGCAGTGTGCGCCGACCACGAGATACCTGACAATCTCAGAGTACAATGGAAACCAAGACGAAACGTCTATCTCATGATGCATATACTGTGGCACTTCTCACTCCACTCGAGATTGAGTTGAGTGCAGTGAGATATATGCTCGACGAAGAACATCAGCCATTACCGAGCGCCCGCGGTGACCCAAATTACTACGTCCTGGGACGGCTCTGTCAGCACAATGTTGTGATCGCGTCCTTGCCTGCGGGCTACCAAGGTACCGTCTCCGCTGCGGTGGTCGCTCGAGATTTAGCACGCACCTTCCCGTCGGTCACCCTTCGACTGCTCGTGGGCATTGGAGGTGGCGTGCCCAGCGACAAGACCGATATTCGTCTGGGAGATGTGGTGGTCAGTGTTCCATCCGGAACTCAGGGTGGTGTCGTGCAATACGATCTGGGAAAGCAGACGACAACTGGGTTTCAACGCAAAGGATTCTTGTGCCCCCCGCCCAATGAATGGCTGGCTATTCTCCCGAGAATGCAATCTGATCACCGCGTGCGGTCCAACATGGTCTCAAGTCACATCGGAGATATGCTGAGACGATTTCCATCACTGTCCGAGTATGAGAGACCATCGTCTGAGATGGACATCTTGTTCAAGTCTGATTACGACCATTGCATGGATCAGCCGACTTGCCAGTCCTGCGATAGACAAATGGCAGTTCCCCGGCAGGAACGCAACCCTCCTGATCGACCTTTCATTCATTACGGGGTCATCGCATCAGGGGATCGCGTGATGAAGAATGCAAAAGAGCGGGACATGATCAGTAAGAGTAGCGAGGGCGCCATCTGCTTTGAGATGGAGGCAGCAGGCCTTATGAACGATTTCCGCTGCATAGTGATTCGTGGAATCTCCGACTATGCGGACTCGCACAAAAACGACATTTGGCACGCCTATGCCGCTGCAGCTGCCGCGGGCCTTGCAAAGGAGCTCCTTTCGTATCTGGAGGTATCGGGCCGTAAGTGAGATGTAATGACGATATCCAGTGGAGCTATCAGAAAGCTGATTAAGGACGTCAAAATCCTGGCAGCCACCATTCAATCCTCTCGTGCGGCTGCTGCCTTGAAGGCTTTCTACACTGAAGGGAAGCGGTTGAATATAGAACGTATTTCGGGCCAACTACTCCCAATGAGTCGCTGTTATATCAATCTGGCGGTGGTGAAGCGCTCACTAGAGGTCGACGAGCACCATCAATCATTCTCTCTCACGTCACGCCTCAAGGTGCAAGCAGACGAGGACACAGACATCATCCCCTTGCCATCACTATTTGAACCACGCACTGGATCGTCTCAGACGCCTTCGGTACCCAAACGCATTCTGATAGAAGGGCGGGCTGGAGTAGGAAAGACGACTCTCTGCAAGAAGATCGTTTATGACCACCTCCACCATCAAATGTGGAACCACCTGTTCGACTGGGTATTGTGGGTTCCATTGCGCAAGCTGCGACGAAGAGCGGAAACGACCGCTGCGTACAACTTGGAGAATATGTTTTATGACGAATATTTCTCTCAACAACCTGATGGCAAAGACCTAGCGCGAGCATTGTGGCAGGCTGTCAACGATCCCTCCCTTAGCTACCGAGTACTTTTCCTACTTGATGGGCTCGACGAAATCTCCCGTGAATGGGATACAGACATGCCAATGCACGATTTTGTCTCCCATCTACTGAAGCAACCGCAGGTCATTATCACGACAAGACCCCGCCCCTCGGATCAAATCGACCTAGGGACTGTCGATCTCGAACTAGAAACCATAGGATTTCTTCCTGAGCAGGTAAACAACTACATCAACCACCCGGAGATTGTTCCTGACGGTGAGACTGCGACGGAGATTGAGTCATTCTTGCAAAAGCATACCCTTATGCAAAGCCTCATGCGGATCCCTATCCAGCTGGACGCATTGTGCTATAGCTGGGAGCGAGACTTGTTGGAAGGGAGGTCGCAGACAATGACCAGCATTTACGAGGCAATTGTGCTGAAGCTCTGGAAAAAGGATATCCTGCAGCTGGGCATTCGAGATAACCAAGGAATGAGGCTAACGGAGGGGAGAGTGAAAGACATCTTCGAGTCTGACATCGAGGATTATATGTTCAATGAGATCAACCTAATTGAGGGAATCGCCTTCCACGGGCTCACAAATGATATTATCGAATTTCGGTTGAAAGACCGAAAATCGTTCTACAACCATTTCAAACGGCACGGAGAGAAGCGTCCTCACGATGGCGAACGTGTGCTTCGGAAGGTCTCATTTTTACGTACCTCCGACGACACTCTCCAGACTCATGAGCAAAGTTTTCATTTCCTTCACTTGACCTTCCAGGAGTTCTTTGCAGCGAGATATTTTGTCAGGCACTGGCTACAGGACAAGCCTCTCCCGCTTTTTCGTGTGGGTCAGCAATCGACGAAGCACTCTTTAATGGCACCCCGATTGTTCCTTCAGGCAAAGAAATATGATTTACACTATAATATCTATTGGCGGTTTGTGGCTGGGCTTTTACAAAACCGCTGGCAGTCAAACGTTCTAAGCGGAGAGTTGATGAGAGATTTCTTCGATCAACTAGACCGTGAGCCTCGCGATATGGTGGGACCGGCCCACCAGCGACTTACCATGCATTGCCTCAGTGAGGTAGCCCCCTCGAGCGATGATGAGGTCATTTCGGAGAGGAGGTCTTCGCTTGAGGAACGGCTGCTACAATGGGTTGAGCTCGAGTGCAAACTTAGCTCATACCCAGAAATGGCCGCTGAGATGGAATGCCCAAGCCGCATCATCACAAGACTTCTCGGGCCGGGTTACGAAAGGCACCACAAACAAATTCTAGAGACCTTGTGTCGCAGAAAAGTACAAATATCCCAAGATGTACTTGATGCAGCGGCCTCGTTGCTCAAAAGAAATGCGCCTGGCTTAGTGAGACTATGGGCAGTAGATCTGATATCAAGAACGCCGGACAGGATAACAGCAGAGATTGAGAGAATCCTAGTTGGAGACCTCCACCACGAAGCTTTTGCTCTCAGACGGTACACAGCCCGCGCATTGTTTGAGAGATTTCTCTCCCAAAATGCCATCCAGGATCTGGTACTGCTGCTACGGCATCATAATGAGAATATTATCACGGATAGTGTCGACGCCCTAAAGGCAGCGGTCGACCTTCCTGAGAACGTCATACAGAATCTGATGTCACTCTTTCGTGATGAGAAGATTGTCTATCCCAACGGCACGCCAGTGCCACTTTTGGCACCTCAAAACAAATTCTCAGATAGCACTATCCGGTCTCTCGGTACGCATCTCAAGGATAACATGAGCTGCGTACGGTACAGGGCAGCGGCCGCTTTAGAGGTCAAGAATACTTTACTCCCTGATTGGATCATTCATAACCTGGTACAGCTCCTTGAAGATGAATCTTCGAATGTACGGTCCGCCGCATGCAAAGCATTGTGCGCCCAGAAAAGTCTTCCGAAGGAGGTCCTCTTTGATATCATTCCCGTGCTCAATAAAAGGGCAGAGTTTTCGAGAGACGGCTTCCTCAGCGACGAAACAGAGCATGCAATTATGATTTTGAGGAGCCAACTTGTTCTTCCAGACGATATCAGACATGCGCTAAGTCTCCTACTCAAGGCTGAAGCCTCTTGTACAAGGTTCGCTGCAGGCTGGGCCTTAGCAAGCCAGGACAACCTGTCAAATGAAACACTCAATAGCATGGGACTACTTCTCGAGGAACCCAATGTTAATCTGGAACAACTTAGACGCACATTTCGGTTTTTCGAACACCAGGAAAGTCTTCGACGAATCGGTCTGCGAGCGTTCCACCGACGTCTCAAAGATCACAATAGTGAAGTGCGAGACTTGGCAGCTTACGAACTTGGGGGGTGGCTGCCCCTCTCGGATGAGATTCTACGTGATCTAGTTTTGTGCCTCAAGGATCCAGAAACAAGATGGTCTGCAGAAATCACACTCGGCAAACACTCGGCGATCCCTGATGAGATTATTCAAAGCTTTCTCGACCTTTTGATGGATGAAGACCCAGACGTGCGTGACTCCGCGGCCGCGGCCCTGGACAGTCAAAAAGAGCTTCCACCGCAGTTGCTCCATTCTCTCGTATCTGTTCTCAGTCATTGCCAGGATGGCTCTGCTTGCGCCGCAACCAATTGGCTCAAAAGGCAGCGCCGTCTTCCTGGCGATATAACCGAAGCGTTAGCCAGGCTACTTGACAATGAGCGCTGGGTGGTAAAAAATAACGCCATGACAGTGTTGCTCGAGCAGTCGCACCTGGAGGAAAATGTACTCCATGACATAGCCATGCTACAGTTCTACCCTCGCATTAAATACAGATATGCTTGGTCTTCAAGGCTCAGTTCGCGGTCTGATTTACCGCCCAAAACAGTCAAAGCCCTGGCAGCTCTCCTTGAGAAAGACAATCCCTCACATGTAGAGGAGGTTTTAAGAGTTCAAAGTTGCTTCTACCCTCTTGTACCGACGCTCAGCCGGCAGGCCCTGAAGAATCTCTTTCGTTTCTGGATACCCCTCGCCTTTGACACGCAGATCTGCTGCTTTCTTGACAAAGGCAAGTTGATTATCGATGGTCCAAAAGGGAGGTTTGAACTTGATTTCGAGAGTGACCAGCAAAGAAAGCAGTTCATTCAGGCCATTCGACAGGTGCAGATGGATCTGGGGTTTCCTACCGCTGGCACAAACTCTGATGAACAGACGCCGGAATGTGCGGGGTGTGCAATGGAACGTCCGAACAATAAAGTGGGAAGCAATGCCCGGGTCCTCGACGCTCCTCTGGTCTCGGAATGTAAACCTGGCGTGGTCAGCCGTTTTCGCTGCCTCGAACATACTGGCAGGGTCATCGTTCTTGCTACTATTGCAATTCTCATTCAGGTGTGTCGCCCACACCCTCCCTATGTCTAGTGATGCCTTATCTAACTAGTCGCCTAGCTGTTCCTCATGGTGTTGATGTAGATATTCTCTCAAAGCAGCACATCTGGGGTGGTGTTGCTACTAAAGTCCGCAGCTCTGAAATGCAGCAGAAGTCAGAGACTAGTCCATGCTGGAAGACAGTGGAAGTAGTAAGTGTAAAATAGCTAATGTATAGTAACTACCTGGTTGTTATAGGGTCCTAACCTATAGTTAGGTGGTTGAGTATGTTAGGGTATCAACTGCTTTGACGCATGGGAAGTGGGCCCGTGGAGAATTAGTTTCACGGTTTGTTATAATAATGACCTGACAAGGAGAGTATAACAGGCTTGGGGAATGGTAGCCCAGATCCCCTCTGGCTTACCAGCTTAGGCATGATTGGATACTCTTCGCAGAGGAGGGTTTGACCAAAATGGTCGCTGTTCCGCCGGATCACGAGTACGATATTACCATATGCTCTTGACATGATACTATCTGTTCATAGACCTGTGATAACCACGTCTTTGGAGTATGACTGCGGTCAATGTACCCAACGCACGAGCCGCAATGAGTCAAGGTATTATATTAATGGGGAGGCCCATGCGTGTGATGATAATGCTGCAGCGCTTATGCACCCTGAGGGCACCAATAGCGGCTGCATCTCGAAGGCTTAGATCTATGCTCTATTCATCCTGTCGTTAACTGCAGGATCGAGACGGACTACAACGGCGCAATCAATGAAGGTACGGTAGTGAAGCATTGCAGCAGTAATTTCCAAGTTGTAAGCGTCAGACAATCAAATGACTCTAAACCACGTTTAAAAATCAAGGGGCGGTGCCAGCAAAATGCTTAGCGAACTCCGCAGTCCTCAAGTCACACGTGCCTCTATTTCCGTCTTCTGTCGAGGCTTGAAGCTTATGTATCCAAGGAACAGAAAAGTGAACTCTGCCCAAGGACCGAATATCACATGCCAAGCCATTACAAAGGGGCATTTGATGGGTCTGGAGTCTCGACTTTGCGCCTTTGCGGTATCGGAGGAAGAAGGGCTTATCGTTGGTTGAACCAGCCAGTTTTTAGTGAAGGGCTCGGTGTTTTGCTACGGTTCTAGGGATTGGCTAGTGCTGACATAAAATCTGATCTCTGTAGGCGACAATAGGCACCAGCTCAGTCCGCTCGGCACGTTTCTCGATCGTTGCCTGTCATTAACCCCATCCAGCAAAGAGATGCCGAGCATTGACCGACGGGAGCAGATCAAGAATAATATTAATAGCTTCTTTTCTGGCTTTTTTGGCGCCCAGACTGGGCGGCTTATCCACCTGTTCCTGGGCCAGGCCCACTTGATCCCTGGACTATTGGACTAAGACTGAATTTTCGCCGTGTTCCTCCGGGTTTAGTGCAAAAATAAGACCAAAGTTCTGACCCGAGTCTACGGCTGATTGGCTCGTTTCCTGCGCGTGAGATGTAACCTCATTTCCCGGAAGAGTGTCGGACTGTCGCCGGATTGGCCGGTAAACAACTAGAGAGTACTGTGTTGTTTTGCCAAGTATTGTGGACTAGACGTGTCTTCTCTTGAATACAGCCAGTAGGTCTGGTGTTGTGGGAAGAGCTTGAATGTTTACATGCTGTGACTTGGGAGTGTATGGCTGGCATACTTATCGTGTACCTCCACAAGGCTGGAGCACCTTGGTAACTCCTGATCTAATTGTCTCAGACGGAGATATCCTAGTCTAAATCTCTACTCTGGTGCGTCGCGGATCCGGATCCCACTCATCTCGTTTAATAATTAGTCCATCTCGCTAGACATTTCAGGGGATAGTGCCAAAGAGGTCCAAGAGTCAAATTTCCACCATTTCCCTTATGACCATTCAGACAAGCCAAAAGACACCGCTAAACCACTTAGTTTCACTTAGTTTGACTCGGTTCCGGGCCAAAACATGAGTCGCATCGACAAGAGCCGCAACATCCACCACTGGACAAAGTCTAGCAGCCATGTCGCCTTCAGCCTGGTCAGGTCTAGGAGGGCATAGCCTCCCTCATAAGAAGACGAGTCCGCCTTGTCTGTTGCTTTTAGTTTTCTTCTTTCTGGTCGTCTGATTGTCCATCGCTCGTTTCCCGATCGTATTATAGATCGTCCATTCTTTTGAAGCCATATTACTACAGACCACAGTCTACTCTATAAACACCATCTTACAGTCCTTCCTTCCAGTTACTAATTAAAAATGCGTCTCTCAATTGCTTCTGTCGTCTCCTGCCTGGCGGCTCTCGCCATGGCCGCTACCAAGCCCGACTACACCCAGGACCCCACGGGAAATGCCATCCTCAAGCCCGGTCTGAACGAATTGGTGCCTGTTGGAAAGCCGTACACAATCGAATGGGATCCCACCACCACAGGCCCGGTCTCGCTGGTGCTCCTGCGCGGTCCCAGCACCAATGTTGTGCCCATTGAGACCCTGGCCGACAGCATCCCCAACTCCGGCAGCTTTTCCTGGACTCCCAGCACCTCCCTCGAGCCCGACACCACCCACTACGGTCTCATGCTCGTTGTCGAAGGCACCGGCCAGTACCAGTACTCGACGCAGTTCGGTATCTCCAACCCCGACTACACTGGCTCAACTTCCAACTCGTCCTCGACGGCTACTACTGCTACCGAGACTAAGTCTTCTTCCGCGACGGAGTCTTCGTCTGCTTCTTCGAAGCCCTCGACCACTGGCACGCCCGAGAAGACTACTACTACCGCGACTTCTGGCTCGGCCAGTGCGGACTCCACCACCACCGCCACCACCTCGGGGACCCCCGCGACTACCCTCGTCACCCAGAGCAGCACCACCAATGCTCCCACCTCGACTGTGGTCGTGACTGTTCCTAACAGCACTAGTGGCTCTTCCGCCGGTGCCTCTGGCTCTCCCCGCCACTCCAGCACTCCGTCCCCTTCGGCGACTCTCTCGAACGGAGGAGACCGCAAGGCGATCAGCCTGGGAGCGGTCGTAGTGGGAGCATTCGCCGTGATGGCTTTTTAAGTGATGGGGCCACAGTTGCGGGTTGTGCTATGTATGTAGCGTAATAGCTAATGACTTTTCCTGAATATATACCCCTGGATATGAAATACAGTATACTTCTTATATGGTTGATTGTGCCTTTTCATCGTGGGTGGCTCAGTGACGTCACCAACTAGAAACCTTTATCTCCACATTCCATTCTTCATTCTTCCGCTTCAGATATCAGTCACTCGCAATGCAATGGCCTCAATACTGTGATCTGCCAGATTGACACCAGAATACATGGAACCCTCACAATGCCGTTGCACAGCATCTCCGCACAGCAACTGGCGGACATGCTGCCCACCGGCGTCGCCATCCTCAACCACCGCGACGAAGCCATCTTCACCAACCGCCGCTTCCGCGAGCTCATGACCACCCTCGACCCGCACTCCTTCGACTGCTGGTCCCAATCCATCCATCCCGACGACTTTGACCGCCTCGCGGAAGCCTACCACGACGCCTCCCGCGCCCAGCAGCCCCTCCGCATCCAGTACCGCACCCACGACGAGGACTGTCCCTGGCGCCTGCTCACCCTCACCCCGATGGGGCCCGACGAGCGCGCCCTCTTCGGCCTCACCACCGCCGGCGGCGCCATCTGCACCATCGCCGACATCACCCAAGAAAAGACGGCCGAGCTCTCCCAGCGGAAAATCGCCGAGGAAGCCCAGCAGCGCAAGACGCAGCAGGAGCGGTTCATCGACATGATCAGCCACGAGGTGCGGAACCCGCTGTCGGCCATCCTGCACTGCACCGAGGATATCCTCGAAGCGGTGCACCGCACCCAGAGAGGAGAGAGCAGCGCTGAAAAAGCCCACGCGACGATCGCGCAAGCCGCCGAGACGATCGGGTTGTGCATCGCGCACCAGAAGAAGATCGTCGACGACGTACTGACCTTCTCAAAGGTCGACGCGGGGATGTTAACGCTCACACCGCGCCGGGTCCAGCCGCGCCGTCAGCTGGCTACCTCGCTGACGATGTTCCGGCCGGAGCTGCGCAAGCAGAACATCGAGTTCGAGTATAAGCTGGATCATTCGTACGAGGAGCAGGGGATTGACTGGGTGATGGCCGATCTGGACCGCATGAGCCAGGTGCTCATCAATCTTGTTTCGAACGCGATCAAGTTCACGGCCAAGTCCGGCGGCGAGATGAAGGTGCGTGTGTCGATGGGCGCGTCGACGACGCGGCCCCCGTCGTATCCGCCGAACGTGGTGTTCTTCAACTCGGATGCGACCGCGTTGAGGCTGGATAAGACGCAGCAGGCGGAGTGGGGGGATGGGCCGACGGCGTATATCATGGTTGCGGTGCGGGACACGGGGATTGGGATCAGCGACGAGGCGCAGAAGCGGTTGTTTGAGCGGTTCAACCAGGCCACGCCGCGGACGGAGAGTATATACGGGGGCTCCGGGCTGGGGCTGAATGTCAGTCGGCGACTGTGTCATCTGCACGGGGGCGAGATCGGCGTGAGCTCCAAGGAAGGCGAGGGCAGCACGTTTGGCTTCTTCTTTGCCGTCCGGAAAAGCGACAGCGTGGGAGAACCGTCCACCAGCACAACAGATGAGCAGGACCGGACCTGCCGGAAGATCCTGTCGCTGGGCGACGAGATGACCGACGCGAACCATCAGATGACCTCGCCTGCCATACCGGAGGACCCCGAGGTGACATATATCGAGGAGATCAATCCCGCCTGCAACAGCGACAGGAGAAAGGACCACACGGCCAAAATAGCCGAAGAGGCTACAGACGCTGAGAGTTCCACTACAACTACACCAGAGAGACGAGATAGCCAAACTGACAACCAACACATCCTCGTCGTTGAAGACAACATCATCAACCAGCGCATTCTGTCGCGGAAACTACAAGGCCTCGGCTTCAGCGTCACCGAGGCGAGTAACGGCCGCGAGGCTCTGGATGCCGTGAAGAAAGACCACTTTGACTGTATTCTCATGGACCAGGCCATGCCGGTGATGGACGGGAATTCGGCGACCAAGGCGATCCGCGAGCTCGAAAAGGAACGATCGGGACAACATACCCCCGTGTTAGGAGTAACGGCGAATGTGAGAGTAGAGCAGCAGGAGGAAATGCTGCAGTCCGGCATGGACGATGTGATCCATAAGCCGTATAAGATGGATGAGCTGACCGACAAGATTGAGCAGCTGGTCTTTAAAGAGTCGGAGTAGGTCACTTTGGCATTTGTATATATTGATACCAGGGCTTGTATTCGTCGTAAATGAGAATATATAAATCCCTTATATTGGTTTTGCTGTTTTGATACACTGTTGTCAAAGTCAACTTTCACCATACACTGAGTTTATAAGAGCTACTATATTTCATCTACCTACGTAGCTGATCCTACTCTCACTGTTTTCTGCATCCAAAGCAACAATGAAATATCTGAACCCGAACTGCACGACTCTCCCTGCTAACGCAGTGGAACAAACATCTCTTCAAGAGCTCCCATAGCGCTTCAGCTTAATTCACTCATCCACTCCGCTGGCGGATACGGCGCACTCAGTTCCCATCCGGCATTGGCCAGTCCTCCGTGTCTTTTGTTGACAAAGACATCAAAGAACGGGGGGCCAGGAAGCTATGGCACATTATCCTCAATTTACGTGAATCTAGTCCAATTCTACCAAGGGCCTGACAGAAATACTGCAGCTGAACAAACCCAGAGCCTTATATTAAGAAAGCCCTCAGAGCCGGTAGCCTACCAACGCCCGTTTGAAGTTCTAAGTCATTAGTCGACAGCCTTGGTCTCTAGAGTTAGGCCGGGTGTTGTTCTAAAGTCTTCGCGGCATTCATGGTGGCATTCTCCAACTGAAATGCATCGCAGCTTCATATTCCTCGTTCGGCACCTAGCCCATGATGTCGACACTCAAAGCATTCCGCATATGATCCATTGCGTCGTCGGCTCCTTTCTGCTGGGCATCCAAAACAAGAGTATCGCGCACAACTCTGTCTGAGTATGTAAGAGAAGGTGTATTGCATGTTTCCCGTCCACGACCGGCAGAGTCGGCTGAAATCAAGGTTGACCAGCTTTGTATGACACGAATCATGTCAGCCTCTAGAGTGATTGAGTCTCCCTCCCAAGTACTACCCGCACTTTCGAAAAGGCGCTGATGCAGTATAGCAGACTGGTCAAATATCGCATTGTAATGTTCTTCATTCAGTCGCCTTGTAAACGCGGCGCAAAGGAAATGGACGAGTCTTTTTTGGATAGTCTCTCGTATGGATAATTGCTCAGACTTGGGGAGGGAGTCATAGTTCGGTGGGAGATCAATTCGGGGCTGTATCAGCTTTTGCGAGTCTGGGTCGCCATAGTTTTGGAAATGCTTCGATATACTAGCTGCAAGCCCAAGAGGAAGGATAGTGCAATGCTGCCAATCAATTAATCCCACAACCTCATTCGCATCTGATATTAAAATATTGTTCGGTTGAAGATCAGGATGCCACATGACCGGTTGATTCAGTGATGAGCCAGCCCTAAACCCAAGACAAGGCGCCAACGTTAGATAATCAGAGAGATTCTGAAGGTGACCTTCAGGCGAAACGAGGCAATAACCATAGATCTCCCTATACATGCGCTCATAGGGAAGGCGAGGTTTCGCGTAGGCTTTGGCCCAAGTCAACTCCCGTTCACCAACCGCCCGAAACAAATTGGCTGATGATGACCCTGTTGCAATTAACGAGCTGCACCAGGTGTCTCCCTCATATAGCTACTTACACGGCCCTCTGTCAATATCAAGTATGCTCCTTTGACCGTGCCACCAACGGTAATGTGCCATCGGCCCTATGCAGAACTCACCATTGGTGTGGTAGTGGAACCTTCCTTTCTGTTGGAAGACCCTTCTGATAATATAAACTCCCAAATGCAGGAAACTCCAATGACATGAATCGTACCTCCCACTCGACAATTTGTTTCATAATCTTATGTTGTTATTTTAGTGTCATCGTGTACCATATCTCGCCGAGAGGGATGCCGTCCAATTTCTCCATGATGATGTACCCAGCGCCAACAGGGTTCGCTTTTGTCGAGCACCAAGCATAGACTTCAGGAGTAGGAATTCCATGTGACTACGGATAGTGCAGAGTAGCAGCCTCACTGGCAACAGTGTAGTGCTCAGGCACCGTGGAAGGATACGGGAGCCGAGCAATGACATGCTTCCCATCTGTAAGGGTGGCTTGGAATAACCGGTTGAACCCACTTTCAGCCATCTTGTAGAAGGATACAATCTCATTTACATAAGATCATCGAGATAATTGGGACACTAGTGTGCAATGATGTCTCTAGTGCCTGCCAGCCTTCTCACAGCCTCCCCCCACGCAAAACAAGCCGCCCGATCCCGTATCCCTGGGCCATTTCAACTTGGGCTTTCCTCATTCTATCAAATCTTAAGATTCAACATTTGCAATGAGCTCTAGCAATGGCATACAAATTACTATCTACCTTCATAATTCCCCTAGCCTCCGCAACAGCAACATGCTACTGGCCCGACGGCAGCATCGCCGAAACCAACACCCCCTGCTCCTCGGGCCCTAATGCTTCATGCTGCGACAGTCACAACATCTGTCTATCCAACAATCTCTGTCTTGATGTCCTCGTGCAACCATACGTCCTTTCCCGAGGGGGCTGTACAGACCCAAACTGGGAGTCCGACGAATGTCCTTCTGTTTGTCGTAGGTCATGCCTCTTCATGTCCCGAGAGGTACACTAACAATAGACAGGAAATGTGTCAACCAGATCAGCTGTCTCGCTAGTCACCTTAGGGAAGGGCTCTAATGGCGCTGTATCGTACTGCTGCGGCGTGCCAGTCAGTAACGGGCGTGATGTGGTGTGTCGCGACGGCCACAGCGTTCAGGTCACGGATAAGGAAATTGTTGCTGGGTATGCAGCTTTGGCAAACGTATCCTCTCTAGATGGTGGGAACAGTTCTGGGCCAACAACTTTCGGCAACGAAAGTGCGAATACGTCAACACATTCATCGCATGAGGTGGCGGTTGGTGTGGGAGTCGGGGTGCCGCTGGGGGTCATTGCCCTGGCCTCGATTATCTGGGCTATATGGGAGAGAAGGACACGAATGCAGCATGTTAAAGGAGCAGTAAAACCGACTATGATGGACAACGGCCACTTTCATTCACATGCAGATAAGCACGTGGGTGTGGGTGCCTCGCCGCTCCAAGCAGCGGAGTTGACAGCTGAGTCTCAGACGCATGAATTACAGTCGTGATAGTAGAAGCAGCAGATAGAGGATATCACTTTACAAGAATGTAATTGTGAACCTTTATAGAGATTCGTCGCTTGTACATGTTTGTTCCAGGGCGGTTGTGTGAATGGCTCTTAGCATGCCCGCGTTTTCAGGCCGAAAAGAGGTAGGTGTTTGTGCGCATGTGTATGCAAAAAAATTGCTCTCTTTGCTCGATTGCCACAATATTCTCGGCTTGCGAAGGGTTCTAATCACGGACAGTGGGAATCTTCATATATAAACAGCAGCCTCGATGCTAGCTCCAAGCAGTCGGTCCTGCTACTCGCCAGTACATACGTTCGGCCTTGACATATAAATATTGACTGCAGCAAGTAAGATACAGTTAGTAACTGCTACTTATAAGTCTTCCTGTCGGTTCTCGGAACTGTCTACTAGAACATATCAGGCCATAGCCAATTGTCATAAGTTTGTTGGTGCCTCAGGCAGCAATCCTCTACCTCGGCAAGGGATTTCCGGCCTGACACGAGTCACACAAGCACAGCAGCACATCCACTCTTCTCTGGGTCTCATCTACGTGCTGTATGCTCTTCGAACATGTCCGGCCGTCGGAATCGTTCTGCAGTGGCATGCCAAGCATGTCGTCGACGCAAAGTCCGGTGCACTGTTACTGTTACCGGCATTCCGTGCATCAATTGTTCCCAAGATGGAATGGAGTGCACAGTCGCGCAACGACGAGGGACGTAGGTACATCCTTATCGAGATACATCTAAACAATATAGCATACAAAAAGAACTAGTCCTGATTGTTACAGTCAGCAGACAAGGAATCATCCCCTGCGCGAGATCCGCGCGGTCCCTCATCCGAGGTCCAGCCCGAGGCATAACAGCGGAGCTCCCCAAGTCGTATCGGGTGAGACGGTCGGCGGCAGCACCATTTCGAATATCCCCAGAAACGTCTCTCAGTCCGGACGAGCTGTTTCTGAGCCAACGGCTGCGACAGGAACGACGACCCCGTATTCCGAGCAAAGCCGGATCGAAGACGAAGAGCGTAGTGCCGCTGACTTTGCGACGGCTTCGCTGGCGCCTCGGGATGCCGATGCAAATGATATGCCTATATACACTGGTCTGCTTCTATGACAAAATGTATCTGGAAATAGCTAACTGTAGTAGGCGAGTCTTTGGGATTCTCTGCGGTTTTGGATGTTTTCGCCACACAAGCTGTGCCCAGACATGTCTTCCGGCCATCATCGCATCCTAGTCTTACCGCTCAGGATGTCGAGTATCTTAAGTTTAAAGGATGCTTAACATTGCCCTCCAGTGATATATGTCGCGAGCTTCTTCGTGCTTACTTCCACCACGTGCATCCTATTCTACCGGTAGTGGATGCTGCTCAGGTATTGAAGTTTGAGCAGCAGCATGACCGACCAGCCGAATGGAATCTGTTACTCTTGTGGAGCATTTTCTTCGTGGCAGTTAATGTCAGTATCTTCTCACTGGAACCACACCATCTCACTAACTGATCAGTTTATCCCTACCGAGACTTGCGCACTCGCAGGATACTCTTCCCGGAAAGAGATGAGGGAAGCCATGTACTCCCGTGCAAAGGTATTCCCCAATGAGATTATCGCGTTCTGATACTTACGACCTTGACAGTGTATGTATAACAATGGCGGGGATGACAAAATCACGCAGATGCAGTCTGCTCTCCTACTCGGGTTCTGGCACTCGGAGATGAACAACCACGCCCAGCCCTGGTACTGGACGGGCATTGCAATCAACCTCGGCCAGATCATGGGTCTCCATCGCGATCCTGATGCAATCAGATTTAATCCATCTATTACCGGTCGTCGACGGGCTTTATGGCGGCGCCTATGGTGGTCCTGCTTCTTTCGAGACCGCTGGTTGAGTCTCACCCTCGGACGTCCGTTGAGGATCAACCTGCTTGATTGTGATCTTCCGATGCCCTCAACAGCGGATGCTCTGAGTGATTTATCCGAAGTGTCGCCATCGGTGGCAAGTCTGTTTATCCCGGAGGACCTGGCCCGGTTGAGCGACTATTGGATTCTCCTGCTGCGGTTGTCGAAGATACTGGGGGACGCGCTGACCCTGAGCTATCAGCCGAAAAGGCCGAACCCTACTATTGAGCAAGTTGAAGCTATAGAGTCGGAGCTTCTGACTCTTGAGATCCCGCACGACTGTGGCTCCGAGCAGAGCGAGTGGGCACGGTTTGCCGTTTACCACTTGCAGTTACATTATCAGTATGTCGACCTCTGCTACTCGTTACCGCAAACTAACACGAGAAGAGCGTTCCTGATTACATTTTACCGCCCTTTTACAAAGCGACTCCCGGAAGGCGTGCCTTCAACCAACAAGACAGCATATCAGACGGCAATAGGTGCGAAGGTAGACGCTGCTGCACTACAGACAAACACCATCCTCGACGCTTTGGCCCGCGAGAAGCTCCTTAACTTCGCCGGCCCAATGACGTAGGTTTTCCCTCTACCATGCAATCCTGCCTCTAATCGACATGCAGACCACCCCTCCTCGTTCCCGCCATGCACATTCACCTACTCAACTGCAAGTCCGACGATCCTCTCACGCGGCAGCTCAGTCTCAACAAACTCGACTTTTGCATGTTGATCCTCAAGGTCATGCAGGACGTGCACACGGCCGCGTCGTATTACCGGGGTATATTCTCCGAGGCGATTCGCCACCTTTCATCGACGACGAGTAAGCCAACCGGGCAGGGACCGGTTGTGGTCGAGACGCCGGCATCTCTCCCTGGGGAACCCGCAATGGAGACGCTGCTGAGCGGTGATTTTCTCGACGGGCTGATGGACGAGGCCTCGTTTTTCAATTTCTGGGAGCCGCTCAGTAACATGTGATTTGTCTATTGTTATAGAAGTCTATAGTCTATATAGTTATATACAATCCCAGCTACATACAAATGCTACGCATCGGACTTGTGAGGCCACTTGACCCTCCTCTCAGCCCTCACATACAAATTGTTCGGCCGAATCAACTGAAACATCGGATCATACTCAATCGGGCCATCGCCCTCCCGCGTAAACTTATACCGATAGATCAACTTGGGCAAGAAGACCTTGATCTCCTGCAGGGCGAAATTGAACCCGATGCACATGCGCGGCCCCATCGCAAAGGGGATATAGGCCGCCTTGTGCCGCTGCTTCACCTCGTCCGTGTCCCAGCGGTCTGGGTTGAAGCGCGCGGGGTTATCCCAGATGGCGGGGTTATTGTGGATGTGGTGCAGGGCGGGGATGACCACTGCGTCTTGGGGGATTTTGTATCCGCCTGGTAGGATCAGGTCGAGCTTGGCGGTGCGACCGGGCTGGAAGGACGGGTTGTGCCGGCGCTGCGTTTCCTTGATGTATTTGTCTAGGAAGGTGAGTTTATCCGTGAAGTCGGCTGTGATCTCTGTGTTGTCGTCGAAGCCGTGGTCGACGAGTTCCTGGAGCAGACGGTCCTGCATGCCGGGGTAGGTGACCAGGCCGTAGATGAGCCATGAGAGGAGCGAGCTGGTTGTCGTGAAGCCGGCGCCGGTGGCTACGACGAGGGCCCAGACGAGGCTGGACTTGGGCAGTTTCTCGCCTTTGTTGTCTGTTGCGCGGATCGCATAGTCTATTGCTGTTAGCGCTACTCGAAGCTCTGAACACTGAATATACTCACCAACCATGTTCGTCGCTCGCAGCGCGGCATCCTGCAAGGGCAAATCCTCGACGCCTCCCCGCTGCGCCTTCTGCACCGACTCCTCGACGAGCTGCTCAATGCGCGCCTTGGTGTCCTTTAGACGCTTGGGATCCCCGAAAGGCAAACTGGCGTACCAGTCCCCCTTGGACGTGACCTTCTTGTTCAGGGACAGCACCTCCGCGATCAAGTGCACCATCTCGTGGATTGGCGCATCCGCCGAAGAGAAGTGCTCAAAGTCCAGGCCTAGCGTCAGTTTTCCCACGGCCTGAGACCCCAGCTTCAGCATGTACTGGTACACGTTCCAGGCTTCGCCCTGCGCGTCTAGCTGATCGAATATAGTGCATGCATCCTCAACAGTCTTCTGCATGGTCGGCGCGTAGTGCCGGACGGCCTTGGGACCTAATGCAGGCGGGAGGAACTTGTGCGCCACACGCCATTCGGGGGTGTCTGTATCTCCTAGGAACACGCCAGCGGAGGGAGTCTTGAGCGAGTAGAGCGGGTGGGCCTCGTTGATTTTCTTGGTGAAAAAGTCGGATTCGTTGAAGACGATGGCGGAGAGGACGGGGTCGTTTGTCTGGTAGACTGTGCGGCCGAGAGTGCTGGTCTTGATCAGGGGGCCGTACTGCTCGAAGAGACGTTGATGGTTGCCCAGGTGGTCTGGGAAGACCTGGAAGAAGTTGCCGAAGAAGGGGAGGCCGTTGGGCGAGGGAGCGTCCCGGACGGCATGGCCGTCGATGGTGATGGCGACGGGGGTTGTGGATGAGGTGATCTCATTGAGATCTGTGAGGGATATGTCTTGTCCGGAGAATTCGATCCCTAAGAGAGTCAGTGCAGTCGATTGAAGGGTTGGCGTGACACTCACCACTCGGTTCGACAATGGCAAAATGAGATGCAATCAGGTCTCGCAAGCCCTCGAGATCATGGATGTCGTCCAGCGAGATTGTCCTCGCTGACGAGATCGATTCGCCCAAAAGGTAAAACTGTTGTGATGGCATTTCGGTAGCTCACTTTAAGTCTGGTCGTTCACTGACAGAGGCGTACTGACGTGTCTCTCATCCTACTGGCAGCTTATATACAAGTATTTGACAGCCAGGCATAAAAGTACTCACGGATAGCATAGACAGTGTCTGTATACTTGGCCGGCATGCCGCGGACGCAGTTATAGAACAGCCATTCCGATTGGCTACATTACCTCGGTATTCATCAGATCGCTCCACTGATCTACTTTGCCTTAATTTCCCGGTGACGATGACAGCCACGTTCTCGGTCGATGGCCAGTAGGATGAATAGGAGAGAATTAAAATAGAAGATAAGAGAGCAAAGTAATTTCCAGCCGAATAGCCGTTGCCGAAGTAGATGAGGCGAATACCGAGAAACGCGATATAATGCACACGACTATATCATTCCTCCCGCCCCGTCTAGGACCTATTGAGTGCTTGAATCAAAGAAGTCTTCTTTTCGCATTATTACCATTATTGCAGACATTCATTATGACAGAGTTTACAGTCGCGGACGTTGCAGGTCATAAGACCCGAGATGACCTCTGGGTGATCATTCACGGCAAAGGTACGTCTAGTAACTATCTGGTCTGTCAGCAGTGCTAACTTGTCTAGTGTACGATCTCACTAAGTACATTCGGGATCATCCAGGCGGCGCAGATGTGTTGCTGGATGTTGCCGGTACCGATGCGACCGCGGCGTACGAGGATGTTGGACACTCAGAGGATGCGGACGAAATAATGCAGACTTATCTGGTGGGCACGTTGAAAGATGCAACGCAGTTTGTGCGCAAGTCCGCTGTGCGTGTCATCCAGCCGACCTCCGTTCCAGTAGTAAAAGGCAGTAGCTCGTCTGGGTTTCGCAAAGTTACTGCTGCCGGCTCAGTGGCTGGTTTGCTGAGCTTGATATACTACGTGTCTCCCCGTCATGGATCCTCGCATCTCCCACAGGCCCTTCACCACCTACAAGCCCATCTACCTGCTCTGCACCACTTGTTGCCGTCGTCTATCACCGGCTTGCACCTGCCACGCGGAGGCTTCGCCAATGGATTCGCAGCCGCAGCCCTACTCTCCGCCGTCATCGCCGGCGTCGTGGGGATGCAAGTCTCGAAACTGACGCAGATCGACTCTGGCTTCACTCGATACCCCCCTCGTATCAAGAGCAAGCCAAATCCCAAGGCTGATCCTCACAGCATTCCCGGCTTTCTCAACCCCAAAGACTACAAGACGCTCCCTCTGGTGCGAAAAGATCTCCTAGCGCCCAACGTCTACCGATTCGTCTTCCAGCTTCCATCTCCAACAGACATCGTCGGCCTCCCAGTCGGCCAGCACGTCGCCATAAAAGCCACCGTCAACGGCCAAACTGTCTCGCGATCCTACACACCAACCTCGAACAACCTCGACCGCGGCTACCTCGAGCTCGTCATCAAATGCTACCCCGACGGTCTTCTGACCGGCCAATATCTCGCCAACCTGCAAGTCGGCGAGAAAGTGCACTTCCGCGGCCCCAAAGGCGCAATGAAGTACAAGCGCAACCTGTGCAAGAAAATCGGCATGATCGCTGGTGGCACAGGTATCACGCCCATGTACCAGCTTATCCGGGCAATCTGCGAAGATGACAAAGATACGACCGAGATTAGCTTGGTGTATGCCAACCGCAGCGAGGGGGATATTCTGCTGCGCGAGGAACTGGAGGCATTTGCGCGCAGATACCCCAAGCAGTTTAGGTTGTACTATATGCTCGATGTTGCCCCGGAGAATTGGAAGTATGGCAAGGGCTATGTGACGCCGGAGGTGATGGCGGCCAGGCTGCCTAAGCCGGCGGCCGATACGAAGATCTTCCTGTGTGGGCCGCCTGGAATGGTTAATGCTGCGAAGAAGGGGCTTGTCTCGCTCGGCTTCGAGGCGCCGGGCGCTGTGGGCAAAATGACTGATCAGATATTTTGTTTCTAGTTTATTTGTTGCTGGCTGTCTGCATGTGTATAACAGAGGATAGATAGTTTGTCTTTTGGAGCTCGAGAACCTGATAGTTATTCACTGTGTGCTATACCGAGCTTTACTATAATATGATATCTAGGTCGGTTGGGCCACATCTACATTATCTTTATGGTCACTGTTGGAATGCATCCATTCGATGATCGAAGTACATTAAAAAGAATGTGTGAATATGTCCATATACTGTTCCCAATTTTGGTCCTTGATGACATATATCAAACCACTCAGCCAAAGGGGGGTTCCAAACTCCAGACAACCATCTCTAGCTAGTAGGAGATGGTAGCAGTCGGGCCAACACAGCAGGGATACAACGATTGACATACGCTGAGTGCCGAAGACGGATCCAAAGCTTCTCTGCAGCGTCCGATGGATCGGCTCGACAAGGCTTTCCAGAACCTCCGGGAAACGGCAAAATACTTGATTCAGGCACAGAGTGGATATGGCTCATTGCCACGGTCATTCAGACAGTCTGTTTCGTCAAGCTTTCTGGCCCGATAAACAAAACTATCGGCATGCCGAGTACCGCGGCAATGTAACCAATCGGATTTGAGAGCTTATATCACGGCCGGTATTCCTTGGATCGTACAACCGGTAGCAAGAGAGCATTCCTATTATTGTCCTTCCAGAATGCGTCATTGGGGACTGCATTGTCTCCATCGTGTAGATCCCGCGGCTGCGGATGGTTCTCAGTCTGCAGAATGGATACCGTCCGGCTTGCCGTTCGTGAACTGTGGTCGTCATCGTCATGTCGGAAGATATGCCGGGAGATGTGCCTGTAGCCGCTGGACCCGGACATAAATGCCTTGACTTTCGTTCTTCTGTATATCCTCTTCTCATCAAGTTTGAACCTTCATACTTACCTTAGCATATACACAGCAACAATGCATTCGACGTGGCAGCCCCCAAAGAACTATCGCCAACGCCCTGTCGCCATTCTTGGTGCAGGCGTGCTCGGTCGTAGACTTGGTATGTCTTCTACGAGATGAAATATCCAAGACCGAACTAACTTGTACAGCATGCATCTGGGCCTCAGCAGGTTACAATATCCTAGTCCGCGATCCGAGTCCCCAGCAGCGCGAAGACTGCCTCGCCTATGTCAACGATAACGTGGCCTCATACGCCGAGAGCACAGGCCAGAAGCCGGGCACAGTAGATGCAACCGACAGCCTCAAGGATGCCGTGGACAATGCCTGGCTGGTCATCGAAGCTGTGCCTGAGAAGATCCAGCTCAAGATCAACACGTTTGCAGAGCTCGATGCTCTCGCACCAAGTGACTGTATCCTTGCGTCAAACTCCTCGTCGTACAAGTCGTCGGAGATGCTTGAGAAGGTGTCAGAGACGACAAAACGGCGGATCCTGAATATGCACTACTACATGCCGCCGCAGTGCATGATTGTCGAGCTCATGACGGATGGCTATACCGCGGCTGAGATCTTTCCGTTTATGGTTGAGCGGTCAAAGGAGGCTGCGACGGTTCCGTATGTTGCTCGGAAGGAGTCGACTGGATTTATCTTCAATCGTCTGTGGGCCGCTGTCAAGCGAGAGGTGCTGACCATCCTGGCGGAGGGGGTCTCGGTACCGGAGGAGATTGACTCGATGTGGCAGGAGATGTTTGTCAAGGCAGGAGCCTTGCCTTGCAAGATGATGGATGGTGCGTAATCCCTTGTGATTATAGCAGCCCTGTCTAACTAAAGATAGCTGTCGGCCTTGATACCGTCGCTTTTATCGAAGGTCATTACATCGCAGAACGAGGTCTCTCGCCCGAGAAGACAGTCAACTTTCTGAAGGAGAACTATCTGGACAGGGGTAAGCTCGGCAACAAGTGTACAAACGGTGGTCTTTATCCTGCAGCATCACCCTCGCCAAATACCACTGTCCAACCCAAGATCATCGCCCTCGATGTCGGTCTGTCTGTAGCAACCCCTGGTTTCACCGCAGGCCAGATTGTCGAACTCTCGGCCGACGGAAAGCTCGAACGAGTACTAGTCAAGGACCAAGCCCTGCCAGACGGCTTGGCAATTGACTCCGCCGCTAAACGCATGTTCTGGACCAACATGGGTGTACCAGGCAAGGACGACGGGGCCGTCTACTCTGCCAACCCGGACGGCTCGGATATCAAGACGCTTGTTGCACCGGGGAAAACCAACACCCCAAAACAACTAGCACTGGATCAGTCCGCTCAAAAAGTCTACTTCTCGGACCGGGAAGGACTACGCGTATTCCGATGCAACTACGACGGAAGTGATCTCGAGATCATCATCCAAACGGGCGATTACCAACAAGCCGAAGACATGCAAGACGCCACGAAGTGGTGTGTGGGCATTGCTGTTTCTCCTCGGTTTGGCAAGTTCTACTGGACGCAGAAGGGATTTTCAAAGAGCGGCAAGGGCAGGATCTTCTGTGCTGATATTGACATGCCCCAAGGCCAGACTGCCACAACTAGAGAAGATATCCGCTGTCTGTTGGAGGATCTGCCGGAACCCATTGATCTGGAGGTGGACGAGGAGTCTGGCAGATTGTACTGGACGGACCGCGGTGAGCTTCCTTTTGGAAACTCGTTGAACAGGGCCTCGCTGAAGGAGACCGGTTCGGAGGTCGAACGGACTGGTAGTCTGAGATACGAGATTCTCACACGGAATCTGAACGAGGCAATCGGTTTGAAGTTGGATCTGGAACATGGTCATATCTACTTGACCGATCTCGGGGGGAGCGTTTACCGGACAGACGCTGATGGGAAGCGGAAGGTGAAGTTGTATTCCGATGACAGCCGTGCTTTTACCGGAATTGCTTTACTATAGACCTTGTCATATCATTTGTAAATATAGTCTGATAGAGTAGAATTGTACTGCCGTTCACCTTGAGATATATTTCCACATATGTAGTCATCCTTTCAAATCATTCTGGGTCTATGCTCGTGCTTAAACAAAGCTTATGTTAAGTAACAAAGTAACAGAATGATTCGATCTACAGATCGAATCAACATGACGATAGGTCCTCGGCTAAATTATCCAAATCTTAAAATGGACCATGGACCCCTTGGGTCAGCATAAATGAATACGAAAGAGCCGCTTTTAGTCTGCTTGTTCTAGTATAGCTCTTCCGGCGGGGATTCTAGCCTCCAATAACGGGTATCAGGTCTCAGCCACCAGTTGCTGCCTACCCTAATTGCCATTAGATGCTTAACGAGACTACATAAGTCTTGGTTCAACCCGATTCCACTCCCAGGCCAACGCAACAACTCAGGCATCATGGCAAGCACATCTCTAGCTACACTCCCAGTTGAGCTCCTGACTCAGATCGGCAGCTATCTATGCCCCTTGCGCTGCGGAAAATATCCCTCCAGCGTGAGCCAGAAGCACCTCTCCAGACTCAGTCGCACATGTCGGCGGCTCCGCGATGTCTGCCAACCGCTTCTATTCGAGTACTATTACCATTCCAAGTCCCTGACACCTCTTCTCTCTTTCCTCCGTACATTGGATGCCCGCCCAGATCTCGCAAAGTGCGTGACTAGTCTGGACTTCCATGAGCCAGGCCAAGCTGATAGCCTCAGCGACAAAGATCAACAGCTGCTGGAGAGCTGCATCGCCAAGCTCGGTCTGCCCCTGTTGCCAGCCGACTGGCAAGACTATCTGGGCACGGAAAGGCGCCTGCTCGCGGCTGAACTTGTGGTCGCGTCGTGTCCGAATATCGAGGTTCTCAGGGTACCCATGAATCCGGAATGGATGGTGAGCGTACTTGCCTCGCTTCCAGAAGACTTTGTCTTTGCGAAGTTGAGGAAGCTAGATGTTTGGCTTTACTATATCAGCGGCGACCACTATGGTATTGGGTATGGGAAGATTAGGGGGCTGTTGCATGCGTCACCGAACCTGGAGCATCTGTCTCTTCCCTCCATTGAGATGTTTTATCCCGGCCAGGCGGGAGTACCTATCTTGGAGAAGCTGAGGCACCTCGATCTCGGTGAGGGTGCGCCGTCGCCGTACTTTCTCGACTGTGTTCTTGAGGCGTGTCCGAATCTCCAAAGGTTCGAGCTTCATTGGGTTGACTCGGACGGATACGACGAGGATTCCGAAGAGTGGTCGCCTTTGGATGGATGGCGGGCCTTGCAGCATGTTCGGAGCTCTGTCCGCGAGATCATCTTCGAGACTGCCATTGAGTTCCGGGACGATGATAATCTGGAAGACGGCGTTTCGACGCTGCGCGACTTTGCGCACTTGGAGATCCTCAAAGTCAATGGCATCGCTCTGCAAGCGTTGTATAAAGTCTGGGCGCATCATAACCGCCACGGCAGTATGGAGGGGTTCGTATACCAGGTGTTTCCGTCTACGATTAAGGAGCTTACTATCTGGGATCCGCATGCGTCGTTAATCGAGGCTGTCCGTCTTCTTGCTCGAGAGGCTGTTCGCGAACGGTATCCCCGTCTAGCGAGGGTAACCGTTTCCCAATCCGAGCACCTGTCAGGATACTTTTTTGATGTGGTACAATGGGTCAGAGAAGAAGCCACCGTGAGGCGCGACTATGAGCGTTCGAGGATAGAGTTGTGCATGGAACTGCCGCAGGTCCCTGATTACACAGATTTCCCCTATGCTTTTAGATAGATAAAGCACTCTCAATATAACAGCTGTCTGGGTGATACAATGCCATCACCTGACTAATTCCTCTCAAGGCGACCCAAATATGTTTCGCTTGATCATCTTCAAAGCTTTTTTGTTTCCTCTCCCTCCATCCACGGACCGCAGCCGCCAGAGCATGCCCAGCACACTCGCTACAACCATTGCCTCGGACTTGGGATCTGTGCATGGCGGTAATAGAAACATACCTTCACTATGAGACAACCTCGTTGACCCGTGATGGTAGGTTGCATGTATTTCGGCCTTGGTTTCCGTTTCATCCACCGTCCTGGGCATCAGAGTATATCGCAGCGGTTCATGCTCAACTGGCTGAACTTGCTAGTCAAATTGAGTCATCTCTGTTCCAAAAGGCATCCGGAAATGGAAGTAGGGAAGCTTGGCTGTCCCGCCCTGGCTCTCTGATGGCGGAATGGGGTATGAGATGCCGATTGCGACTGGGTCAGTCGGCTGTGCACTGTCGCTGTCACCGTTTAATTTGATCCAGCAGACTTCTTCATCAGCCTTGCCAATTGTCGTGGAAACATTGTTAATTTGCATATCGATTGGAAAGGCAAGCGTACATCTCCACCAGGGCCTTGTCCGCCACTGTCGGATCCGGTTGAACATGATACTCCAACTTCCCGACGATAATGCCATTGTCCCTTGTGGTAAACTTGACGGTATATGCGAGAGGGGCGCCATCACCAGTCGCCTCGATCCACCAGGAGCTGGTATGGTATAATGCTAAATGTGAGGTCGTGTCGGAATGGCAGGGTATATACAAGACTCTGGGCAGCTGGCTCCTGTCTTGTTGCTTCTGAGATGCGTAGAGCTCCCTTGCTATAGAGGCTTCCATCTTGTAGAGTTGGACAAGGCTGTGAGTTACTTTAGGTTGAATTTCGTCGTCTTATCTTGAGTGCTTGTAATCTGCCATACAGGCGGGGCAATACGAGTTCGCCCACTTACTACGGGCAAGGTTCAGTTGCCCAAAATTCGTAGCGAGGTTTCTATTCGTGATTGTACTGAAGCTTTACTTCTTAAGTCTATGCACGGGATTGTTGTGCGGGCAAGGAGTACAGCATCCCAGCAGCAGGCTACCAGCAGTACGCTGTGCTTCTCGACCAATGTCCACAATACAATGTCCTATATGCAAAAGCTAATCATAGTAGAGGGTTACTGGCTTAATGGCCAACTCTCGAAGAAATCCGAGGTACTAATACCCCCTAACCACTAAGATCCCAGGGTGTCTAGGGACCCTGGTCTGAATTTCGTCTCACCTGGGGAAGTTTGCCCTGGTTCTTCAGAGCTGGAAAGATACAGGCCATCACATCGGAAATAGAACCCAAGCCGTTGTCGGTAAAAGCTTTTTGTATCTGCGTGATGTTTGTATTCCTGATCTCGCCCGCTCCGGATTCTGTGGTTGCGCCCCCAAGGTCGCGGACTATGTGCAGAATGGAGGCGAAGAAAATAGAAAACAGTTCCTGGGCGCAGAGGGTAGGCCAGGAGCCGGCAGGAATGCGAAAAGAAACAAATTCAATATCTGACACCGTCTGCGCAGGGATGTGGTGCCAACCGAACACTGTTGGATCATCCCGATGATCATCCGGGAGGTCAAGGAGGGTACCCAAGCTTCCGCCCCAACGGTCGAAACGGTCCCAACCCCAAGAATGGAATTCATCGGTGTATCGACTTGTTCCGCCAATCCAGGCAACGCGACAGAATTGGTCATAGGAGCTTAACTTGCAGGAGCTTGTCACGGACCACGCCCACAGCCCAAGCATTGCCTCCAGCTCCAATGCGTCCACGCTCCACTCACCAGATACTTGTCCGTCGCCGTCCACGCTGCGTCTCAGAGAAAGATAGAGAGGCTTCACGACTTCATTTCCAGGTGGGATGTGGGAACTCGGGCAGACGCTATCCGTGGTCGTTTCACACGGGACCGCCCAGTATATGACAAATAGTGCATCCCATCCATCCTCCAACACAATGCCGTCGGCAGTGAAGAGCAAGTTCGCAGTAGCTTCAATTGCTCGCGCCAACGAGCGCGCCACAGCCCGCACTCGAACCAGCTGGTCGTCCCAATCCCTCGTCAGCTGCGCCAATCGGGCCCGATACAGAAATGCCGCGCCGGTCTCCTCCATCCCGGGCCTATCATTTATGGACTGAATAAGATGGCGAAACCGCCACCTCTCAGGAACTTCCCATACGTGGGCCTGTTTACTGACGAGGTTAGGCCAGCCTGCAATATTATCGGCCCCAAAGCCAGATAGGACAGCTGTTTCCTCGTTGCCGAAATATGTGTGGATCAATCTGCTCTCCTCGAGTCTGCTGGTCACGGATTCTACGTTCTGGTAGGATCGCCAGGGTGAAACCATCCACTTTCTCTGGCATCTTGGAAGGTCGATATGCCCAATGTACAGGGCGAGCCAGTCCAGTTCGCGCCCTGCGTAAAGTTCCGGGCAGTCTGCCAGGCAGACGTCTCGTTCAGCCAAACGACTGCTCCGCAGCCATGAGCGTACCATACTCATCAGCAGTGTGAGTGCCAGCTGGGCGACAGCAACGGTAGAATGGCAACCACGGAGACCCAGAAACTGCAATGCGAAGCCCATGACCGTGAAGCCTAGAGCGACCCCCAGGGCCAGGGTTTTGGGAGGAACTCTAGAGTCTTTCCAAGACGTGATGTACCGGTTAAATTGATTGCTGGGATGACTGTATGCGAACGAGTCAAATGCCTGGTCGCCGATGAACTGGGTACCCGGCTGGATCCAATAAAGCCGCGACGTAGCGGTCGAGCTCGAGGACCGCGAAAAGACGCGTTCTTTCGTGCTCCCTTCCACCAGTTGGGCGCACCGAACCATCCCGGTGCTTAAAAGGGCTGTTCCGATGACGAGCACCGGCACCCCATAGCGATCCTGGAAATCACCCCGAGTCCATCCAAGTCTATAACGAGCGATTCCAGCCCATATGAGAATACCAAGCTGCAGAGAAACCCCTACTCCAGCTGTAATAACCAACAGCCGTGTCGGATAGAATCGTATCCCTATATTCAAAGTCAGGTTAGGGTTCGGGGCAAAGGACAGCTTCCGTTCATTAAGTTGTTCCTCCGCTTCCGCGTCGGGCTCAACCTCTGTTTTCCTTCTGCCTTCTTCGATCCATTCCTCCGACCGGTAAATAAAGTGTTTGAAGGGGTAAATCCCTGCAGCCGCTGGCTCGAACTCGCAACGGAAGAAATCATGTCCGAAAATATGCTGGTCATGAACGATCTCTAGGAGCTTCGGGTGTCCCAGGACCCGCGCTATACCCCCTCCGTTAGTATAGAGCTCGCACACTTCGCGGCTCGTCGAGGAGCAGAGCTCGGCCTCGGCGCTTCCGCTTCCTTCCTGTGCCCTTCCGATGAATGCTCGAAGGGATGGTGGCCCGGTAACGCGTACTGCGGATACGACGGCAGTGATGACACCCAACGGCGCAATCCCAAATATAACGGCATCGACCAGTGATAGACATTCACTCAGATACTGCTTGGTGGGAGCCTCCCCAAACAGTGTAACGAAGGGGGAGAGGTCGGTTGCGAGATTGTTGGAGAAATCGTCCCACCAGCCGCCCATGATTGTATTCCGTCCAACAGAAGCAATAACAGACGAGAAAGATATACTGATTCTGACGCTGACGGTGTTGAAGGAAGTGTCGCAGCGAAAGGGAAAAGCCGAAAGGATCACCGCGATGCGAAGGAAGAGAGGGCAGGTACGGTCAATTTTCAGCTCTGTTCAAACTCTGGATGGCTGAAAAGATTCAATGCCTGCCTCTGCGTTGCTGACAGCCATAGGCGCTAACAGCCATAGCAACTGGAGTGAGACCAATCAGCTTCCTACTCTCTGTATCCAACATGCAGACAAATGCAGATGCCAGGTTCCCATGTCGCTATGTCACAAAGCAAGCATTTATTTTTCTGGGCATCGGAGTCTGTGACTAGTAGCAATCCTTAGGTTCGTCCCACCTTCCTTCCCGCTCGCCGTTCGATGGTGAACACTCGGAGCAGATGATCATCCAGCTGATGAAGGTGCATCCTCGATCAGGCTGCGAGTTGTCTTTGCTGTTCGTTCTTGCCGCTAAGCAAACTACCGGGTTCTCTGTCAGTGCGGGGCTCTGGCTAACCAGTCCAGCAGAGTGTTACTCTGTCTCTTTGGATATGTTCTTGGCTTTCAGAAGACCAGCAAGACTGCTAATTTAATGGTTTCCGGGATGCAGACGAGTTTATGGATCCAATGGTCACTGTGGCCTTGTAGCGTACTGGGGAGTTAATACAATGATCCATCCTTACAGCAATACATTCCTGTCAGAACTGGGATTGCTGCTGATTCCGGCTTGTCTCATGATTCCACCTTAAATATAACAGGTCATCCAAAGATATGGTGGGATTTGATAATACTTCGCATGACAGGAAGAAGAAAAAGGTACGTATATATATTCAGAAGATTAAGACCTACTGAGCAACACGGTAAACAAGTAAATAATACCCAGAAAGAAGTCTTTATTGGAATCAAAATTCTTAAGATTTCTTATTAAGCAATAAATTAAATTAGCATTATGCGCTATATATCTAACTTAGTGTTAAGCTTATTAGTGTAAGTTATAACTAAGAGCCAATACTTTACGTATCCCCTACTTGTTACTGTTGTCCCAGGTATATAAAGGGGTGTGACTATACATACCTTATAAGTTAGTACAAGACACCTGTAACTTCACAAGACTCTTAAGATCCCCTTCATTGTTATTAAGCTCTATATACAAACTTTAATTAAACCTTTGAATTCCTCATTAAAATGTGGTGTTTAATTACTCTACTTCAGCCTACAATAGCTTTATATCTGTTATTCTATTAGTATATAGTGCCTGACCATAAACCCCTTCATTCAGCTCAGTCAATGCCTTCAACACCCATTGTCTCTACCACAAAGACTCAAGTCCTCCAACATTCCTATCCTGGACTCTGCCATGAGAGTTAAGGAGAAATAAATGCCTGCATATAACTGACATCTTTACTACCCAGTCACACTTAGAGATGTGTTTCACTCTAGATACCACGTTCCCAGTAAGTTAGGCTTTGGGGCGAATTCAACAGTATGGTTCTATCATGACCTTCAGTATTAACTATACTCCTTGAAATGTTGTAGCTTGCTAATCTCTGATAGATGGCATCAGTATATTGCCCTCAAGATTTACATCAGCTGTTCCAAGGCGAACCAGGAGGTGCGCGTACTGGTGCATGCTTCAAAAATGAAGACAGACCACCCTGGCAGTAGTAGTCTTGTGCGGAAAATGGTAGAAAAATTTGAACTCGCAGGACCTAGCGGTATCCATCAGTGCATTGTCTTCGAGCTGCTATTGACGAGTCTTTTGCATTTCGAAGCAACTTTGGATCCAAAGAGCCTTCCTGAGGACTTGCTAAAGGGCGCACTACAGCAGCTGTTACTTGCCCTTGGTTATCTACACTCCAAACCGGGCGTAATACACACTGGTTTGTGTCTCGTCAAAGCTTACTGTTGGCAGCTAATGTTCGTATAGATCTACAAGCAAAGAATATTGTTATTAGCGCCAGGAATGATTTAATTTTCCATGAATGGGTTGAGGACGAGAAAATTGGCCCGAGCCCGCGAAAGGCTGATGGCGACTACACTGTTTATTTGTCTCTCCCGTTTCGTCGTAAGAAGGGATGGAGCGGGTTTGGAATGCTACTGCTCTCGGATTTTGGGGAAGCTCGTCTGGGCAATGTACACGAGGGATTGATCGAACCAGATATTTATCGTGCGCCTGAGGCATGAGTTGGACATCAAAAGTCGACATATGGAATGTTGGAGTGTTGGTAAGTGAAGTATTCCATACATCACGGCAAGATATAATCAATAAGTACAGACCTGGGACCCCTTTGAGGACCACCATTTGTTTGATGGGAGAGGGCCTGACGGGACTTATTCCGACGCACATCTTCTCGCCGAAATGGTAGCGATGCTGGGCCCTCCGCCACCGGATTTTCGTCGCAAGTCTCCCCACAGCCTGAAGTATTGGGATTCCTCAGGTAATATACTCACTTTAAAAGCATGATTAGTCTTAGCTAACCCCATGACTAGGGCAATGGAAAGGGGCGGTAGAAGTACCGCATAATTCATTGGAGGACTCGGAAGAGTATCTCGAGGGTGGCAACGAGAAGATGTTTATCCAGTTTGTTAGAAAGATGCTGCGATGGGATCCAGAGGAGAGGCAGAGCGCCCGTGAACTTTTAATGGATCCTTGGTTAGCCACTCCGTAGCTGGCCGACCTTCGCCAGTGATTTGATATCAGTGCTTCCGCTTCTCACGGCCATTGATAGGCAGCGCGTATCTAAGACAGAGTGGACTGCAATGGAGAGTATCTCTCTGGGTTGGTACCAGTGCATACCTCCAAAGGATGAGGATGATCAGCTAAAGGTTCAGAGGCACGAGAGGCTCATTTCCTGTGAGCCCCTTTCTTTTCAAAAGAGCTGCTCGGTCTTCTAGAAATGCTTGGTATGGCGCCTTTGGGACTGTCCTCTCCTTGTTATCCCACACTTCATATCCTGTCTGCTCCCAAACTTCCAGTTGCCGTGTAAAATTGGCGCTTGGCTTGACTTTCTGCTTGGATTGAAGGAATGTAAGCACATCCTCTCGCTTCAGGCCGTACTTGCGCATGAGATATGCAATGATGACAGTTGGAGAACGTGATATTCCCAGATCACAGTGGACCAAGACAGCCTCTGGAGGTGCCTCGCGCGGCTTGTCACTCGATTCGTGCTCATTTTCAACAGGTAAAGTAGATGATGATCGTAAGGCTGGAGAAGCCATCTGGTCGATAAAGTCACAGATGTCGCTCATATGAACCAGAAGGTCCTGTGTTGACGAATCGGCGCATTGAACCCATTTGTGACGATGTTCTGGAATCCCAGCTTCTCTAGTAATGCTATTCCACCACACCCACCGAGCATCGGTAAGGGAGACTATAGCGTTGATACGACTCTCGCGCAACATGTCTCGGTTGTACGAGCCCTCGACGTTCCCAAGGAAGAGGCCAGGCACAATCTCTCTCACCCGGGCTGCAAAAGCCATTTCCCATCTTTTGTTCTTTTCCTGCGTCTTGTCGTCCGTTTCCTTTTCGTCGTTCCCATCGTTCCCAATTCTCACTTTGTCTTCTGATTTCCATTTCCCCAAGTGCTCATTGGCATCATTGCTTACATCGGTAGGAGGCCCGAATGATGCAGCCATTGAATCTCGTAAGCAGGATGAGGGTGTAGCTCTCGTGCCTTTAAGGAGATTAAGAGAGTCGCAGGGCTGAGAATCACAAGCGGGGTCAACAAGGCCGTCACATGAGCTGTCTCAAGCTCTCAGCTTCGTCGCTGTTTTCGTATTTCACTGATTTCGTGCCAAGCCTGATTATATTGTTTCTATAACTCTAATCCCCAGTCATAAGGCAGATCACTCCTGAATATTTCTTCTAGTCTGTCTCTTGAGTTCTTCCATGTGCCACTTTGCCTTTATGTGCTAATACCAGCACTTTAGAGAGTTAATTGAGGTGCCTTAGCAATCAACACAACTGCTAAGCTGTAGGCACTCATGTAGTGTATACACACACTCTACATGCTCCTCCACTCACATACAGGGAGAGTGGGACCTGGTCTGGTCTAGATCCCTTGCTGGCATGCTTGCTGAGTGTAGAATGTAGATCTTCGCTGTTGACTACTAATACATTTTCCAGAAAACATGTGAAAAGAAACAGAAATCAAGGATAGCTTCCTTATATATTTCATCGACGGACCGCCTCATCCAAAAGTGTCTCTGTATGATCCCAAACCAGTTCTGGTATCCCCTGTTCCCGATACTGCGCCAGAACTTTCGTACTCGGTCTAACTTCTCCTTTCCAGTTCAGCAAATAAGCACCACTCCCAATTTCCCCATTAGTGCCTGTAGCCACGTCCCCAGTTTCAACTGGGACTCCTTGGGACGCGATGCCCTGCTTAGCCGGATAGCGTGCCGAGCTCAGATGGAATAGATGACGCTCGCCGCTCTCGCTGAGATTCACGGAAAACAGCCACATAAATGGCCACATTACGTAGTTGTAGAATGTCGACACCGGTGCAGGGAAGCTATTGGTGTAGATGTTGGTGCCGACAAGCCCCGGGTAGGCGTGGATGAAACTGACGGCAGGGTGGGTGTTGGCGAGGTGTTCCATGCTGAGTGAAGTCATGGTAATGGAGTGTTTGTAGGCGTTCAGCAGGGAGAAATTGTGTTTGAGGTCCAGGTCAGACGTGTTAATGGAGTACTCGAAGCCACCGCCGTAGATACTGACGACACGGCTTGGCCCTGATGATTCAAGAAGGGGTAGGAGATTCTGGATAAAACGCATGCGGGAATAGTAGCGGAGAGCAAAGAGGTAGTCTATACCCTCGACAGTTTCTGGGTCATTCGTCAGCTGAAGGCAGTTCAAGACAATTTCTGAAGCAGAAGTATACCATTTCGCCCTCCCAGAGAGATACCCCCCGGAGTCATGAAGAGAAAGTTGAGTTGCTTTTCCCGCTGGAGGATCTGCTGGCACGCAGCGTCGACGTTACGCACGAGCGATACATCCGCCTCGATAAAGTGGAAGCGGCCCTTGGGACTCAGTTGTTGCAGTTCAGACAAGAACGGCCTGGCACGAGCCTTATTGCGACCGATGATATAGGCTGTAGGCCTGTCGGCGTGACGGGCCAGCTGGCGCAGGGTGCTCTGGCCGATGCCACTGGTGCCACCAACAAACAGGGCCGTTATGTTGGGGATGGCACGAATTCCAGCGTTAGATGCTTGTACAGTCTTTAGAGATACCATTTTTAGATTACATGAAATGGAGGAGGACACCAGGGGTTTTCTTTACCTTTAAATACCTCTGTCAAGGGAACTCGGTGATCCACCACCGAAGGATCAATAAAAGCGGGCGCTCCGATCCCTCGATCCTCCGACAGGACACCAGGGAATTGATTCCAGCAGCTCTTCGGAAACTATTTAATGAGATCCGAGCTGAACAGGCTAAAACTATAAAACTGCGACCAGCGAACGATCGATTTAGCAGTCTCTGATCCATGGTTGATGCGATGTCTTCCCGCGGCGTCCAGCGGTGGTGGATTACTACATGCTATGATGTCTCACAAAATGCGAATTCATGATCCACAGCCTACAAGGAGCACTATTTGCTTGTTCCGAATGGTTCAGTACGCAATTGCCTGGTCAACGCTCATGGATGCCACCGATGAGGCCAAATCAACGGGCGTGCGAGAATTCGCATATATAGTTCACATTGACAAGAACGACCTAGATGACTTTCTTTCTATATTCAGCCACTGATAAAACAAACTGGGGTCATTGATAGCGCTCTTTCCCATTCCTTGCACGCTCCGTTCATCGACGACATCTCCTGGCAGCCTCATGCGCGTTCCGGGCGGAACTGCGCAAGAAAACCGCATCGCAAAAGGAACACCGCAGCTTCGCCGACTCGCCCCTTCGCTCGCGCTGATGGCGTACCAAGTTACTTCGGTTTGAAAATAACCGGCCGTTGCAACAGGATTCCCAGCAGCGTAATGTTTCCGGCTTCTCAGCCCCAGGGTCTCGATGGGGAACAGAATTGTCTGGTTGAGTGGCGGAGGTGGAAGGCTCAGGTCGTTCGCTTATTTGCGGATTTTGACTTGGATTACTGTTTGAGTACATGCAATCAATGTCATTGTGATGATCGCAAGAGACTGTCTTACCTGGCAGACTGGAGCTCTTGCAAGTCTTGTCGAAGATGCCGAAGTTCCGAGATCAATTCTGCTTTCGATAATGTTGTAGGAGTCGTGTTCTGGTCCGAAGTCATCACCCTCATTCCGTTACTCTTGGAGGGAAAGTTGGGTTCATCTTGAAAAAGATTCCAGGCTTCCCTGTAAAAGTGGATTAGTTGTTCGTCTCGTCTTATGAGTCATGGTATGCAGTACCGATATGTGGCCATGGTGGTGATAGGGATAATACGGCAATAGATGAGAGGGACAGCAAAAGAAAGTACGGACGAGGGAGTGAGCATGGTGAAGTCGAATTAATTAAGAGTCGACTTTAGGTGGCTAGTGTCAGACTACTATTTAGATTGTTATGTTACTGGGATGTTTGCACTTTGCAGGGCTACCTTAGTAACCAACTAACTATGGCTTTCCTTAGTCTGTCAGTCTGTCCTAGCACTGTGAATAACTTTATATGAGCATGGCACGAGCACTATGAGTACAAGGGGTAGAGTATTAAGGAATAGACTCCTTTGGTCAGAGTTTTTGAACTATGCAGTTGATCATTGTAAAATCATGTCGGACTCTCTGTCTGTCACTTCCATAGTATTGCACTGGGTATGCATGCCTTCAGATTTCTCACTCTCCACGGCCCCTTCCTGATGAGTCTTTCAGCTGTCAATGTCCTACATCCACCGGGAAAATAGACAGTTTCCATCTTGCTACATCCTGCATTTATCGTGGTGACTGACCACTGGCATATTGTATCTTGCATTCGTCGTTTCGTATGGTAGCTGACACTATGTTGACTGGTTTTACTTCTTTTATATCCAGAAACCTCCCTTAGATGATTCCCTGAGATACCGTTATGATGCATTCTATACTCTTTTCATTATCCCTCCTCGCGGTGGCTGCTGGCACCCTTGCAGCGCCGTCCACGGCAAATGCTCATCAACCCTTGGTCTTGGAAGAGTGCTTAGCCAGTTTGAATGGGCAATTGCCGTACTATGTTCCTGCAAATTTTCACTTCTCCGGTTCTGTTCGTCGATACTATGTCGCAGCCGAGGTTGTGACTTGGAATTATGCACCAACAGGTATGGAGTCTGAATGCACATCCGTCCATAGACACTAACTGAGAATATGAACGTGTAGGGACCGATAATCCGCGGTGAAGTCGGCGATATGATCGAGGTCGGTATTCACAAATCAAAGATATTTTCTTGCATTATACTAATCTTGGCAGGTCCTGTTCGTCAACAGGATGGAAGATTTCTTCAAGCATGCATTCGATGGGGCTGTACTATACCAAAGTGTCCGAAGGTAGCGTATATTACAATGGGACGAGTGCCGTTGATGTCGGGGACACAGTTCCACCAGGAGGATGCTTTGTCTACAAATGGTGCGTCTGCCCCAGTTTCCAGGGAATATCTTCTGATGCCTAATAATATCTCTACAGGCTCGTGGCAGACAACTCCGCTCCGAACCACGGCCTCTAGAGCCGAATATGGACTTATCACCCGTACGTCAGCATGTATCAAGACCAGGATGCCGGCTCCTATGGGCCTGTGATCATTTACAACCAGGGACAAATGGAGAGGGTCATGCGGCAGAGTCGTGAATTTGTCCTTCTCTACACGGACAACCAGGAGTGGAATTCATTTTTTGCCCTGCACAACGTCCGCAGGTACCTGCCCGGCATGGCGTCTCAGGTTGCGAACTTGTCGTACCAGTATCCAGATGTGACCGGTGGCCGTGGGAATTTCAGCATTTGGTATCCGCAGTTTATCAATACGCCAAAGACTAACGTGACGCCTCAAATGGCGCCAAATTTTTTCCCTGTAAGTTATTCCACCATCCACTTCCCTCTAGGTCTTTTACTTTACTGGCTGATACATGTCTTCATCCGCAACTGAACGGCTATATCCACGCCAACAGCGCGGCCTTCGAAATGTGCCTGAGCGACAATGTAATCTGGTACCTTTAAGACGTAGGCTTTGACACCCACGTCTTCGATCCCGTCTCTAACACCACATCTGCCACCGAGCTTGTCTTCGCAATACATATAGAGCTAGTCAGATCTCCGGTCAGGATGGGGACTCAGCAAACGTGCCTTTTTGTTCTGTATACAGAAAAGAGAAATAAATTGACGAGGATCAACCCCCCGAAGAGACACAATGGGCAAGCAGGCCTTGCACATTGGGAACGTCAAACCTTCCAACCCAGAGCCCATCGATCGCTCGTACTTGTCATTTTGCTTGGTACTCATCTGTGCTGGACTGCAATCCTATGTTGTTCCAGCAAATCTAGTGCCAGAGACCAGAGTATTCTGTGTCTCCTGGCGGAGAAGAGTGGTAAACTGTTGTATGCCAACCGACACTCCAGATACTGCTCTACTTGGTTCTTTACCGACAGTCAGCGCTACCTAGACACGTTTCTCTATCCACTGTGAAGTCTAGCTCCTTGGGGTCTATGCTCGGCCACACTAAAGCTGCAAGGATCAGTTCTTAGTGCTGGCTGACTGGCAAATGAAGCTAATTGTTGTCTTTTCTGAATTCTCAACATGGCACCCCTCATTTTGCGATATCTTGAATTTGAATTGCCATCTTATCAATTTACGTCGTCGCTTTCAAGTCATGCGCTAGTCTTTCAAGTCGTTCGATCGTGTCGACCGTGTCCGGAATTGGTTAGATGCCCTCAACTCTTGTGAAGGGGAGGTGGGGTGGGTAACTAGCAGCTGCTGGCTTCTGTCACCTTCCTATCGCTTTCGTGATTATCGATCCGTCTGATATTCTACTCTACTCCCTCAACATCGACCGCATTAATTCCTTCATCTGGTTAATATTCACAGCATGCATCCATGGAGTTCGGAATAGATACACCCTTTTCACTTCCTGACGATGGTGCGGAACCGGGCAACGGGGGCATGGGACAAGACCAGCAGCAGAAAATGTGAGTGAAATGCGTCGATGCCGACGAGATAACTGAGTTTCCTATTTGCCAACGTCTTTCCAACCCGACAGCAATATTCCTCGAGCATGCCAGTCATGCCGGGCCTCCAAAGTAAGATGCGACCAGCCGAAACCAGGCAAGCCGTGCCTCAGGTGCCAGAAGTCTGGCAAGCCTTGCGTTGGTGCCACCAGCCAACCAGGGAAGAGACAAGAACAATTAAGCAATCGCATTCTGGAGATCCAATCGAGGATCGAATTGATGTTGTCCTCCGCGGAATTGGAGGACAGCGCTGGGGATATACCTCCGTCGAGCGGGGACAACCTCCGTTCGCCTTCGAATTTGTCGCACAACACCCAACAACATGATCGGAATTTGCTCATTAATGGTTAGTCTGCAAATCATACTGAAGTAGCGTGTTGTACTTATCGTTAATGTGGCCGACTCCGCCCACCGGTAGGCAACCATGGGATGGAAGATCTCGAATCTACTATACACTCATGGCTCGCCGAGAACATCACGGACCTCGATGATCGTACTGCAGAGACAATATTCGGTCGCTACTTGAGCACCATGGCTCCCACGTTCCCGGTTGTCGTCTTTCCCCAAGGCGCCACGGCAGCCAACGTCCGAAGTGATAACCCACTTCTCTTCCTGGCCATTCTCGACGTGGCCTCCTCAGGATTCTGTGCGCTTGAGACTCAGAGGAAATTGCGGAAGCTTATTGTTCAGGCATATGTTCATTGCATGCTCCGGACGGACCAATATACCATCGGACTGCTCCAGGCTTTGATTGTGTCCGCCATATGGTATCGCACGATCGAGCCCATAGAGCCCGGGGAACAAATGGACATTTACCAGATTAGCCACACCGCAGCGAACATGGCCTTGATCATGAGATTAGGGGAGAGTCTGAATGCCAAATCTGGGGTTAGCTTCGGGGCTGAGTCGCTGGAAGCTCGGAGAGTGTGGTTAGGGTGTCACTATATTTGCTCGAAGTAAGGGAGGAGAAAACGAGACGGCGTCTCTCTTGCGCGGCGGTGTTAACGTTGTCTATACCAGCACCTCCATGTCCCTTCGCGCTCCGAACGTCATGAGATGGACCCGTCTTATGGACGAATGCCTGGAGGTATTGGAAACTTCGCCAGCGGCCCTTCCGTCGGACAAGGTCCTGTGTCAGCATATCAGGCTGCAACATATAACCGAAGAATTTGCGATGCGATTGTCTACGGAAGAGACTTCTACTCTTGATAAATCACGAGCTGTTCGGATCCAGATGACACATCGTGAGTTCAAACGGCAGCTCAACGCATGGCGTAAGGACGTTGCCGATGGCTGTTGGGACGGTAAATCCTCCTTTTTTGTTGTTTCAACCATGAATGAGACTGATCAGAGAATCTGTTACAGAGGCCCTGGAATTTTCGTATTATTTCTCACACTTGTACATAAATGAAGTGGCGTACTGCACACCGACGAATGATGATGTTACCGACGACTCGCCATCAATTGTTGCAATTGAGACACACGCCATTCCCGAGTTTATGGAAACGACAGATAACATCTTTCGAGTTTTCACCTCGCTGGATATGTCGACGATGCGAGCCCTACCCGCCATGTACTTGATTCGGATAATCTACACATTCATGATCTTGGTTAAACTATACTTTGCGGCAGCCAAATTACCGACTCACGGTGCACGGTTGCAAGTCACCGGACTCCAGGTCTCCCAGCGCCTCGATCGCGTTATTCAGATGTCCGCAGGATGGGGTCCTTTGTGGCCCGCTACGAAATTAACCACCGTGTTCAACAGAATGCGGTCGTGGTTTGAAAGCGAAGACGGCAATCCACAGAGGTTGCAGCAGACACCGCCGTGGCTCACTCTATGGAAGTTCAAATCTCCTTCTCAGAACCGGGACGCGCTTAGCATGGACATGGTCGAAGCTGACTCTGTCGTGCATACTCTGCCCTTTTCGCTTGGATCGCCCCTGGGGACCGACTTGTCGACTGCCGCTCCTTTTCGGTCAATGTCTCACGCTACCGAGTATTGTACTCCTCGAAAGCAAGCCACTGGTTTTATGCAGGATGGCGATCCAATTGAACCAGGTAATATTCCTGATATAGAACCGATGGACGGATCTTACATGGGTTTGGACTGGAGCCAAGTTCCAGACATGGGCTTGGACTTGTGCAACTTGGACGTGCCATTCTCGCCAATCCCAATCCCGAATCCTGACTTTGATCCAGACGCAGTCATGAAGGAAACTTCACGGGGCGGATGATCACAATTTAGATCCTTTTTGGAATACTCAGAAATGATCATGTAGTCTGCGCTCTATTGGAGGAAATATTTCCGTCTGGAGTCTTTGGAAGGACTATATATACCTCCAACAAACCATGATTATGATGCCTGGAAAGCTTGTCATCTAGGTTCCATTTATGCCGTAAGAAGAGACTGAGCCATATCCTCGTAAAAATTAGGATAGAGAAGTACGTCATCCTGAGTCTTAACGTACCTCTGCAGCGTTCCCATCTCCAAGTGTGCCTGAGGCATTTACATGATGGGGGTGGATCCACCCCACTCTGGCCCTGGCTGAATGAGCCAATGAGATTTAGAGGTAAGTGGGGTGAGATCACCTGACTCGTGGTATATGCATGTGACAATTGAATCTGTCAACAGAAATCCTTATCGGGTCACGGTTGATGCGCCTCCAGGGGTATCCATGCTCATATTGATCAGGCAAATTTCCACCTGCAGTCGCTCCGATCACCAGCGGTCTCACGAGCAGTTGCCTTTTTTGTCTCTTTCTTCTCTGTACCTATAATATGATATCATGATACAACGTGATGAGAACCTCGATAAGATGTGGCAGATGTCTCCAGCTTCCCCGCTGATTGGGTCTAGTGGGGAGTCGATAGTTCCCAGTAAATCCAACGGATATTCTCAGGGTTTCCACTTCCATCCGGCTCTAATTGGTTCTCCCCATAGCTTCCTGAGGCCAGCTTCCCTGTTCATTATTCAATAAGGTCAGGCACCTAAGGTACTTTTCTTGTTCTTCCTCAACAAAAAAGAAATTTGTCCATTTTGCCTCACTCTTCTGTTCCATCCCCAATCCACCCAGTAAGTTTCACTCCTCCCACGTCCCTCCACGCCTCATCGGATTATCCTCTCACATTGTCCACTAACAGCTTCCAGATTTCTCTTTGCTTTTTACTCTCTGCCGCCGACACCGCGGTGTCAATTCACTCGTTCTTCTTGCTTCTTCTCCACGTTACCGCCTCCACACCGTCCCACAAATACCCCTCAACCCCTCGAAACGGAGATCTTCAAAGTGTCAGGACAACGGTCTCAGACTGAATTGAAAGCTGATACACTCAATGTCTATTCTCGATACCACAAAAGACCTCTCGGCCCTGTTCACCAAGCAGGTCCATGCGACTCCCGATGCCCCCGCACTAGAAGATGATTCTACCACATACACCTATGCCGAACTAGATAACGAAGTGGATGCTCTGGCTCAGCGTCTGCGAAGCTATGGTGTCGGACGAGACAGCCTAGTTGGCGTGCTTCTCCCTCGGAGCGCTCATTATGTGATCGCCTGCCTGGCCGCTCTTCGTGCAGGAGGAGCATTCCTTGTTCTCGAGCTGGCTTATCCTCCTGATCTCCTGGCAGACGTCCTTGAAGACGCGAAGCCAGTAGTCGTGGTGACTCACCGCGCCGAAGCAAATAAGGTCAAAGCCGATGTGCCGTTGATCGCTCTGGACGAGCCCGCGACACATGCCAACGGACACACCAAGGAAACGTCGACTCCTCTGCCGGCCGAGGATGATCTCGATCGACTCGCCTTTGTGTCATATTCCTCAGGAACTACAGGCAAACCCAAGGGAATTGCCAACCCACATCGAGCGCCTGTGCTTTCGTATAATCTCCGATTCGGCGTGCAGGATCTGCAGCCTGGTGATCGGGTGGCCTGCAATGTGTTCTTTATCTGGGAGATTCTGCGGCCTCTGTTGCGTGGTGCCACTGTCGTGGCGGTTCCAGACGACGTGAGCTACGATCCCGCAGCGCTGGTTGATCTCCTGGCGGCCAAACGCATCACCGAAACTCTCATGACGCCAACGTTGCTGGCCACCGTGCTCGCGCGTCACCCCGATCTCGGTGCTCGGTTGCCTCATCTACGCACATTGTGGTTGAACGGTGAGGTGGTCACGACCGATCTGGCTAGACGGGCCATCAAGGCCCTGCCGTCAACCCGGCTACTGAATTGCTACAGCGCATGCGAAACACATGAGATTGCGTGCGGCGATATTCGAGAAATGCTCGATGACAATGCCCCATATTGTCCCGTTGGCCCCCCTCTAGATCCGAAGCACACCTATATTCTGGGTGAAGATGGCAAGACGGTCCCCGAGGGTGAGAGCGGAGAGCTCTTTGTTGGAGGGCCCCTACTTGCTCGCGGATACATCAATCTCCCCGACACTACTGCCAAAGCCTTCACCGCGGATCCGTTCGACCCCACACCCGGTGCGCGCATGTACCGCACCGGCGACCGTGCTCGCATTCTGCCTTCCGGGCTGCTGGAAATCACCGGTCGTGTAGGTGCAATGATCAAGCTGCGTGGCTATTCGGTGGTTCCTGGTAAGGTTGAAAACGAGATCATCAAACACCTGGCGGTCAGTCATTGTGCCGTGATCGCGCACGGCGAAGGATTGGATCGCCAGCTGGTGGCGTACATTGTCCGAGATCAGGACAGCACCGATCGTCCGGTCGTCGAGATCAACCCCTCCGGTCACAGCCCGGCCGCGCGGCAGACTTTGGCGCCGTACCTGGCTCATTACATGATCCCCGCCCTGTGGGTGGAAATGGACGAGCTGCCGACCCACGAGGTGTCTGGCAAGGTGGACCTGAAACGACTGCCTCCTCCCCGCGCTCCCACTCCGGTGAATGGCAATGGGGCCAAGGAGAAGGATCCCATCGGTATTGACCAAGTAGCCGCCATCTGGGCCACAACATTGCGAACTCCCAAGGCGTTGCTGAAGCCAACCGACAATTTCTTCGACCTTGGCGGCCACTCCCTTTCCCTGGCGGAACTTGCGTCAAAATTCTCGCGAGAGTTCGGTTTCCGCGTTCCCATCGCGCGTTTGGCCGAGAACTCTACCCTGACCGGTCACCTGGAGACCGTGCGGGCCATTCGAGACGGTCACACCGCTGCCGTGCAGGCCGATCTGCCGGCTGTTCTGCGTGCAGACGCAACGTTGGATGAGGACATCAGGCCTTCTGGTGATGTGAAAATCCGATCGGTGGCCGATGCACAAACGGTGCTGTTGACCGGTGTGACTGGATTCCTGGGTGCTTTCCTCCTCCACGATCTGCTGGAAAGTACATCCGCGCACATCATCTGCTTGGTGCGTTTTAACGAACCCGCCGACGATGATCAACCTGGCGGTGTGGCTCGTATCCGTCGCAATCTGCTCGATCTGGGTCTTTGGCGCGACTCGATCATGGAACGCGTCGAGATCCTTCCTGGTAACTTGTCCCGGTCGCGCTTTGGTCTGTCCCCCGAGGCGTTTGACGACCTGGCCGCTCGGGTGGATGTCATCGTCCATGCCGCTGCTACCGTTAACCTGGTGTACCCCTACGCAGCCCTGCGGGGTCCCAATGTCGGAGGAACCAGAGAGATTCTGCGTCTGGCCAGCAAGGGCGGCGCAACAGTACAGTATGTTTCCACCAATGGCGTTTTGCCTCCCTCGGGTGAAAAGGGATGGCCTGAGGACGCCATGCTACCCGTTGAAGACGTTCCCACGAAGCTGCTGGACGGATACGGACAGACCAAGTGGGTGGCCGAGCAGCTGGTCCTGGAGGCCGGTCGCCGTGGACTGCCCGTCAAGATACACCGTGCAGGCACGATCAGCGGTCACAGCGTCACGGGGGCGGCCAATGCCTGGGATTTGTTGTCGGCATTGATCGTCGAATCCATCAAACTGGGCTATGCGCCCGACGTCGACGGCTGGAGGGCCGAAATGACTCCGGTGGACTTTGTCAGCAAGTCGATTGTCCACCTGGCCACGCAGACGCAGGCCGACCAGACGGTTTTCCACCTGGGTGACCCGGATCCGGTAGACACAAGACAGGTGTTTGACGCTCTGTCCGAATTAGGATACCCGACCAAACGACTCGGATGGGATGAGTGGGTTGCACTTTGGACCGAGAAACAAGGATCGGTCAAGGGAGGCGACGGCGCATTTACAGTTGACATTCTGCGAAGTGGTATGCCCACAGTGGAATTCCTGAGGGGAATCGTCGTGCTCGACAACGCGGCTACCAGGCCATTCCGCTCTGTGGTAGAACGGCCCAAGGTCGATCGCGCATTGTTGGAGACCTATACTCGCCATTGGTTCGCTCGTGGATGGCTTCCCAAGGCCCCTGCCCGGCTGGGTAAGCCTCTTGCCGCCATCCGGGGTCCTTTGAACGGCCGTGTGGCCGTCATCACTGGCGCGTCATCCGGCATCGGTGCCGCCGTGGCCACCGCCCTCGTTCGCGAAGGGTGCCATGTTGCACTGGCCGCTCGCCGCATGGATGCGCTTGAGTCTCTGCAGCGGCGACTATCCGGCCAAGGCAGCAAGATCCTCATCCAGCGCACCGACGTCACCGACCGTGCGCAGGTGGAAGCACTGGTGCAAGCTGCAAACGAGCAGCTGGGTCCGGTCGATATCCTGGTGTCCTGCGCGGGTGTCATGTACTTCACGATGATGGCCAACGTCAAGACAGATGAATGGGAGCGCACAGTCGACGTGAACTGCAAGGGTCTCCTGCACTGCCTGTCGTCGACGGTGCCCGGCATGCTGGCCCGCGGCAGCGGCCACATCGTCGCCATCTCCTCCGACGCCGGACGCAAGGTCTTCCCCGGGCTGGGCGTATACTCGGCCAGCAAGTTCTTCGTGGAGGCGACGCTGCAGTCGCTGCGGTTGGAGACAGCGGGAATGGGGCTGCGTGTGACAGCCGTCCAGCCGGGGAACACGGCCACCGATCTGCTTGGGATGTCGACGGACGCGGAGGCGATCAAAAAGTACGGCGAGCCGTCGGGGGCGAAGATTCTGGACCCCGAGGATGTGGCCAACTCGATTGTGTATGCGCTGCGACAGCCGGCGCATGTGGCGGTGAATGAGGTCCTGATTGAACCAAGAGATGAGCCTATTTAGATATACCGGTTTAGAGCTCCTATACTAGCTTATAGACTAATTGACTCTGTATTACGACCATCCTGACAGATAAGGAGAATATGATAGTAGGTAGCTTGTTATAGGTAAGCATGAACACAATAAGCGCATTACGCTATAATTAGAATCCGCACATGGCAGTCAGTCCTTCCATGTGCGCGGGGCCCACGAGGGTGAAGGACTGCATTTAATGTTATCAGCAGCGGCGCTGATTGATGGAAATAATGGATCAGATAACGAAACAGATTGATTGAGCCCAACAGCCAATGCAGAGTAAAATTGCACCTCCCAGAATAAAGACACTAGCTATGCTGCAATGGGGTTGGACAAGCGAGGCCGGTGAAACACGGGAAAACGGGCAGGGCAACAAACATCTCCTGGTCCCAACAGGCTAGATCTGCTGGGCTGACATTGCACCAATCATCAAGGAACTAGACACTGCCAGGTCGGGTATAGAGGCATTGCCAAGCCCGTAGTATCTGTCGTTGTCGGAAGAGATGCGATCGGGTAGGGATATCGAGGCTCAAGGGTCCCCGGTTTTGATTGTTGTGAGGAAGTTCCAGAGACCATTTTCCCGATTCGGCTGGAGCTAAAATACACTATCTCGACTTGTCTGCTCAATCGCCTGCAGATTGCATGGCCTCTGGCGGGAGATGGCCGGAGCTAGTTAATTAAAATAGTATGGCCTAATATAATAGCCTATTGAATCAATCAGTCACGATGTCATGACCGGCGCCGTGGTGCCAGTGCCAGTGTCACAAGCTTATATATGAACTGCGCCCTCTGCGCTCTCGCCCTTGAGGCCATTAAATTGCTCTCTCAGTTCCTCACTGAAAATAAAATGGACATGTACACACATCAATCGATGACCCCCCGTCCGCAACAAGACATGCCCTACGATCTCCGCCCCCGGTCCCTACAATGGGATGAAGTCATGGACAGCGACTCCAACTGCACCATGTCGCCGACGACGAGCAGCTCCCTGCAATTCCCAGCAGTACATATGCCCGCGCCCCAAGACCTGTTTCTGCTCTCGCCGCAAGCAACAGCCGCCTACCAGGATTCGCCCGTCGAGCTCGGCGGGTATCCTGACGTGAATGCTACTTCTAATGTACGTTGTACCTTTCCCTCGGCGATACAGGCAAGAGTGATGTGATGCTAAAAGCTAATGGACAGCCCAACCGCCGCCAATCCCAGAACCGCGAAGCGCAGCGCCGATTCCGCGAGCGGCGCGAACAGGAGCGCATCCAACTCCGGAAGAAGATGGAGGAGCTGCGGGCGGAGAACGACGGGCTGAGTCGGTTGCTGGCCGAGGCGAAGAATGCGAATCTCAAGCTCGAGGTCGATAATGAGCGGTTAACCAAAGAGCTGGAGACGTTGCGGCGGCGGTGGCAGGATGTGCTACGGTTGATGGCGGATATGGTGCAGCAGGAAGAAACCGGTGAGGGGGGCTCGCCGTCGAGTTGTTCCAGTGGAATGTCTTCGTCGTCGTCGTCGTCGTCGCGGAAGGAGGTGCAAGGTCTCAGGAGCTCGATTATGATGCAGATGCTGGTGCTGTTGTTTGATGAAAAGGGGGAGTCGCCTTCGCGGACGGTGATGGCTAGATTGGGGCGTTGTCGGGGGATCCGTGATTATGATTCATCATGAATATTGCATTAATGGAGTTTTGCTTTTTGGCACAAGTAGTCAATTGATTAATCTGAATCTAGTTTCTCTTCAAGTAGGGCACAGCAGCGGCAGTAGCCAGAATATCAGCTTGGCGCTCAACCTTGCAGCGACTGACTTTGGTAAGGTTGGGGGCGGCGGAGAGTCGCTTGCAAGACTCCAGAATGAGGGTTGGTCGACGTATCAGGCAAAGGAGGTAACTATACTTACAAACCCATTCTCTGTCCTAATGGCCGGCATTGCTGAGACCAGGTACAGCACGATCAGGGCCTGGTCGTGTGTTCCAGCGGAGTAGATTTCAGGGTTCGGTCGTTCCAGAGGCTCAGAAAGATTGTAGGTGCTGAACCCGAAGTTTTGCTCCTCATGATGCTAACGAAGAGCTAAATGAAGCCTCTCATTCCTGTGCATCTCAAGCTTGAACACAGAGACCCTGACAGCATTACAAGGGATATTATTGATGAGAATGGAACTGTCATCCGTCAAGAGACACTTGTTCCGATCCGTGATGAAGAAGGGAAAATCACGGGTTATAAGCAGGAGAAGCAGGAGACAAAAGACGAGCCTGAGGAAGAGTACGAGGAAAGCTTTGATCTCGACTGGGACACAGTTGGGATCAGCAAAAGTGATATGCATGCGGAGCAGGAGTGTGAGAGACAAGGGGTAGAGAAGGAGAATGCAATTCGGGAAGAGTTCTTCAGGAGGAAGAATGAGCTCGAGGAAGAGGTTGCTTGGGAAAGGCAGAGTTTCCTTAGCTGGCGAAGTTGCATGACTTTTCAAAGTGAAATTCTTTTGGACCTAAACATGATGAGTTGAAGTGGATACTTTGTTTGTTATTCATGGATCTACCCTCTTTCTATTCTACCTATCGCCCACTGTTACTGAGTCTTTCCGTCATGAAACTATTCCCAGTATGGTGCCTTATGGCCTTCTGAGGGTGAAAGGCGGGAATCCTCATTCCTCAACCTTTCGGGGGCTCAGCTGAGAGGTTACAATCACACTATATTAACTCATTAAGGAAGCCGCTGTCTGCATTACTGTCACAAATACTATTGATCCGAGTCTAGTTCTAGTTCAGTGCTCTATGTGGGATATTGTCGAATATAGAGCACCTCCGCACTATGATATACCATACCCGGTTTGGAAATGTGTTTCGCTCCTCTAATTGGACTACTTCTAGCTCCTCTATAAGCCGTCAAATCCATCCACCCAATTGCCATCGAGATTCGAGACCAACAAAGTCGTGCAGATATCCGCACGCTAGTCACGCTAGCCACGTGCGGGAAAATACTCCCAGTCCCACGTCAGCTTGCTGCTCTGATGGCCAGAAGGATCCGATCGACCGTGGACCCCTCCTAGTCAGAGATCGACCGTCGTAAATTGCGTGGATTGCTGGCCATGACCCCACGAGGCGGCAAACCTCAGCCCATCCTCTTTGTGGACGGCCCCTCGCTGGGCCGAGGAGGTGACGCTAAATCCCGCAACACACGGTCAGCCCTGATCCGCCGCCGCATCTCAGAGAAACGGAGTACATACCGACAGGAGGAGGAGGCCAAGCGAGAGCAATTGATTGCTGAACGTCAGACGCGAGACAGACAGTTAGCGCACCAGGGGTGTACCTGTCGAACGGTCAGGGATCAGGACCAGGCCCTGGCCCACGGATCATTCGAACATCAGACTACAGGGACCCGAACTAGCGCAACAGTACCTCAAAGTCAAACTCAGACGCAAAACTCAATTAGTGACGGGACTCTTTTCCGCATCTGCGGCACATGTGGGGGAGTACGTGTGTCCAACCCGGCGCAAGGAAGCACCTCCCCGGCCCTGTCCCTGAGCATTGTCTCTAGCAGGGTAGACCCCTTTTCTCCGGTGGATGCCAATGTTGGACCAAGCGTAGACGACCTTCTTCACCATGGTTGGTCTACTCTCTCTCTGCACGATCCTGCGATAGACTAACATGCTAGCGTTCATGAACCTCTGGCCCAACTTCCGCCGTGCCGATTACGCCGGGAGATGCTACCAATCGCGGCTGGCTCCGAACTGGGAAAACAATATCTTGATCTATACTACCCTATGGGCCGCCTCGTGCCATCGAGACGTCCTGCGCATCAGCTACGGCTCTAATCCGGTGCTGGACACCCGGGATCAGCTATACTACAAGGGCCGGCTTCTGCGGCTGCTGCGCGACCATGTGGCCGACTATACCAATGAAGAATGGCGAGACGGAGTCATCCTGGCCATCTTGCATCTGGCCGTCAACGAGACCACGAGACGAGACCTCAGCCGTGACCCAAGTCCGTTCACGCCCCCGTTTGTGAACATGCAGTCACTGTCGTTCTATGGCAGTCGGGACTATCATTCCATGCACTGGAATGTCATTTGTCATCTGCTGCGCCAGCTGGGCGGGATCCAGACCGTCAAGCTATTCGCACTGGGCTGGTTGATCACAATGTAGGGCCGTCTACACCCCTTCAGAGGCCGAAGATGGTCCGCTAATTCATCCAGCGCGGACCTAATGAAAGCGGCCCACGCTCTGACCAAACCGCTTTTCCCCCGGGTCGATGTGGAAGGCAACGAGATCAACCTGCCGTCTCCTCTGCGCGTCTTTCCCCTTCCAGACGACTCATCCACGACGAAGAATGTCGGGTTCAGGTATTTGTTATCCGTCTGCCCACCGGTACAAGGCCCCATCGTGGACGTCTTCCTCCACCTCTGCGAATACTCCACCCTGGTCCAATGGTACTACAATCGCCACCTCGATCGATCAGACTGCGACAGTTTCGCCGACGTCCGCAATCAAGTCCACCACGCCATCTTCAGCCTACCCGACGAGCAGGACCCGGTTGAGTCCGTCCTTGATATGTGCGACCTGTCCCCGGATGACTTTTCCGTCTCCCATGGGCTGTACCTCACCTGCCGACTGGCTGCGAACCTATACGCAACACACGTTACCTTTCCACTTCCGCGCTCGGCCTTGATCCGAGCCATGATACTCCCGCTGCTCGCCAGCAAACTCGACCAAATGACTCAGGTCGAGTGCAGTCCGTTGCTTCTGTGGTGTGCCACCGTGGCGGCCATCGCGGCAGAAGAAATGCCAGAACACCCTCGGCTAGTCGAACATGTGGAAACCCTGTGTCGGAGGTTAAGTGTCACGTCGTACCCACTTTTCGTTGGGATTTTAGAAACATTCGCCTGGGTGGAAGTCGCATGCTCGGAGGGATGTCGACGACTGTGGGAGAGATTGGCAGTGCAGTCAGCAGAGGGGATGGCTCTGGAGTTATACAGACGATGAGCCCTCTAGACTAATAATGCCCTAAAGATGTAACGAGCTGAGTAATGATTACTTAATGCCTTAGTTATCAGAGCCCGGACCGGCATTTGAATCCTGATCTCTTAGCGTCGTGTTATTCCTATTGGGGAATTGACTTGCAGGACGGCTATTGGATGTTGTCTGACACCCCTATAGGCTATGGCGTCTACAGATTGTGGCTCATGAGCTAAGATGGGGAAATCTCTGCAAGTCCGGCGAAAGCAAAGATGTCCGAAACGGAATATATCCCCGCTAACAATTAACACGCGACCTTTTCCCCCACAGGTCGCGTTCTATAACTACCAAGCTGCAACTGCTTTCTTTAAATGTTCTTTTTCTTGAGGGAGTGACTGACTCGGGCCCCCAGCGAGTTTGCTGACCATGGCCATAGTTCGAGACTAGCTGGAGAGAAGATCTTAATTTGTGCAGTTGACAATGAACTCGTTTCCAATACAGAAGTTCCTCACTCTATGTAAACCAGAATAAGATCTTTAGAGTAACCCTTGTCACCGATACACCGAATGCAAGTCATCTCGTTTAGCCTCTCTAATGGCAAGTAATGTTGAATGATATAACCTTCGACTGTACAGCTCTTCTGCATCCTTAGCTTCGTTCCTGTTTTAGGACTGTCTTACAAGTCTTGAAGCTCCACACAATGGGCAATTCATGCAATGTTCTGGCCGATACTTCATCACTAACACTTCGGTAGGGGAGAGATTCTATACATTAACATACTTAAACCACAAAAAGTCACTATAGGATCTACACCTGCTAGGTCCTATACATAGAGCAAATCTCTGTGTGGGTCATAAAAATCAGCCTTTCCAATGTACATTTGTTAATAAAGAACCCCTTTACCTGGAACCCTACCTATCACCTTAAAGGCGTGAGTGAATCACCTAACTCACCTAGCTCATTCCTTTAAAGCGGCAATGACTGAAAGAGGAAAGGAAAGTGCCCAAACTAGCTCCTTCATACTCCATACTATAGGCTTCCAGGGTCTGTCGGGCCGTCCGGGCCTCCGTGCAGTAAGATGCGGGGGACACAGGAACCTGGTCCCTGTAACCTCCAAGGCGTTGTCCGACTCCTTCAACCAGTGACTGTCACAGAGCATCTCGGTCAGGCAATTCTGACAATCTTTTTTTGCTTTTCGAAAACACGGGCCAAGGCTGTTTCCGCACAAGTCACGGCCGGACTGCCTCGGTTCCAGGTATATTCCAAGCATTGCCCGTGTCCACTCACCTCGTCCACCTCACCCATCCGTCACCCATGCTGTCTCACGCCAGAGTCATCTTCCGCAAGCTCCGTAGTAGGGGCAGCCGTAGCATCCGTGGCAGCGAGCCCGCGCCATCAGCGCCGGCCACGGCTGCAGAGAGCGAAACCGTTGATCCATCCCCTCGCGCCATCCATATCAGCGATGTGAGACAGTCACCCACCAACCTACCCGTGAGGCAGTCATCCACCAACCTACCCCGCGAGCCTGGTTCCACATCTATGTGCATTATTGTTGCGAACGCCAAAGGCACCGCCGACTCCATGGGTCTTTACAGGGTACGTACCCAGCGTATCATGCTCCCGAGTACCCCCCGGCTGAGCTCACCCCGTGCGGTTCATTAGCTACTCCTGAGAGAGAAGGGTTACGGGGAATACGACCCTACGGATGACTACACCACAGATTACTTTTGCGACGGTTACCTCTACAATATCAGCTTCACGTCACCCAGAGACCTGTGGTGGGGTGGCACAGCTTACCTCTGCCTCCTGCAGCATCTCTGCCTCATCTTCACGTACGACGCTTCATCAAGGGAATCGTGGGACGAAATGGTCGCCTCCTGCGAGAGGTGGCGCAGCCGCTGCGAGGAAGACGGGGTCCTCCCCTTTTCTGCGACAATGATCGCCGCCATGGGTGAAGGTGAAGGAGAACCCGCCGTGTCGCACGCAGAAGCTGAGGCGTTTGCAACCCAGCGGGACTGTCTCTTTGTCAAGGTCTCGCCCACAACTGGGCGCGGCATTTGCGATGCGGTTGGCTCGCTAGTTGAGCTGGCGCACGGCGCTCGTGATCAATATCCTATAGATCAGAAGGATCATACCAAGAGGCTTAACAGGTTGGAGGCATTGCTGGTATTATTTCCTCTCAAGGGATTCCCAGCTCACGACTGGCATCGTCATGGATGAATGAGATACCGCCACCAAGACGGTCAGTAAATACAGCAAATATATTCACTGTGAAGCTGCTTCACCTGCACTTGGTCCGTCGCCGTAGTCCAGTCACCAGTCTTGCATCTCGAGTCTTTGCAGTGAGCTGCTAACTCGGAGTCTATGTCAGCCCACTAAAAGGCAACGAACCAGGTATATTCCAGCCGGGTTGCCCCCAGGATCTTTACAGATAACGCTCGTAGTTTCGGCCGTGGGATCTTGCTTGCCCAGCGATATTCCACACACTCTCGCTGCCAGGTCAGCCCAGGTGCGAAAAAGAGAGAGAGAGAGAGAGACGAGTTGCAAACACAGCTTGCCAACTACAAAGGGATCTTGCTGCTTGCCAGGAATTCCAGTCACGGGAGTCCATTGGTAAGGCTCGGAAAGCCATCTACATCCAAGCATCCGTATGGTTGATTGTCTAACCCTGGTTGTCCTCAGGGCTGCCCACAACTGGTGGTTCTACTCCACTGCGGCGGCTACCGAACGGGAAGAACTGCAAACGCCCCATCATTCCGCGGTCACACGTCTTATACATCCTCGGTCTCTCCAGTCCCATCAGTAACGGCTCCAGACCCAGGCACGCCAGCCCCAGACTCAACTCAATCAGACCATGAAGCCTTCATCCTCTACCCCATGGTGTACTCGGTACCGTCGGGAGGCTGTCTGTACAGATGATCAATGAAAATGTATGATTGCTACAATTGATACGCAAACAGCCATCAGCATGTCATATAAGAAGATATATAGATCTAGAATCAGTTCTATTATGGTACTGAGGTGGTGAACGTCGGTCTTGAAGTCATATTAGTGCTTTCCGGTAGAATAGTGTCCATACATGAGGTCATCGACTACCATTCCCAAGACACCTAGCTACATCAGTCTGGCTTATAGCCAACTATAAATATTGCTTCTGGAGCCCTGCTTCCTCAGACTGCCGTTCCTTACACTGCTTTTAATTTTCCGTTTCTTGTCTCTTTGCACTCTACTCAGGAGATTGCAGCTTCCTACAATGGTGTCTATTCGGAGACTCTGTCAGTGTGTCGCAGCAATTATCCTGCTCCAGCCAGGTCTCGCTACCAATACCAATAATCAGATCCTGTTTGGTGCCAACGGCGAGGCTAAAGCTAAAAAAGACAGTCCAGGTTGCAAGGATGTCTTCTTTGCAACAATGCATGTTCCCCGGAATACCACAGGTGGTGAAAAGTCACTTTCAGTGATACATCGGGATGGCCGGCTGTACGCAGTGAAAGATAAAGATCCAACTCAGTGGGCAATCCAGAAGAACCAGAATGGGCGCTACTTTATCTCCAATACGCATCCTTCGGGTGCGGGTCACTGGTGGTACAGAAATGGCAGGGAGATCGGAGTTAGCCCAGCCAATTGGAATGCAAAAGAGGTCTCATTCGCCCAGGCTGTAGAGTCCGACACCCCGTTCTCCAAGGTCACTGTGTTCTGGGATGACCTGTGCCTGGTGGTACCGGACAGCGAATCTCAGCCCTTAATGATGCTCCCACAGTCAGCGTGCGATCCTGTTATTCTAGAAATTTCCGAGCCCTTGCAGTGGAAGTCCCCTGATGAGATCTGCAAGAATGAGGAAACCTTAGGTAAAAGTAAGTGTAACTTGCTCCAAGTTTTCCTTGCCCACTACTGCTACCTTCCACCTCTTTTTCTTCTTTCCCTCTTTTTTTCTTTTCTTTTCTTTTTCTTTCTTTATCACTTGATTAGTTCTATATTTTTGACTGAATCTTCTGACAAGGTGATAGCGTGTAATACCTATCATGACTGCCCTTTTTGCATGTTTGATTGGCGCTGCTGTCAAGGCGCTAGTAGTCATAGCATTGGGCAATGTACATGTGTACCACCAACGGTTGGGCAAGGGTGGAGATGGAGTTGCAATTAAATGACTCTGCTCTACTTTACTGCTGAACCACCATAAAAGTTCCAGATTTTATAGGGTATATTTGACATGTTTCCATAGTCAATGTCTTCTTAGTCATATTATCTATCTGACTCGCACTTTTCTATATTGAGCTCTCTGGTGAGGTATAGTTAGAACTTAGAGGTCCTAAAAAGGGTCATTTTCTGCAGTATATAGAGTTGCCTGCATGCTTTCTGATTACATTATATTATACCATGGATTGAGATGACAAAACATTACATTAGTCAAACAAGTAACTAGCTAAGTGTCAACCATTCTTACTGCTACTCGCCGTTCTCAGTAAAAGATCGGGTAGTGAGGAAATATATCATTACGAATTCTGGAATGACCATCAGATCGCACGATTCTACCATGGTTCAACACCGCCAACAGAGGGTTCATGCTGTTTGATATGAATACTACGTTAGAATAATAGATTGTCAGAAATTAGACCCTCATTGCTACACCGAGTCCTGGGACGGCCGCACTGCTAACTGCCTGCAGCCTGCCTGTGTTCTGCCCTAGGTAAGCTTAGTATGTGCCTGATCACTTCATATAGCTCAACTAGGACGAAATAATTGCTTCTTTTCCTCCTTTATCACCCCGTTGAGGTCACCTCACTGCGTGTCGTGGTGTCCTATCATTGCGATCTTATACTAACCCATCTTCTTCTCATGAGTCCAATGAAGCTGTTAATAGTAAGCCTGGGCGCAGCATTGGCATTATACACCTGTGGATCAAAAACTCAATGTAGTCACTGTGATCCCATTGGATGTGGCCTGGAACTCCCATAGGCTATAGCCTCCGGGCGTTATGACCCGTGAACTGAACAGTTTGGCCTGGCGTCTCGATAATGCCGATGGGGCAATCTTTGCAATCTGGCGAAAGCAGAGATCTCCCAATCAGACTTATCCCCACATGCAAATTACAGGCCATATGCCATAACGACCAGGCTGCAGCTGCTTTTCTTTAAACGTTGTTCATCTCCCCGGAGTGACAGACTCGGGTCACAGCGAGTTTGCTGACAATGGCCATAGATTCGAGCCTGGCTAAAGAGACGACATTTCACTCAGTCTGTGCAGTTGCCTTAAAACTGTTTCCTGCTATGTATAAGATCCCTCACTGTCATGTAAACCAGAAGAAGACCTTAGAATAATCCTTGGTATTATCTCATGGCTGGGCACGCGACCACCCAATATTACCAATCCCCATGGGATATACACATATCAACAAGCTCACTTCTTCCCCCCCTGCTCAGCCCTCAACTCCAACCCACCTTGCATCCGTCTCGCACCTGCATGCTCCCTCGCCTCCAATATCAAAACCGCCGGATTCCAAACCCACAGCACCAAACTCCCCACAAACATCATCCCCGCATCCAGAACAATCGCATACACCTCATGCGTAAACAGATACCCCCGCCACCCATTCACCAGCTCCATGCTCCGATACACGCCCCTTGCAACCATACACGTAACCGCAACCATCAACTCCAGCGCGATCCGCCTTAGCGCCGGACTCCGGGATATCGGCCCCAACCCGCGGTAGATCACGTACTCGAGGAGCGTCGCAAACACACACGTCGAGAGCAGCTGCCAGAGGATCCCGGCGACCATGGTATAGGTTCCCGGCCAGGGGGAGGTATTCTGGCTGAAGGCTGCGCCGGCGAGGCCGCCGCCCACGGCTTGGAGGAGGAGACTGAGGAAGTCGACTGTCATGAAGATTATGAGGTATGATTTCGGGCGCAGGGGGGATTTGTCGTGTCCGATGAGGGGGATGAGTAGGCTGAGGACGCCGTAGATGCCGGCTGTTGTGAAGGCGGGGGCTACCATATCGTCACCGTTAGCTAACTTGAAGCCAGTGAAAGGGAAAGTGGAGAGAAGGGGAGACAAGGGAGGTACCCATGATTAGTGCGGCCAGCTGCATCTCGAGCAGCTTGACGGAGTACGGGCAGCGATATGCTACTGTACGTCCCAGCCAGCCGGTAAACTCGCCGAATGCACCCAGGGAGAAGGCTAGTCCGAGCCAGATGTTGCGATGCCGGAAGGATTGCCATACGTGACCGATTGTCAGCCCGAGGAAGAGGATCGTGAAGACGATACCAGCAGCGAGGGAGGGACGGTAGCCAAAGGGGGTGTGGATGTTGGGGTTGTAGGGGAGACAGTCGGCGGTTTTCTCCATGTTTCTATTGTAGTAGATGATGGATTAGATGGTATGTACAGTGATATGTCAATTTATCGCGACGGGGTACGGACTGGATTCGTGGGAAGTCAAGTGTACATAAGTAGAGCACACCCTGTAGTTAGTACGTCCTTTAAGGCGTCAGCCTAATACCGAGGGGACAGCGAGTCATGACATTCAACAGCACAACCAAATATTATCATTATCAGTTAGAGACTACAGGGTAATAACACAGAGTAACTAGGAACAAAGAACTAAGAACTACTCTTAACAAACTGACTATCCTCGTCCAACCACCTCTCAAAATCCTTCAAGCCGGGATGCATCTCCCTCAACCTCGGAATATCAGCCCGGTAGCCATGCGCATAGAACCAGTCAAACATAATCCTCATCTCCTTCACCATCCACATCACAGCATAGCAAACCAGCCGAAAGGTCGTCGGCGCCTCCCGCCCCGTCTTCCGCTTCATCGTCTCCTGCATATGCTCATACGTAAGCACATCCCCCGCCAACGACAGGCACCGATTCCGGTACTCAGTCGGGTTCAGAAACGCCTGCGCAGCGAAATACCCGATGTCGCTGACAGCGATACACTGCAGCGGCTTTCCCTGAAGGTACGCGTCCCACGCCGTGACGACAAACCGCCCAAAAAAGTCTGGGGTGATGTTGTCGAAGAAGAAGACTGGCCTCAGCACTGTCCAGGACATGCTTGCGTTCTGCGTCCGCTCAAACAGGTGATGTTCAATGCGGTGCTTGCTGATAAAGTGCGGGATGTTGGTCGCGTTGTCGGTGGATGCGTCCCCGCCGCGGTCGACGGAGGTGTACACGAAATGCTGGACTTTTTGGGTCAGAGCTTCGTCGATTAGGGCCTTGCCTTGGCGTTCTTCTTTTTCGACGGTTTGGCCTTTGCCCATGGGGATCTGCTGGTATTAGTTGATATTCTCTCAAAGGGTTGGGGTGGAGTACCTGCACGCTGAAGACGCCCCAGATTGGCTCGGAAGATACTTGCCGGGCATTTTCGAAGATTCCCGCGGGGTCATCGAGGTCGCCCTGTACGAGTTTGATCTTGGGCGATTTGTCGGCTACTTTTTTGGCGGAGTTGGATTGCGGATTGCGGGTGACGGCCAGGATCTCGATATCGGCGTCTTCGGCTAGGAGGGCGTTGATGAGGGCGCCACCCTGTTTGCCTGTTGCGCCGGTGACCAGGATAGACTTCATTTCTTATGTTTAATGTTGTGTTGACTCTGACTGGTGGAGTTTCACCTGTTAGCACGATGTGGCCGCGTATTTAAGGTGCTTATCACCGAGTTGTCATTCTGATGTAAGACCCTCCGCAAACCCAAATGCCGATGATGAATCAGCCAGCTCTAAAGTCTATATACAAACAGTATAGTATACAGGAGAAGAATAAAATACAACAAGAATAGAATTACACCTTGCCAACACCAGCGTTGGCAACAACCTTGGCAGGAACATCCGCCACAGCATAATGGCCCACCAAGCTCTTCTTGTACGTAGCCGCCTTGGTCATGACATCCGCATCGGTACGGTCCTGCCAGGCACCAGACCCAGCCAAGCGGTTCCACTCGCAGATATATCCGAGCTTATCCAGACAGGCGCCAGCCGCTTTCACCGTGGAGGTGGTGTACAGCTTGCCGCCAGCCTTGAGGGAAGTCTCGGTCAGCGGTGTTTTGACGTTCTCAAAGTAGTTGCCCTCGAGCAGCACCCAGGTGTTGGTGTCGACGTCAAAGGCATGCCCGCCGACATTCTGGAAGTAGTTGTTCACGCCGTGGAAGAAGATCTGCGACTTGGTGTGGTCGGTTCCCATGTGCGGGGCGCGGCCCGAGACATCGTGCAGCCAGTTGCCTTCGAAGGTGTAGTAGTCCTGCTCGCCGAGGAGGAGAAGAGTCCAGTAGTGCTTGCCGTTGCAGCCGGCGGACCAGGAGGTGCGGCCGTCGAATTCGTTGTTGGAGATGGTGACGTGGCCGGCTTTGCCCCAGCCGCTGACGATGAATTGGCGGCCGATGAGGGAGATCTTCCAGTTTTTTGTCAGAGGAATCCTTTACCAGGGGTAGTAAGACATACCTTGTTGTGGTCGATCCAGACCTTGTCCGCGTTGTCGAGAGTGATGGCATCACCGCCCCAGACGTATTGGGGGTTGAGATTCTGCTTGATCAGCTTTGCGCAAGTAGGCGTCAAGGGATACAAGTACACACCGTAATGTGAATATTCTGGATAATCACGTTCTTGTTGCCATTGCGCACACGCAGGCCCTTGCCCTTGATGACACCCTTGTTGCCGACACCCACGATGCTCTTGTTCGAGCCCACGTCCATGGGCGTCAGCGCGGCATTGTCGTACTTGCACGACACCCATTGTCCGCCGTCACATTGATCCTGAATCCAGGCCTGACCCTTGGAGGTGCCGCCGTTGCAAACAGTCGTGGATGGCATGCTGCAGCATTTGCCCGTGGTGGTGCCCTCGGTGCCGATGAAATCCCAGGTCCGGTCGATCAGGATGACGCGGGGAGTGTCGTCGGTGATCCATTGCACCAGTCTATAACAGTTAGTTGAGAGCAATCAGTGTCGGAAGGAGCAAGGAGGCATACTCGTCCAGACTGGAGGGGGCTGCCGGGGTCGCCGAACCACCTCCTGTAGTCCCGGCGGCAAAGCCAGATGGAGAGCCCGTAACCCGAGCATAGGCCTGGAGAGCCAGTAAAAGAGAAAGAATCGCTGTTTTCATTTTGTGTAGCTCTTGCACCCTGCGTCAACCGTCAAGGATATGATCCACGGATATAGAGCGAACTCCAGTTTTTATAGGCAGAAAATTCGCCTATCGGAATGGATCCTCCGGAAGCCCTGACAAAAGGGAAACCGCTGGGATCGGGAATCCCTCCCAGTTCGCAATCGGCGTGTTTCAGAGTGCTCGAAAGGAATAGTGGAAATGTCCCAGGGGCAGGCCAAGAGTAACCGTCGGCATCTGAAACGAGAAAGCCCACATTCATGTTCAATGGAGGCTTTTACAAGCTTGGATCCTTCTGACTCGTAATTGACTAGACACTAATCTACGTGATACTGCGTCTATATTATCTTCTCCACCTGAGCACAAACAGCCGAATAACAGACGCGCTAGAAATGGACATGTCTCGCACGTGTTGGGGCCAAAATATATTTGTCTCAAAATAATGGACAGGTAACTTGGTAAGCATCTTTGAAAAGTGGGAATCTATACTCTGGATAAAGTTATGCACTGAGGTTGATTTGATCACAATTGCCCAAGTTGAACTTCAACAAAGTCAGGATATCAAAGACTCAGAAATGTTTAAGTATACAGTATTCTTATGCAATGTAAAGCAGGGATAACCCCTCCGCACGTGGTTCACCGCTCGTTTTCTTTGTTCTCACATCTCCTTCTGTCCGCATCCACAATGTCAGGCATTCACCTCAGCATAGCAAGACTGGGTAAGAAGTACATAAAGTAAATCAATGAAAGTCATTATAGTAGGCGCAGGAATCGGCGGACTGGCCTGTGCCATTGCTTGTCGCCAGAAGAATCTCGACGTGCTTATCCTGGAACAATCCGCTGAAATTCTGCCAGTAAGCATCGGCATCCCAAATTACAATACTACTGCTAGACAGAAGATGACTCGATAGGTTGGCGCTGGAATCCAAATCCCTCCAAATGGAGCCCGGATCATGAAGGAACTCGGTCTGCTGCCTCAGATCGAGGAGAAAGGCACGAAACTCGAGTCCACGGATCTGCGACGGTACAAAGATGGGAGGATCATCACTTCGATGCCCTGCGGTGAGTCTATAGTGAAGGAATATGGAGCGCCGTGGATGTATGTAGCCCCCGTTATCGCAGCGGCCTGCTGACAGGTGTAGCGTCATACATCGCGCGGATTACCATCAGATCCTTCTCGACAAGGCTAGAGACCTAGGTGTTGAGATTCGTCTAGGAGCGCTTGTCGAGAAGGTCCTCGTCGACGAGACGGCAGTCATTGTGGGTAAAGAGACAATCACGGGCGACGTGATCATTGGTGCTGATGGTTCGTTTTCTCTCCCATCCTCACCTCATGCCCGCGCTCATAAGATAGGCCTCTGGTCCAAAATCCGCGAAGTCGTCCTCGATGAACCCAATCCGCCAGAAGAAACAGGAGACCTAGCCTACCGCGCCACATTTTCGCGAGCGCAGCTCCTAGCCCGGAACGATCCAGAGGTGAAAGCACTCTGCGAGAAACAAGGCGTAACCGCCTGGCTGGGCCCTAAGAAACATGCCGTTTTCTACCCCGTTCGCGGCGGACAAGAGTATAATCTTGTGCTGCTCCAGCCAGATGATCTGCCGCCCGGAGTGCGTACGACGCTGGGGGATGTGGATGAGATGCGGTATGGGTATGAAGAGTGGGATCCAACGTTCGTCTCTGTTCCTCTGGGTTCGGGGGTGTCGAGTACTGAAACCTAATAGGCTGGGGAAGATGATTTCCTGTATCGCGACTGTCCTGAAGTGGAAGCTGTGTCATCTTCCTGAGTTGCCAAGGTGGACCAAGGTCTGTTCGACTGATCCCTAGCTGACGAGTTGTTAATGTTTCCAGGGCTCTGTTACACTACTTGGAGATGCGTGTCATCCAACTCTACCGTATCAAGCGCAGGGTGCCGCCATGGCCGTGGAAGATGGCGCAGTTTTGGGAATGCTACTCCACCACGTAGCATACTCGCAGGACTACAAATCCAGAATCCCACAAGCACTGCAACTCTACGAAGATATTCGAAAATCCCGGACTGCCCGGAACGTTCAAGGGGCCATCCGCAACCGAGGCGCCTTTCACCTCGCCGATGGCATCTTACAACGACTGCGCGATTTCGTTTTGAGCTGGTCAGGCCTAACTCGAGAAACAGACTGGATTGGACTGATGTCTTTGCGACAACGAGCGGTTCTTGGATTTGATGTTCTACAAGAGGTAGAGCAACGGATGCCAGAGCTATCTGCCTGATGATGACACGACTGACAATGATATCACTGCTTCCTTACACCCATAAACCAGTAAATATGCAAGAAAGGCCAGATCATCATGCGATTGCCCGACGTAAACTCCCACTCAGAAACATCCAGATCAGGCTGCCGGAGGAGCTCCCTCAACTCCTCTGGCGTCCGACACCGCAACGTAGACACAAACCCATCAAACGAACATACCACCGAGAACAGCGGCACCACATACGTGAAGAACAGATGCAGAGGCGAATACCTGTACCGCTGCAGCGTATGGAGAAACGGATACAGCACCATGACAGGGATATTCAGCAGCGAGGAGAAGTTGCGCTGCGCGAACTCGAAAATACTGCCAAGTCAGCATCACCACCAGTTCACTTTGAAAGAAGGGAAAAAACCTACATAAACGAATCCGCCGACTCAACCGCGTTCCTCAAAACGCGTCTCGCGACCGCATCATCGAAATGATGAAAACACAAGTTAAACACGCGACACTCCTTCCCCTCGGCGGCAACCCGCCCACAAGACGTCGCATCCCTGCCCTCAGGAATAAACGACACATGCTCCTGCTTCTTGGAAATAGTGGACCAAGCATCGACTCGTGGATGCAGATCAGTTAGCACGAACCGCGCGGGCCGTTTCCCCTGTTCCTGGAGCTGGGAGTTCAGGACGCGCTCCATGGTCGACGTGGGCCCTCCTGCCCCGGCGCAGCAATCTACAAAGGTGTAGGATGATGCATCGGATAAGTTTTCAGTGACGAGCTCGGCGGCTATGCCTGCCGGGGAGGTCCGGCTGAAGGGCGGGATGTGTAGGTTCCAGACGCTGGTGAGGTAGGATTGGATGTAGGCGATGACCCAGTCGGGGCACCAGGATTGGTCACCTATTTCAAAGAGGTGGAAACGGGGAGAGAGGATCATTGTAGTTGTTGATATTTGATGGATAGATAGGGAGGGATAGAGTGAGAGAAAGGAAATAAGGGATCTACATCAGGAGTGGATGATGAAATATTTTGAAAGAGGGATGCTGATTGGTCGAATGGGTCCACATTCATACTTGTTTATTTCGCCCTAATGAATCGCTTTATTATTGACAAAATGGACTTGACTGCTCACTTTCCTGAGCAGACTCATCTCCTAGAGGGGTAACCAACAAGGAAGCCGTAGCAAGCGCTGCCTCCTGCTGCATCCATCCCCCTCCATCTTTCCTGCGAGTGTTTCAACAAGCTATCCAATAACTTCCCGTGTCTCGTCCTCCTCGTCTCCTCCGGCCTCTCCCAAACGCAGTATGCGCTACTTCCCAAGCCGCACACTGAGCAAATCCCCCATTGACCGCGACGAAAGCTCCGCCGCCACAAACAACAAAGGCTGGAACTGGAGGTATCCCTTCAGCAACCAGCTCCACGTTTTAGCCTGGGGACCTTCATGCACCCGTCGAGGGATATCGATGATACTAACCGCTGTGGAGAAGAGTTTCGGTCGTGTGCTCCGAGAGGATATCATGGCAGCAAGCGTAGATGAGCATTGCCCGCGCTATGGATCTCGAACCACATCTCGGCGATGAGAACGCTAGTGACGTGTTTTCCTAACCAATGGATGGGATGTAACGGCGCTGCTTCGACTGAATGGCAGCCAAATGGAATCAACGAAGGCGTAGACGACCTGGTCTCTTCTCCGCGTGCTTGATTCTGAGACCCTTCTCGCTTAATTGACTGACCTAGTTTAGCCCTTCTTATTGGAGTCTCTTAGACTATTACTCTGTAATTCTAGCCCTGATATTCTTAACTGCCCTTGTATTAGTAAACCCCTCACGGCCAGGGCCTTGTCTACTATGATGTGTAATAATCCAACTGTAGAGTCTACTCAGCCTATTCTTAACTTGGTAACCCTAGATTATGGGAGAAACATTTCATCATTAGCTGCTGGTATCTGGCAAGAATAAATATGATCTTCCCTATGAGATTCTCAACCTCTGCCAGGAGGAAACACAGGGCCTGTGCCTCTGAAGCTGCTTCCCTGCGCAAGTTACTATGTCTTATTAACAAACAATGCGCCTTCACCGATGTTCAGAATCTTTTCAAGGGTCTTCTGGCACCCTGACACACCATCGTTTGCCAGCCTCAAACCAGTTGTCTCAATGAATATATCCCCTGGGATAATTACAGAGGCCAGGAAGCAAGCATAAAGTTACACTACTGTTGTCTTTCCTATACCCCGGGTTTTTGAGCTGCGATTCTCCCCCAAAGAAAAATTAACTAAGAATTCTTGCATAATCTCTCAGAACAACATCAGCCTTGACGATGTTAAAGACTAGTTGTAGTACCTTCATGAGTACATAATCATTCTGTCGAAAACAAAGCGTATTTTCACTGGAGGGCCTCGGCTATTTTACAGTCATCCATTATATACCTAGACAGTGTATGCATTTGGGTACGCCTGGTGTTGTCAGCCCGATTAGATTGGCCCAGTTTCTCATGCAGACGCTTTGTCGAGGCGGGTTAAACACTTTTGGGCGCGGATTTTGCCGTCTCTTAGACCCTGTAAGCCTTCAGACAAGCTCTCGAGGCCGTCTTTGCCCGTCATGTAGGGATGAGGTGTGAGCCATCCCTCGCGCAAACCCCGGGAGAAAGCTGCTCCCCAGATCACACCGATAAGCTTATCATTCTCGTCCTCGTAGTGAACTTGTCCCACCATAGAGAAGACAATGTCAACACTCGGGTCGGAGCCCTCGACCTCGGTTTTAAGGAAGATATTAGTTACCCTCGGCCTCTGACCCGTAGCGTCTGCGGGGCCAGCAATCGCGTTAGTAACAAGCCTAATCGTCTTGTCTTCAGAAACGGTATCATAGGCCTTCCAGCAGCGACCGTCAGGAGCACCCCCCTTTTTGACAGCCTCTTGAATCGCCTTGATAAGGCTCTCCTCTGTCAAATGAGCAGTATAGTCGATAAGAACATCTCCCTTGGTTTCGTCGAGGAATGGCTTGATGAAGTCGCTCCGCTTGCTGCCAACAGCGATGATAGGGTGAATATTGGCAGCTGCAGCAAGCTTGATAGCGAAGGCTCCTGTAGCAGTACTAGCGCCATAGATAATTAAAGGACGCTTGATGCCTTTTTTGCCCGCGGACTTGGCGAGTGGAGACCAGGGTTCAGGGAGCTCAAGGTCTTGAAAGAGCGCGCAGGCGGATGTGTAGGCAGCCAAAGGAATTGTGGCCGCCTCCTCATATGAGGTCGAGTCCGGAATGTGGAAGGTAGTGTAGTAGGGTGCAACAGCGTACTCGGCAAATGCCCCGTGAGCAGTCCTCATCTCATGAAAGGCGGCTACGCGGTCCCCTTTGCGAAATCCGACAACATCTTCTCCCACGGCTTCAATGGTACCGGCAATATCGTCACCGCTATTTATTTCCGTACCGAACATGGCCGGGAGCTTCCAGTCCTTCGGGTTGGAACCTTTCAATGAGTCACATTAGCTGCACGTCAAGAAAATGGAGCATTAGCGTAAAAAGGCCGGTCATGGTGACACCAGCTGCCTGGGGACACAGGCTACCACTGCAAGCATTCTAAATCGTTACTCACCCGCGACGATAACCTTGATCAATACATGTCCAGGCTTTGGTTTAGGGATAGGCGAATGGACAATGTCTACTGACAGGTCCTTCCTGACAATCGCTTCTTTCATGATGAGATAGCAGGGCCTGTTCCGTACGTTTCAAGGATCGGCCGAGAGCCAGGATGCAGAAAGTCGAAAGAATTCGTGTATAATAGATAATTCAAATAGTAATGTTGGGATTCGGCTCTATTTAGATATAACTCCACGATCAGTAACATATCAGACTAAATCCAAACCACTCCCGTTCTTCCCGGCATTTCCGGCATCCGGCATAGTCATCTCAAGCTTTTTTCACTGAAATGCACAGCTGCTTGCTGGACTTGATTCCCAAAAGTGGAACCGCCTGTGACGCTGACGATTAGAGAAGCTCTGGGCCTCGGTGGGAGGCCGGTGGGAGGCCGGTGGGAGCCCCCGTGGCTAGTTACAAATACAATACTATTGCTTGATAATCATTGACGTCGACACACTCATCGTCCAGTATACGCCGTACCGCAGAACACAATACATCTTCAGAGAAGCAGGTCACCACCACCCGCATGTCTATGCCTCAGTCCTGCAAAGCGTTGCGGCGGATAGCCAATGGTTCGACTGTGATGGTAGAGGAGAAGCTGCCACCGTCTCTTCAAGCCACTCAGGTTTTGCTTCGCATCCGCGCTGTCTCCCTCAACACAAGGATCTTGTAATTCTGAAGGGAAAGTATCCAGCCCCGGTAATTGACCGAGGTATTCCTGCCTCCGACTGTGCTGCAGAAGTAGTTACGGCTGGGTCCGAAGTGAAGGATTTCACTGCGGCAGATCGAGTTCCACCTACATTTGACCTAAATTCTATCACCGGATCCGATGACGAGATTCAGATACTAGGTGAGGACGTTGAATAGATGTTGGATTCTTGCCTCGCAGCTGTTGCATTGCTTCCTTTCCCTTCACAATGGAGGGGCAGTTGGGATACGTACATTGCGTGTACAATCGTTTCATTTGGATACCCTACTAAGAAGAGTTTTACAGCCTCATGGAGGAGCGACCTGTTTAGAACGAGAAATTGCTCACTCATATCTTGTTATTTTCATATATCCTGAGTGTTAAGGCGATCTCTTACTATCACCAAGACGCGTTAATCATCCACGTTAATCATTCCGTCCTTTACCATAAATCCGCCAGCTATTTTTGCTTTCTCCTTTTCGTTGGTAGTGCATTAAGAAAACCAATAGGCTCCGATTGGTGCAGCGTATTACGTACCAGACACCAATGAAGCAGGCTTGCTACTCCAGACATGCTATTACATGACATTCGCCTCGGTGATCATGCTGTCAGTATACCCAAGGACGGGCACCTGGCGGCGTCCAATACGACTTCAGCAAGTACGAGCAAGACAACTCTCGACTAAGAGGAACCCTTAATAAGCCCCAAGTGATTCTGATTAGCGCGGACTGTGCATTGTCACAAGAACAACTCATGAAGAAATGTCCATTGAAAAAGACCTTACGGAGAATTACAATTGCGAACCCTGATCTTATGCTACCTGATGCAGATAATACTCTGTACGAACAGGTTTCCACCACGTGAACATTGGGTTTGACTGCAGCGGTTGTGAGGCTGTCAGTGAGAGTAGAGTTACTATTCGTTCTCCACGCAAGGACCAGCAGCCTATCATTCATTGGGTTCTTATTCTCTCTGAAAATAGTGTCATTAAGAACACTTGGGGTTGAATCGATTGCAACGGGGGTTCAAGGACGCAATTTGGTTGAAATGGAAGCGGCTGGTATACAGATTAAATCACTTGTTTGGTGGGCGCGGTCTGTGGCTATGCCAATTCCCATAAACAAAATAACAGACCCAATTACGCCGCGGCTGTTGCAGCTGCCTACTGTAAGGCACTTCTATTGAAGGTTGATGGCCTGGAGGTGGAAGAGATGCCCAGCTTGAAAGAGCCAGTGAAGAATGCGAGGGAACTGGCAGATGGAATAAGCAGGATCCGAAACACTCAAATGTATAATATAAAGTGTGATATTCTCATGATAATATGCATGTGCTAATATTTATCAAGAGTTCCCAGGAGTGTGTTCAAAAGATAGACCGGAAACTACTTTTAGAGTCACTTCATCCAATAAAGGAAGCTTCCTTCAATTCAAACACAAATAAAGAGGATGGCCCATGTCTTCCCAGGACTAGAAAAGAGCTGCTGTCACAGGTTGCCGTGTGGGCGAAGAGTCCGTCAAGCAAGTGCATCTTTTGGTTGGAAGGTATGGCGGGTACTGGCAAATCCACCGTACCACGAACAGTTGCTGCGTCATTTCAGATGCATATTACTCTACCCGCAAGCTTTTTCTTCAAGCAAGACGCTGAAGACCTGGATGACGCAAGACGGCTCTGCTCGGCAATTGCACGGCGATTGGCATTCACGATTCCCGGCCTGGCATGCAGTATTGAGCGACAATCGAGGACGTGCCAGATATGGCAGTAAAGCCAGTCGCACAACAATTTAACAAGCTTCCAGTTCAACCACTACGGCTTTTACCAAGGGTGAAAGAATGTGAAACTATACGTCTCCGATTCTTTTTGACGGGCCGTCCCGAACTGCCAAGCTTCTTCGGCTCCAGACATATTCCAGAAGACAACCGCCAGGAAGCCATTTACACAAAATACTGGCACTAGACCTCACCAAAACGCGGGTTGGGTTGGGTTTTCGTTTTCTGAGCCCGCCCATGAGATACCCAGGATGGGTTTCAGGGGTCCCCAACCCGCCTGTTCAAGTAAGAATAGATTGATTCTAGTTTGGTTGGGGAGTCAGGTTTTCTCAGTACCATCCCTTGGTCGTTTTCCATGCTTGTGAATGAATACTTCATCGGGCCAACGAGGCGCCTCCAGGTGCCTTCCGGCTTATTCACGTTCCCAGACGCAGCAGCAGTTAAAGCTTCAAAGTATGGGGTGTTTTAACAATAGAAACTAGTCCTCCTAATGTTTCCAGCTTGGGTTACCGGCCCCAGTCCACTGATCTTGGAGTTGCAGCGGATCAGCTGACACAATATTCGACAGGTAACGGCAATATACTCGGTTGATATACATAATCGCTGCCTTGCTTGCATCGAAGGGCGTCTATACGGGTTTGTGGCTGTTAGTAAAGTTAAGTAGCTGGATTGGATACAGGTTCAACCGTCTAGATGTTGAAAACAGTATTTATCATCCACGCCACAGCCTGTCCACACGTTCTATTTCTTCCCTCCTCGAGGTAACTAATGGAAGTCTCTTGTTCGCCGTCCCCTCCCCATCGAAGGCTTCGACAACGATATTTCTGTGGCCCTCATGAAGCCTCTGTTGCCCTTGCGAAGTGCTCGTGTTCTTTGGCAATGCCTTCTATATGGCTTGTTCGGCCAGACGCACGTCCAGAGTCAGCCGAAGAAATGTCCTCATCTGACTCGGAATCATTGATGATGTATGGAAACTCGATCCGGTCTCGCTGTTCACTGCGCATTGACCGTCTCCATTATTTGACGGAAGTGAGTGAACGACCTTGGAGAGGTGGAGGCTAGTACGTTTCGTCTCTTCGCGCTTGATGGCCTCTTGCAGGGTTGCATCTCCGTTCTCAAGGCGTCCGCTTGGGCCAGTGTCCCCCTATCATTCTTTGCTGTCGGCTGAGGCACGTTGGAGAAGAAGGGCGCAGAGCTTAAGTATCCTGTCTGTTCTCACGTCTCCCATTCTAGGGCAAGAAAATATAACAGCGCGGACCCGGATACTGTACGCTCGACTATGGATCGCGTACAGGTCTGGCGCATCTGCGATGCGGAATGTCGAAAGCGGTGCGGTGCAGTCCATATCGAAAGGCGCTAGCGGTTTCTTTACCCAGCGAAGCGCATTGTCGATATCCACGTGGATATAGCAGGTTCAACCCATATTCAACCCAAAGTGTGGACTCGGTGGGGTGGGTAAGCCAGTCTACTTGTAGTACAGAATACATAAACAAAACGCAGTACTAGACATATCGAAAGACACAGGTACTGGTCATCAAATAGATCGGTCAAACAGAAACAGAGAAGCTAATGTTTCTTCAGTTGTAGCTCTGTATTTTATATTATTCCGCATAATGACAAACAGAGAAAGCATACATCAACACATCTGACTACTATAACAGTGTAGTAAGTAATCGTGCTATGGGACAACCACTGATGAAATCAACAGTATCCATCGCGCAAGGCAGTCTGAACTCTATATTCATCAGCCTGTTGCCTGCTTCAAACCTTATTGGAATTCTAAAGTTGTACCGCCAAGCACAACATTGAAGGTCTCCGAATGCAAATACGACATTTAATGTGCAATATGCGAAACAGTAATCTTATTGACAAGCGGTCTACTGCAACACGCAAAAAAGCGACTGCTGTGAGAAGAGTTTGGTAGGTTCGCTAAGGATATTTCTTCTGTCCTGCATTGTCATGCTGCCCTCGCAAGACCTCAACCCCGTTTCTGCTGGTCAGTTGTACAAGCAATGGGGCTACATCACTCGTTGCAGCCACCTTGCCATGGGCCCAACCTTGGCTAAGTGCATAGAAGACCACGTCTACTTGTTCCTCGGTGTTAGCCTGACCGGCAAAGCGGGTTTCTCCCATAAGAAAAAACACTCTTGGTTTAACCAATCAAGCTCAGGCTGATCAAGTTCCATGTCAAAGTTGAAAACCATGCGGGCAAGGATGAGACGCATTTCAACATATGCTAGGCTGGACAAGGAAATCAGAAATTAGGGACAGATCCTCAGTGCTGAAGGAGGGAAGAGAGTGTTATAGACTTACTTGCGTCCAATACAATTTCTCGGACCATAGCTGAACGGCTGCATTGCCTCTTTGTTATCGTTCGCAAAGCGGGGATCGCCAAGGTGACGTTCCGGGATAAATTGCTCGGGGTCGGTGAAGTTAGCGGGAGAATGGTTGGCAGCCAGCTGAGAGACGGATACCACGGTCTGAAAATGGTGAGTGACGAATGGCGCTTTATGTTGCAAATTGAAAAGTGCACTTACGCCTCCTGGTACCCAATTTCCGGCTATCATGTCACCTTGGGCGTCCACAATGCGTGGCAGACCGGGCGCGACTGGGGGATAGACCCGAAGAGCCTCGGTGAGAACAGCAAGACAATATTGCAGTTTATTGCAGGACTCCAAGTTGATCTCGCTCTCATCCGTGAATGTTGATCTGATTTCGTCTTGAAGTTTTGAGAGCACACGTGGACTCTTCAGCAGCAGATAGGTGACCCCGGACAGCAAAGTCGCGGTCGTCTCGGAGCCAGCAATGATAAGGGTGCTTCCATTGGTGACGAGCTCCTGGAAGCTGAACCCCTTTTCAGTGTTTTCGTGTTTGAGAATGTTGCTGAAGAAGTCCGGCCTGTCGTTGGTCTTGCCTAGCCGAGCCTTGACCTTCTGCGTAGTCAATGCTATGTGTGTATCCTTCTGAGTGATGACATGCTTTGGAGTGATAAGTTTGAGAAGAGACAGTGATCCGGGGAGACGACGAGCCACATTCGCATATGTAGCGGCTCTGATCTGACTCATTAGAATGGATACCCATTGGTGGTAGTCCGAGTTCTGGAGGCAATCAAACGGTTCTCCGAACGCCAGATCCCCGATGATGTCAAAGGTTGTGAAGTTGTACCACTTCACCAGGTCAAGCGCCGCTTTCCCGCCCTCACATTTCTCACGCAAACGCTGCATTAGAAGATCAATATATCCCTTGATAATTGGCTCTTGGCCGCGTAATGCGCTATCAGAGAATCCATGGGACATTAAACGGCGGAAGCGAGAATGGTCCGCATCGTTAGAGACGATTATGCTTGGAGCTCCTCCAGGGGTGGGTGAGTAGAATCGAAAATCCTTGCTTTTTTGCCCATGTCCGGGCCGAGTTCCGTAGATGGCCTTCCATGCGTCACCATCAGTGAAGGAGAGCTCATCGGGAGCGATCCGGACAACATTGCCGTATTTCTGATGTAGCTTCTTGATAGTTTGGGGATACTGGCCCCCTACGATCAGTTGCATATAGGGTATGCGCGTAGCCGCCATTGACTTTGGGCCAGGGTACTTAGCCAAGGGGTGCAAGTAGAGATTGTAGAAGACAAGAGCAGTGAAATAGAGGAGGAACTGCCCCGGCCGAAGCAGCTTGGTTAGCCGAACGTTGATCGACAAAGCCATAGCTGTGGTTGTAAACTCACCGTTCCCAAGGTTCCCCCGAGCAAAAGCCAACCCATGTTCGAAGGGGCTTGCAGCTCTAACAAATCATGAAAAGCCATCATTTGGATTGAGATATCAGCAGAGAATAGTTCGAAAAATGACAGCCAGCTGCCTCAAGATATTTATACACGCCGTACGCTACGGAGTATTCAGATCGATTCCGTTTAGCCGGCTTGCTTGGTGAAGGACGCAATCTCTTGATGCTGACTCGTCGAAAATTGCAGAAGGATTACATGCCGTGTCGATCAATAGAGCTTGAGTTAACCAGTGAGGAGGACACACCTCATATGTGGGCATTACTGACTCTCCTGGCATTATTTAGTTATGCAGAGTTCTCACAGATTATGCGCTTAATTATGCATGATACACCTTTCCGCAAACATTATACTTACATAGATCCAGAGATAGGGTTGGGCATCTTGGTCTGCATATATCAGATGGGAAGGCACAGCAATGTAACAAAGTAACTATGCCTCTGACAGTTGATCATGCTGCTGGTTGTGTTTACAGAGCACATGCGTACACTAGACCCGCTAGGACCCCTGGTGGTGTGCAACTACTACATCCTGGCCTGGTGGGACATTGTCCGGCCACCATAACTGGCACAGAATAGGACAGAAGGTGGGGTCCGGTGCTTAAACTTGGCAATAGCCTTGCCCCTCTGCATTGAGCGAATATTGCAGTCTGCATTTCCGAGCCACGTCACTTTCTTGCTTGCTGCATCCTTGAGCCTAGCTAGGCCGTCTGAGCAGACACAGCCTGGCCCATATGCAGCAGTTCGATTCGTCACCCCTTCACAAGCTATGGATAATGACTTTATGCAACACCAGAGATCACTGTGCCAATGTTGTAATGCATAAAGACCCCAGTAGGGTTCCTTCCCGGCAGCAGATCTTCACGCAGATCGCCTCAATCTGCGTGCGGACATTCAAATCCTGTGGATTATCAGTATTGGGTACTAGAGGATACGCATGGATTATAGATATTATCTGCAATAATTTGTTGAAACAGGCGTCGTCAGCAACCATAAACATGGTCACCAGCACTCTGAGAATACATTACGAACACCGCAGGTATACGCGGGCAATTCTTGCAGGTGGGCGCCGAGGATATCCTCAAGTCGCCTCTGGTCATTGCTGCTTTGACCCTCTTTTTTTTTACTTTTTTTCCTGCGACTCTACAGACACGACGACCTAGCCCTCGACCGCAAGGAAACGGTTCGAGCTTACCGCCACCAAGACATAGCGGAGGTTCTTCTCCAATGCATAAATATTACTAATGATACGGTCTACCGCCAATCCCGATAGCCCCCTGGCCCTGAGTGCCGATGTGGGCAGGATTACAGTGCTGCCTTCCAACATGGCGACTGAAACTCGAAACGATGACCGCCTGAGATTCTTCTGATACACTTTACACGTGAGCTCTAGGTCTTAACCTGCCCTCTTTGTATCAGAATACGAGCTTGCTGATAAAGGCCCAGGCGTCTCACGGACATCTCCAAGGATATCGATACACGTGCGTAATCTATACCTATCGAATCGGGGAGCTTGGTCTACTTATGAAGTTCGGCCCTCACATAATTACCGTCGAGGTACTGAATCTCTGAACGGTCAAGAAGGTTTTCGGAGTCAGCATTTTCATACCTAAAGGTATTTGGGCTAGCTCGTTAATAAAGGTGGGTATACGTTCATATATTTATAAAGCTAGCCGAGGGGCCGACCATCGAAGAGTGCTGGAACTCACTTGGCATTATAAAGAAAAGAGCCATTAATAACCGGCTCTATCAGATCATGGGAAAACTACATAACCTTGCGCATCCCGCCGCGGAGCGGTCCGTTAGTAAAATTGAAGGCGATAGATGGAGCACCAGACTCAATAACTTATGCCTGTTCAGGATCAATAAACCGTGAGCACCTATTGGACTACGCGTTTATCGACCAGCCGAAAACAGGCCCGTTCCTGAGCATAAGGGCCTTCAATGACTGGTTTAGGACCTCACCTAACCATTTTAGAATATCATGTTAACTCTGTAGGACTTCATTTCCAGGTCCAGGTCCCCATAGGCTTTGGTAAGACACATAGAATTCTCTCCGACAGCAACCTCTCCTGCGTAACATTCACACGTAGGGTAACTGCATGGACGTGACGTCCGGTCCGTTGTTGTTTACAAAGCCTTTGGATTTCTGCAGCTAATATTCAAAAAACTGTATATGGTGTGCAGCTGAGTGGCCGTGAACGGCACACTCATCACTGACAGCTTCGTCCTCAGATAAGACATTCTCAAAATCCGACAGCCCCATCACCTCGATCTGCTCAAGCCTGCAGTACTCACTGTCAGACCACTGTTGCCATGGTGATAGCGGCTCCTGCAGCACCACTGGATTCACTACACCAGTCATAGTGAGCTGAGGACCACCGAACAATGTCGACAAGCCTGACTGCGACCTGACGCTGGTACCGGGGCTATGTTTCGACTGTGGCACGGTCATCTGCTGAGCCAAAGGGTTGACGAAGCGGCAGGCTAGGCTCAATAAGTGCGCAGAGTCAGAGCTGGAGTCGGAGCACTCTTGGTGCTGGGCGGAGGCCGGGGCGTCCTGCTTACACAGTTTATGATACATCACAAGGGCGTCCACCTCGAAGCCTTCGCCTTTGGAATGGTCTAGGACACCGAGGCAGGTGAGGAGGTCGTGGGTCAGCGGGTGGCCGTTGGCTTGGCATCTCAGCAGGCCGCTGGGCCACCCCTGGCCGTTGAGGGCGCGGCGATAGAGTTGCTGCAAACCAGCGACCAGCCAGATGTGTTGTTGCTCGAGCATTTTGACGTAGCTGCTGTTATTAACGAATCGCCTCTTACGGGGTAAGAGCAGCTCACCCCTTAGGGTACACTTTGTCATGGGCTTTCTTGCGCTCGCTTAAAATGCAGATGGCATTATCGGCGCGACATCGACAACACGGCTTACCACTATCACACTGACCCGGTCAGTGCTAGGTCTGCGTAGGTGACCCATATCCATTTGCGCACCTTAGTTTTTTTCGAGCGACAGCGATTACAAGCTTTGTCGACGCGCTTGCGAGCGATATTGGTGGACGCGGAAGAGGAGTTTTTGGGAGACATCTCGTAGAATAGTACACAGTGGTAATAACAGTGGTATGTATGGCTGACAGGTATGTATAGCAATTACAAAGTCAAATGGCCCTATGGAAACATAGTCGAAGGCCGAGTTGGTGATTTAAATGCCGCAGAGAAGGTCGGGCCGAAACAATGAAGAGCAGCCATAGCCGGCAGTGCCATCGAATGCAAAGTCAATGATTCCAGGAAATACTCAGCTACTTTAGGATACTATGATGCCAATCATATCCAGGCGACTGAACTATAGATCATAAGAGATACGATTGTGTCCAACGGGATAATGACACAAGCCTGATCTCGGCTTGAAAGTGTAGAATTTCGTCAGAGATGCCGAATATCCGTGGATAATGAATTGAACATAATACTTCTATAATACATAACATAGTTACTACTAATCGCATGGCGGATCTTACCAGGAGCTTTGACCCACCATTGGCGCTTATGCTACAACGTGCACAAATTTTGTGCCCTTGGAATCTGTCTGAATTGTTTCAATGATCAGGTTTGTCTCTAATTCGCCAAACATGGAGCTGGGCCTTATTGCATGGGCTTAGAACTTACCTACAACATGGGGGCAACTTATTCATGACGTCTCCTTCATAGGAGTCTCCTTATGCGCGATAATGTGAATTCGGCCCAGGCACCGAGATACAATAACTGGTCGAGAATTGAGAGAACAAACCTAGGGCGAAAGGTGGGTAGAAAAAATTCATAAATCCAAGGGTACATTCTTCATTTTGGCATTGATATATTAGAAACCTCTCGGGTATCTCTTCAAAATCCAAGCGTATTCACTCGAGAATCTGACTCTTCAATCTTTCGCCTTCTGAAAACAGCGAAGGACTGTCCAACAAAAGTCGAAAGGATTAACCTGTTCTATCGTCGCCTATCTTGTTATCCTCACGCATCAAAAGGAGGCATTCGCAATCTACTTGGTTCATCAGCTTGGGAACATGGCAGATGATGAGAAGATAGAGCCTTCGACTATGGCAAAAATTTCATTCTGGCGCCTACTCTTTGACCAAGGAGTAGTGACTCAACCTGTCCTCAGTTACCCTTACAGTGGCTCAGGGACAGACGAAAACCCCTACGTCGTGACATGGATACCGGATGACCCGCGCAACCCTATGAACTTTACTGAAGCAAGAAAATGGTCATATACAATTCTAGTGGCTATTGCCACATTGGCTGTTACCCTAGTATCATCAGCTTACACGGGGGGCGTTGAGGAAATCCAGCAGGAATTTGGCATCGGCAGCGAAGTGGCGACCTTGGGAGTTTCGCTTTTTGTCCTGGGATTTGCTGTAATTCCTCTTTAACCTCTATCGAAGCTAGCACTAACTTCTTCCTCTGACAGATTGGCCCTTTGCTTTGGGCTCCTCTAAGTGAGCTATTCGGACGCCAGATCCTCTTCATCGGGACTTACGCGCTCCTCACGGCTTTTAATGCCGGAATGTGTGGTTCTAAAAACGCTTGGACGCTGATAGTTCTTCGATTTCTCGCCGGATCATTTGGGTCGTCACCACTCACCAATGCCGGTGGTGTTATCGCCGACATGTTTCCTGCTAAACAGAGAGGCATGGCTATGACTCTTTTCGCCTCCGCGCCTTTCCTTGGCCCCGTGATTGGTCCTATCATCGGGGGCTTCTTGGGAATGACTGAGGGCTGGAAGTGGGTTATGGGATTTCTTGCAATCTTCTCGGGCGCTGTATGGATTATTGGCAGTCTTTTTCTTCCTGAGACGTATGCTCCTGTGCTGCTGCGTCGCCGCGCAGAGAAGCTTTCCAGGATTACTGGAAAGGTTTACAGGAGCAAGACTGACATTGAGCAGGGAGATATCTCCTTTAAGGCGTCGTTTCAGCTAGCATTGTCCCGTCCCTGGATTCTTTTATTTCGGGAGCCTATTGTATTCCTACTATCATTGTACATGGCAATTGTTTATGGCACCTTGTACATGATGTTCGGTGCCTTCCCTATTGTTTACCAAGAGGGCCGTGGCTGGAATCAGGGCGTCGGTGGTCTCGCTTTCTTGGGTGTTATGATTGGAATGCTGATCGCTGTGGTTTATTCCATGGTGGATAACAAGCGATTTGTGAGGGTTGAGGAGGAGAATGGTGGCTTCGCACCTCCCGAAGCTCGCCTCCACCCTTGCTTACCAGCTTCCGTTGCTATCCCAGTTGGACTTTTTTGGTTCGCCTGGACAAACTATCCGTCAATTCATTGGATGGCCAGTATTGCAGCCGGTGTACCATTTGGCTTTGGAATGGTGTTGGTGTTCTTGGGCATCATGAATTATTTGATTGACGCTTATACCATCTTTGCAGCCTCCGTCCTGGCTGCCAACTCCGTCCTGCGCTCACTCTTCGGCGCATCGTTCCCCCTTTTCACTACCTATATGTATCACAACCTGGGAATACATTGGGCCTCTTCGATACCAGCTTTTCTTGCTCTCGCCTGTGTGCCCTTCCCATTTCTGTTCTACAAGTTCGGCCCCACCATACGCAAACGCTGCAAGTTTGCTGCAGAATCCGACGCCTTCATGCGGAAGATCCAGGAGCAGGCAAAAGCTACTTCCATTGCGGAAGAGACGGCTGTCGATAGTACGGCCGCTTCTATCCTCACTGGGACTACTTCCGCTGAACCAGTCTAAAAGCTCCCAACTGTTCGGCATATAGACAGCTGGACGTCGTCCATTGCCTCTACACAGACTGCTCGCTTTATGGGCCGCACACTTACCTACAGAGAAAAGCACTCCAATGCCTAGCAGGCCAATAACCGCTTGGTCCTCGAATATAAGTGGAACAAGGTTGACCTTTGGTCATCGATGATCGCTACTATCCTCGGCACCCCTTGGCTATTTTGGTGACAAGACTCCCATTTCAGGGTTATTGTTGCTTTTATGCAAAAGGACAAGCCTGCCGAGTATTCCCTGATAGACTTAAATTGAGAAATGTATTCCAAACCGAAATCACGTGGCTTTATGAACCTCTGCGCAGGAAAGGCAACGTAGACAACAACCCAGATGATAGAATGGCCAATTCTGTATATTGCTAGCTTTCAGATTTGTGACGATTTTGAATCTCGAATTCATAGTCCGAGTTCGACACAGTTTGGGGTATTCAGCAGGGAAGTCATTAAAAAGCCTTATTATGCAGATTCTTGAACTTGCCTGAGCCCTGCAGATTGAATTTGGTCCCATGATTTGGAATTATCAGGCAAACTTTTTGTTCACCCCTGGGTTTTCTCATGGGTTTGAAACCAATTAAGATTGTTACGGCTTTTGTTTTAATGAAGTAACCAAATCCATAGTACAAAATAGGTGTATGCCCGCCTAACGGTATTTCAATAATCTGGGAGGACATTTCCATTTCTGGATCTATTTTCCAAACGGTTCAATATCAGTGACTTCATGGATCCAATCTTGAGACGTCTAACCGCATGAGCACAGCATGTACATTCTAAAATGTCCATCTCTTCTTGACGCGGTCTAACCGGTACTATGACTCTCAGCAGATGCTCTTAAGCTACCAAAGAATCGATGATAAGATATAGCACGAAAACGACATGTCCGCGCAATATCCAGACCCGTTTAACAGGCACCACAAGCTGATGAAGCGAACTGGTTAGGAAGTCTGGCAGGGTTTGCCTCATCACTAGCCAACTATTGGATGGAACCCGGTTCTGTACCTTCCAGGCTAGGTATCGCCACTCCAGCTATTGAGAAATTCGGCTCGTTGACTCTATACGTGTTTACTTCTCGTTCGACCTGCAGAGTAGCATGTGCTTCATTACGCTGGTGCTAGGCAAGGTATACAGTACAGTGGCGTTGTGGGGAATTAACGTTGCGTAGAAACCACAACCTCAGAAGGCCCTTTGCATGTTACTATTGTGCACCACCAGTACTGATTGTAGCCCAAGGTGATATGCATAGTTGATAGAGAGGCTGACTGTCTCACTTTCCATCCGATGGTTTAGGCTACTAATAGATATAAGGAGAATAGCACAGACCCTTCCCAGCTTAAGAAAGTATTAGAGAGCTGTTTGTCCTAATTTATGGGCTCAGGGGTATGGCTTCCTGAGCTAAAAGTGTATCTTCTTACTTTATGCGTGGTATACACAAGGCCTGGCACCTCATGGCCTACAATAAACTTCTTAAGGGGTAGAATATTTGATGAGCAATAGAGACATTTGGAAAACTATACCATTGAGTGGTATGGGAAGAAGACCACCTTTCTGTTGTTTTTTGATATACCTACAATATGGTGGGAGGATGGCAGCTTTTTTGGCCCCGAGGATCCTCGGATTATCTTGGAAGAAGACGTCCAAGGCGTCGAGGGGATCATTATTTTCAACATGATGATGAATGTCAGGGGGACCCTCGGACAATGTGGATTTTCAAGCCTTACTCCCATTTTCTAACACCATTGACAATTCATGGAGAGGAAAGAAAGCTGGTAGAGAAAAACTGGGCTCCTTTCTTCTACAGAAGCTCTCCCACTAATTCTAACTTGAAACCCAGCGAGTACTTGCACTTCATTTATAACTTCAACCCGCTGCAGGTGCTCGAATGCAGGGTTGAGAATGGGAGCTGCGTCTGGCTCTACAAGCAAAATATCCCAGATTTCCTGTCCTTACCTCATCCGAACCCTAACGGTGAAATGCGTGGGGGGACGAATCAGTGCCTATCCCTCGCATTTCTCGGTCTTTGTATATTTTTGGCTGATGATTGGTTGGATATTTGCTTGGAATATACGCACTTGTTCTTACTACGGTTTGTTCATCAACAATAGTATAGTAAACACAAAGCAGAAGACACGAGCAATAATATAAATATTGATACCGCTGTTCTTCATCATGAACGGCACAGTAGACCAGTCTCTCTTCTCTACCAAGAGCAACAAGATGGATAACAAATTAACTCGTACGGCATACCTATACTCGATCCTGGGTATGTACAGCGTTCCTTGCTCAGCATGCTAGTAATTACTATGCAGCGATAATTGCCCGACCAGCTTCAGCTACCATCCTATATCAAGATCTCCACCTCGTACCCTCCTACGCCAAAGCATACGGAATCCTGATGAGCGTGGCTTTCATCCTCATCTTCCCTCTCGGCGCTACAGTACTTCGTCTTGTCAAGTCCAAACATGCCGTTTGGCTTCATTTCGGCATCCAACTCACAGGATGGGCTCTTATGCTCGGCGGACTGGCAACCGGTATTCGTGTGGGGAAAATACTAGACTGAGTAAGCCATCATCTAGCAATACATGTTCAATTCAATAACTTTTTAGCTACATAACAACGCCCACACTATCTTCGGAACAGTCATCGTGGTCCTCATGCTCATCCAGCCGTTCCTGGGTGTCATCCACCACTGGATTTATATCCGGAAGAAGACGCGCACGGCTCTTGCCCCTGTACATGTTTGGTTGGGCAGGATTTTGATCATCCTTGGTATGGTCAATGGCGGACTAGGGCTTCGGCTTGCGGATAATACTCATGGGGGAAAAATCGCGTATGGGGTTGTTGCTGGGGTGTGTGGTGCGATGTACTTGGCTTGGGTTGTCTATCGTCTTAGACGGAGGGGGAATGGGAGAAAGGAAGTTGAGAATGTAGAATTGCTGGGGACGGTGGAGTAGGTGGATGTCCACTTGTTATCTACTGAGGTTCACTGCTTTCGGTGACCTTCATGCTTTGGAATCGGTCTCTCCCACGGATTATACAGCGGAAATGACTACAGTTGTTGTCGAGCCCTTGTGAATTCTGTATAGCAAAAGTGCAAATAGCAAAAATAGCAAAACAAATCAAAAACAGAGAAACTGAAGCAAAAAAAGACAATTCACTTCCTCGACATGGTAATATTCAGCCCCTTCAACAGAGAAGCAGCGTACCCAGAACCGGAAGCCAAACTCGAACCACGAAGACCCAGCACTGTACCAGTCGATCTCCCCTTCTCTACCTTCTCTTCCCCTGTCTCTTTCTCCTTCTCCTCCTCATCAACATCTTCAGTCACAATACGCGGGAAACTCACAAGACCAGGCGACCGCAGGCCCAACTCATCCTCATCTGGAAGAATACCCGGAAACCCATCAAATAAAGGCGACTGCAGGTCCGTTCTCGCATCAAGATAATTCTCCCTAGACGAAGGCCGAAGGGTCCTAGGCGACCTTTCCGGCGGTTGACCGGGAAAACCCACGTACAGAGGCAACGGGTCAGGACGAGGACGGGTACGGGTACGAGGTGAACAAGGGATATCAGGGCTTCGAGGTGTAGATCGGTAGTTTAGGAAAGTGAAGCTTTCCAACTGGCGTTTGAGGGATGCGGTGGTGTCTTCTGTGTCGCCATCGTCCGAGTCCGAGTCAGACAGCCACAGGCTGTAGAAGTCGTCCGAGTCCGAGCCTTCCTCGTGGTTGGCTGCGCTAGTAAGTCGTTCTGCCTGGGTGGTGACGATGTCAGTACCGATCACCACGTAGTCTTCAGAGATGGAGTCATTACGTCTCTTGGCCGGGTGGAGACCGCAGTCAACCTTGTCTGCGTCTGCAGCGTCGTGGTCTTGGGCGTTCAGCGGGACGTCAAAAAAGCCATGCCATAGCTCGGAGGAAGTGAGGGTTGACGCATTGGCAATGGTGCTGGGCTGAACCGTAGTGCCATTGCTGCTATCAGACTTGTGGTCGCCATCGAGGTCAAGATCTAGAAAGGCCTCGTTGAAACCGCGCTTTCGGGACCTAGGAACCTGCCACTGCATCTTGATGGAGATGACGGGTTCTGGGTTGTCGATTCCTTCAATTTGAATGTAGTCCGGGATGTCGTGAACAGCTCCTTCAGTGCCTTGGGTCAAGCGCTGAAAGTCAAGTTCACACTGCAGACAGTAGACCTCTATCTTAGTGGAGCACAAGTCGTGCTCAACCTTGACGTTGGTACAGGTTGGATCGGGCGAATTCGAGCCGGGCTGGGATAATCCGCGCAGCAGATTGGTAACCTCGACGCAGCTATGGAAATCGAAGTTGGCGATGTGGCCGCAGCGGGTATAGTGGTGGAAGATATATCGACACATTGCGAAAAGCGATGGTGATGGTGATGGGATGTCGATGCCATAGCTCGATTCGATGTGTTTATATACACACAGGTGAGACATGCATCGGAGACATCAGCACCACATCGAAAGCAAAGCACTTTTAATGGGCTATTGTCGCGATGAGACTCTGGCCTTGGCGGACACAAAGCCCTTGTACTCTTTGTTCTTTTTACACTCCCATCAATCAGCTGGCACATCAGTCATACAGGTATGAGACACCATCAAAGACTACTTGACCAGCTCTTTATCCTCTGCCTCTTCCTCCTCCGGCCCCGACTCCCCATCAAGATCCATCAGATACCGCACCCCCGAATCCAACAACCACCACGCCATTGTCTCATGGATGAATCGCAGCATGCGATTCTCCCCCGGCATGGGGGTCTCTGTCTCAGTCGGTCGCCAGCTAATTGTCTCACTGCAGAAGACGACGTCCTCGCCCTCCTTCCAGTACCGGAGCACCCACCGCCCGTCACACTCTTCCATGTCCACGTCGAATTCAACCCGGTCTGGCTTCCGGACTAGAACCCGGTAGACTTTGCAGACAATGTCGCCTTCGTTGAAGTCTAAGGATTGTATATAGGACGAGCGAAAGGTCCTACTCAGTGCCCTGGAGCAGGTTGATCTTTGTTTCCAGGCTTTGGGGAAGTGCGAGAAGACAGTCAAGTTGCGGCGGAGGAGCAGAACAAAGAGAGCGGGGAGATCGTGTGATGGAAGGAGATGGCGCGGAACGGATCGTGAGGCATAATTATGAAGGGAAAAGTATTCTTTTGTGTAGACGGCGGGTGGAATGGACAGGATAGAGGAAGAGATGGATTTGGGGAGAGTGCCGGTATGGAAGACGGGGTGGATGCGGGAAGCCAGGGAACGATGGGAGACGTAGAAGTAAGCTGAGGTGAGGATGACACTGAGAATGAGGAGGGATAAGAGGGACATGGTGATATTATGATTATGGTTAAGAAGCTATACCATACTGTGCTGGTGCGATGGTGGAGGGTAAGAGGTGTAGTCATGGTTCGGGAGAATGTGTCATGGAGCTGTCAGTCGCATCAGGATAGACTTCGGGTGGCCAATAATGCATGACATTTCCGGACAGTCCATCTTACTAAGATCCATCAATTATTATCTCGGGAAATATGCTGTCTAAATATTCAATAAGGCTGACTGCTGCGTCTGACTTGATGGGTGGGCTTGCGGCCGTTGAAGCTTGAATCAGCCATGTCAGACATGTCAGATATTTGATACGCAACCAAATGAGTCAGGACTCGATATTCCTCTCAATCCGAGTTGATCAAGTGTTCTGCCAAGGTTTTCTGACTGTAAATGAAGGAGAATATCCATTCTCAGGTAGACAATAATCATCATGCTGACTGTAGTTGCAGCTCGCAGCTCGCAGCTCGCATACGAGGAGAATGGTATAAGTACAATCAACACCATGGCGTCAACGACACCACCTCAATATCCAACAGACAGGCTTCCTTAGCATCATGTCGCAAAAAGCCCTAATCCTCCCGGAAATCGGCCAGCGTCTGGTCGAGGTTGACCGACCCATCCCCCAACCGGGCAAGGGCGAGCTCCTCATCAAACTCACCTCTGTCGGCCGTACGCCTCCTCTCCTCCATTGCACCGTACAAACTAACCATTGACAGTAAATCCCCACGACCAGAAATCGCGCGATCGCGGTCTCTTCGTAACAGCTACGCCTTACATCCCGGCGCACGATCTCGCCGGCGAAATCATCGCCATCGGACCAGACACAACCACCCACTTCGCCCTCGGCGAACACATCTTCGCGCAGAGCCGGCTCCCACTCAACCAAGTCCTTAACGACTTCAACGGGCTGCAGCAGTACGCCCTGGTGGACATCAAGTATGCCGCCCGAGTAACCGACACCGGTCTCTCGGATGACGAGGCCGCCACGATCCCCGTCAACGTCGCCACGGGCTTCGTGGTGTTTTTCTCCGAGGGTGGATTCGGCTTGCCCCTGCCCGACAGCGGGGTCGACTTTGACTACGCATCGCAGAAGCTAGTGGTTATCGGCGCGGCGACGAACTGCGGCCGGTACGCGATCCAGTTTGCCAAGTGGCTAGGGTTTGGGGTCGTTGTCGCAGTGGCTGGGTTACGAACGGAGGAAGAGCTGAGGGGGATTGGGGCTACGCATGTGGTTGATCGGCATGCGGACGATGTTCTTTCCCAGGTACGGGACATCGTGGGCGATGAGCTCGTCTATGCGCTTGATGCGTTCAATTTCGGACCGAAGCAGGAGCTGGGGGTTGCGGTGCTTTCGGACTCGAGGCGCGGGACGTTGGTGACGCTTGCGCCGGCGGTTGGGGAGGTTGATAGTGCAAAGATTGGGGAGAAGCGGGCGGGATATGAGAGGCGGTTTATCAGAGGTTCGTGTGCTACTCATCCGGATGGTTTTACGAAGCTGTTCTGGGAGAGGATTACGGGGTGGTTGAAGGAGGGGGTTATCAGACCGAGCAAATTTCGGGTTATTGAGGGGTTGGATGCGGATCAGATCAATGCTGCGCTGGATGAGTATCGGGATATGGGAGGGATGAAGGTGCAAGTCCATCCCAATGTTTGAGGATTGTGCTGAGTTGAATGTGATTATTATTAAGCTGCCTCTTGCTACCACGACAGTCTTAGATGTCTAGCATAGTTCACACTCAGACAATCGGAGAGGGTGTTCTTGAAAGACGATGGACATGCCAATCCAGCATCAAAGCAATAAAAATGATTGTTGATCTCCTCCATGAGCCATCTCTTGCCCGATCAACCTATTTGGTTTCCTCCACCTCGAGCGATGCCAACCTCGCCTTTCGTGCCATCCATCTTCGATACACGAAGAGACTAATGATCCCGACTCCGACAATGAAGACAATGCAGAAGACCAGAATAACCCCGGGGTTCTCGCTGGCCCAGTTGCGCCGTTTGGCTAGGTGGTGGATATGCGACTCGCGGAGTGCGATTGCAGCCATTGTCTGTCGTCGTTCGTGTCAGTTTCTTCTTGACCACGAGCTCAATCGACCTACTTACGGATCGGCTGGTGTGAAGCTGAGGACGAGAAGACAGAACAATGACTGTCGGTCACTGTCGGGATGATTCTGCCTCAGATGAAGATGTGACCTGGGAGAACAAAGGCAGTCGACAGGCGAGAGAATGAGAAAATGCTAGAGTATCGGGAGCATCGGAAGATGGATAGGTGCCAGGTTAGCAATGACGTGGTGATATCAACAGTGCAACCTTGACTTGGTCTATGAGCAAAGGGACCAGAAAGCTAATCGACGGAGGATATCCCTGCGTTGTCATCCATCATGGTGACAATTGGACATGATTGCTTCCGATCAGCTCGAGATGTATTCCCTACGTTCAATTGCAGCATCAGCTAGCTCTCTACAGGAGCTCTACTGTCCTCTATCGAGATGGAGCTCTATCCGCCAAGCTCCGGCACCCCACAACCCCACGTCGATCTCCCTTATCCATTCTATACTCATTCTCCATAGTTCATAGACAGGCAATATCTTCTCTACATGAGGGAGCAGCTGGGTCTGTCAATATCAGCAATATGACCATTTGAGAGAAATATCACTGTTCTGTTCGAAATACGTATATGTACCTCTCTTAATCCGTGCAAAGGCCAATGTACCTCTGTGGATCCCTTATTCCGTCTGCGTCACCACTGGATCATCCTCGTTATCATTATCATGGACTGATAGGCATTATTAGGTAGGGAAGCAGAAGATAGTATGAATTACAGCTCTTGACGTCAGCACTCGTTTGTAATGCTCACTGCCCTCTGTATGTGCACCTAAAGGGATCAGGAACATAGGCCAGAGGAAATGCGCCCTGGTTACTTAGAAATCGTGAACTCGTATTTGGGTCAAGCGATGGATATAAATATCTATCATGTGCAGATGCCATTCCCCGATTAATTTCCTCGAATCCCCATACTCGACAGTTTCATCCTTCGAAATGGCCCCATTTCTGGTCTTGATGGCTGCACTAAGGGCGCGCCAAGCATTGGCATTCTCACGATCCGAGCATGTCATCGCGTTACACTGAATCTACCAACCTCATCCCTTCTTTTACTCTTCGCTCACTGTCATTCGTTATGAGAAAGTATCATCTCAAATCATCAAACACCACAATGCATTCTTCAATATCATCTCGTTCAGTATCATTCATGATTCTTCCCGGCTCGAAGATATCGGTATCCGCTGCTAAGGAGCTAACTCTGCGCTACGTCCCTGATCCTCGTATTCGGGCCATGAGGCACCAATTAACGCGTCCACGGACATTGATCAACAATCCGCTTTGTTGAGAATGGAAATGAGTCGGAGCCCAGGCACACTGCTTACCTTCGATTGGCTCCCTTCCTCAGCTTGATCCTTCCTGACTGTTTCCATTTGCGCCATCTGGACTCCCGCTGCATGCCCAAGTTGCACCACAGGGCATGGATCTTCAACCCCTGATGGAGTAAACGATCATCTGTCATCCAGTTTGCGCCAGTAAGCATTGCCAACGACCCTTCCATCCCGGCTCTTCGTGGAATCATCCCGGTGGTCATACATTTTATACGAGATCGCGCCCCCTAGCGTCGTGAGGCTCCGATCCACCACACATACTGCCATGCATTTAAACATGCCGCTCCCCACTTGAGGAGAATCACCGTCTTGACTCCATACTGCCGTGCTGTGTGCTGTGCGACCCTCACATCACCATGGCACCTCTCTCATCGAGGATATTCCCCCTCGCGATCGGTGCTCTCGCCCTGACACCACTGACCTCGGCGTGGACCCTGACATGGCGCAACTCGACCGCCGGCGCCACCATCATCAATGAGAACAAGGCCGAAAACTGCACGCGGATCTGGCACCAAAAAGGCCAACCCTTTGCCTGGGATCCGGAGGGAAAATGGTGCATGCACTTCTACAAGGACGCGGAATGCACCCAAATCGCCGGCTACGCCTGTGACGGCAGGGTCTGGCGTCAGGACGCCAGCCGCGACCTCCCCGCCTTTGACGTCTTCCCCATGCCCGCAGAGTCCGTCAGCATCATTTTCCCGTCGACCACCTCGAAGAGTACGACAACCTCGTCTACATCAACAACTCCCACCTCCACCGCCGTAACAACCACAGCAGCAGAATCCCAATCAGCCACCTCCGCAGCGGCATCAACCACACCGACCCCATCCCCATCCCCGTCCTCCTCCTCCATCTCCGGCGGCGCCATCGCCGGAATCGTCATCGGCGCCATCGCCGCCCTCGGTATCATAGCCGCCCTCTTCTTCTTCTTCGGAAGACGCAACCGCAAGCCAGCCCAGCCCGAGACCGACCCGCGCTCGGCATCCCCACAAACACCGCAATTCCCACCGGGCTCACCACTAGGCCTCGTCTCGACGAACGATACAGCCGGGCCACCAGCGCCAGCATACATCGTTCCGCACAAGCAGGAACTCGCCGAGATGGAGATGTCCCAGGCGTATGCGCATGGGCATGGACATCCGCGCGCATACACAGGCTCCAAGTTCGTCGAGTTACCCGGCAACGGGGCGGAGGCGGAACTGAGCAATAGTCGACAGGTGCACGAGATGGATGGGACGAGTGATATCAAGAGGCCGATTTATGAGGCTGCTTGATTGATTGATCGGGTCGAATTTTGTATATAGTAGCGTTCGCATTCGCATTCGCATTAATGATACCTGGTGTTGGTGTTGGGCCTTGCTTTATTGACAACGCGACGACGGTCGCATGATTCAAATTCAAAAAAAGAAGAACAAAACTATATTTTCTGGTATCATAAATACAAAACACACACAGCTCAAACTAACAACTAAGACACCTAATTCCTAACCGCATGATGCACATCCACCCGCCCACTATTATGCCATGTCGCCAACATCACCCCACACTTCCCACAGTAATGGTCCACGTCCTTCAGCGACGACATCAGGTAGGGTATACACCCGAGACAGAAACAGCAGCACAGCACCGCCGCCCATCCACTATATCCCACATTAGCCCTTTTCCTCTACAGAGCGGGTCGGGGGGTACTTACTGCGTGGTATTCCCCGAATGCGCCTCCGCGCGCGTCATCTCCCGGTGTCCGCACACAGGACAGTCAACGGGCGTCGGTCCGCGCTGCAGCGCGTGCAGCGGCGTCGCGGTGTTGTACCCGCTTGGGTGGCCCATCCCGGGCGCTGCGGCGTAGTATTCCGGCGCCGGGGGGTGCGCGAACTGTTGTTGCTGCTGGGAGTAGTCTTTGGGGAGGGGGGATAGAGGCTGTATGTGTGTGTTTGGGGGGGCTGCGACTATCGGCGCGGCCTGTGCATGGTGGGCTTCTGGGCTGGGGTGTTGCTCGTAGGCTGGCACAGGGGCTGATATCATGATTCTGTTAGTTACAGTTCGTCAATGGAATGAGAGATCAGACGAAACGTACTGGAGTTGATTTTTTCGGCGTCCATGGTGATTTGATTGAGTGGTATGAATGTTTTAGGTGATGGTTTGCTCAACTGGAGCTTGGGGGTATGGACATCTTTTATATGACAGAGAGGGTCTATATATAACTAGGTTCTACCTAACAGTAACGCCCTCGCTCATGTTCCGTAAAGTCATCGGGCGCATTGTGATCGCTGTGAGCCCTGTACTTGTGGCAGAAGGTGAGTGTCCACAATACGAGGCTTGGGGCCTTGGAAGAAGCGCTTCACGAGACTGGTCTGCCAATGTCATTTGCGGACTGGAGCTTGGAGGCTTTGCGTTGAGGCTGTACGGGATCGGCAAGGCTGTGATTGTGGGGCCAGTGAGAGACGCTTATTTACGGCTGCCTGTTTGTACAAAAGAACCTGTGGAGTACCTAACTGATTATTGAAGTTTTACCCTAGCATCCCAGTACCCATGTTGTCAACCATATAACCACTAAGCCAAAAAGGCATCCCCGACACCCGTTTGTGGCTTAGGAGCAATAGTAGTTTAATTTAGTGTGATATATGGGTTCAATAATCCATGGATCTTTAATTTTTGTGGAGATAGTGGTGTTCGTGATACTGACTTGGCGACTAAAAAGGGATGAGTCCTTCGTACAAACAGTGGAACATGTCTTGCCAATGTCGGCTTGAGCGTAAACGGGCCACAGTAAAAAGTTATTATACGAGAAGTTGTCTTGGCCATTCTTTGTTTTGATCTGTGCCTCGTTGCCTGAATCTTTGGGCTGCTAGAGACTGCCTGAGGAACGGTCTTTTGTCTCTGTCAGCCACGCAGACACGAGGGCAATAACAGACATCAAATATGGTATAAGTGTGGATTCGCCAACGATAGCGGAGGCATTAGCTTCACGATTAGAGCGAGTAGGAAGGCCGCTCACTCAGGATATCCTTGGCCATGGAAGACCCCTATTTCAAGCCTTTCGCCAGTCGCATAGTTTGTCAAGCAACTATGAACATTTCGCTTCGTCCGAAGGCTTGTCTAGCAGCGCCAAGTACCGCATTTCACTTCAATTTGGATATTGTGAAAGGTGGTGTCGAAACCAACGTGGTCCCGTCAGAGGCGGTTTTCTCACGGCGAGATGCATTGGGAACACCAGAGGAAGCCAAAGCCTTATTGCACAAGCTGTGGAGAAATTCGCAAATAATGATCCCAACGTTGAGGTTGGTTTTCAGCCAGGAGGGACGGCGTCAACCCATCTTGATACTGGCCTGGACGGGTTCAATGTCATAACCGTCAACTATGGCGCAGATCCCAAGATTGGATATTCACGACAGAGAGGACAAGTCATGAAACGGGTATCTGTACAGAGCTGGCAGTATCCTTGTTGCGCACAGTAAAAACGAGGCGTTGACGATAGACAATATCGAGCGCTGTTCAAAGGTATTGCAAATTGATAAGCAGAGCATTGGCGAGAGCTCTGTAGATCTGTCTTTTATTGTCTTGTCAGTCTGTATGCTCGACGCAAAATCCGATGGGAATTCGGCTCGCACCTCATTGCAACGGTACCACGTAACTAAATTTCGAAGAGCGTGTGTTGGTGAGTCAACGTTGATTGAAGCAGGTGCTCAGTGATTCAGGCGATCAATTTCCATATGCCGTAATGCCCCCGATGCGCCTGCCCATCTTGCGTCCACATTGTGTTTGCTTTCTTCTGCTCCCGACTCAACTGGCATCGCCTCCCAAAGTCTGCCTATTTGGATCCTCAGTCTCCATTACAAAAAACCATTGCTTTGTAGGAGATTGAGTGACTATACTCGGAGCTTTCATTCGCCTTGCTACTCCATTTTGGAAGTCGTGCGTATGAGGAACGTCCCCTCCGGCCTCTGGATCAACTGGGCCCACTGGATCTCATTCTCTCTTGCAGGCATCAGCACTGAATCTGCTCAGTTGGTCTATATACTCAATCATCTTTCCCCAAGCACCAGAATCAAGCCCATAACTGACGAAGAGCTCAGCTCATTGTTAAACACCCAGGGAGTACGTCCTTCTGGCCTCTCCAACACATTGGCCATGACCATTAAGCTGACTCTCTATCGCATCATTTAGCCGAGGCCGTTTCCAATTACCTGCCCCCAACTCCAAATACTGCTGCACCACAAAAGGATGCCATGACACATTGACCCAGAGTCAACAGTCACGGTTGAGGCACGTCGGCGACTGGGTCGCTTCCGCACCCAGAACTACAGCAGTGTGAATCCTATGGCCCTCCGTCGTATGTTGGAGGATCCAAAAATATGTTCCACCATTGACTTTGGTCGAATGTGCGTCACACTGCTTCTGCGTCCATCAAGCCACGAGCCTTCGTTGGCCCTACTCGTGGGTTATCGAGAGAATGTCGACATGTCGAGCTGCTAGGATGCAGCACGTTGAATGAAGAGTGTCCTTTCAATACGAGGTGAGTTCACAGGCCTTTTGGCACCTGACACCGACAAAAGCTGATGGTCATTCGTTTCCTTAGTTGCGCGATTTTCGGGGGAGAAACAATAAACAGGATACAAGTGTCAAGCTGGTGGGATCGGCAGCATTCAGCCAGCGTTTTGTTTTGTCAAAGGAAACAACGGGAAACTATTTGAGTCTACAGCTCTCAGTGTATATACACCCACGAATCTCACGATCTTTGAACTATATGAGAAAATTCTTCGGGACACTTCGGGGTCCCTAAGCCTTTTTTAACCATACACTGACGTGTCCAAGTATTCTCACTTGGATAGAGGGTGTTATCAAGTTTCTCCTTCCGTGGCCCCCATCACGCTGGTATCGTTCTACCTTCTACAACAGCCTGGAGAAGTTTGGACTGCTTGCTACAGCGCGATGCGACACTATCTTCCTTTGAAACATTTGGTCTTATTTTCCACCATTGTGTAGCCCTGTCTAAGATGCATCATGTTCATCGTTACGAAGATGATGATAAATAGGAATTATGTTACACACCAGGATGAATTATGGATCAGAAAACAATAAATGCCAGAAGTAATTGGAATGTGGAGCAAGGGTCGCATGATCATCATAGACGAACGTCAACCTGTCAATCGCCACATCTAGAATGATCCTGGTCCATTTTAGCTACGGCTTGCCGATATGGCTAAATTAAGTTTCGCGGTCGCAGCCCATCACTCAAAAAGCTTTGATAGTTGAACTGTATCCCTAATAACAGTCATGATGAGTATGCCAGCGAAGAAACCCCCTGCGGCCTTGTAATAGACGGTGGGATGATGAGTTGTCCATGGTCACATGGCATCTAACGGCTGGAATCCCATGGAACAATGATGTTTTAACCAACACTTCTGGTATCTCAGTACGCCACAGAAGTACCATATCCTACGCTATAGATCGATCAGCTGCAGGTACAGCGGGGATGTACTTTCTAGAGGCTTCCGGAGAGGCACCATTCGAACTTCGACGATGAAATACAATAATGACGTTTCTACGCTTCCGTGAAGATATATATGGAGGCATATATTCTATCTTCAGGTGACATAGAAGACACCAGACATCAAAGACCAAGATGTATTCTCGCAGGCTTCTGAACTTCCCTCTTAGACACTTCGCTACGCGTCCTCCGATTATCCGCTCCGTGTGGCCGCGCCAGCCATGGCAAACCAGGGCAATGTCTTTGATGCAAAGAAATCAAAGGGACCCTGGCGCTGGCTTTCCCTCCTTGTCTCGAGCTCTTAATGATCTCGAGTCCTTCTTGAACCGCCCAGTGGGCAGCCATGATGTAATGGGTCACTATCCTCGGTTTGACGTCCGGGAGACGAAAGAAAGCTATCGTCTCGACGGAGAGCTTCCAGGAGTGGATAAGAAAGACATTGATATTGAACTGAGCGACGACAATATCCTTACCATCAAGGGACGTTCTGAGCGAGAGTCAACATCAGAAGATCCTGAACAATCCTGGTGGTGTTCTGAGCGTTCGGTGGGAGAGTTCAGCCGTTCGTTTCGGTTTCCTGGCGGTGTTGACCGCGATGGGATCGATGCTAGTTTGAAGGATGGTGTCCTTTCGATTACCATCCCGAAGACGGCTGAATCGTCTGTGAGCAAACGTATCGACATTAAGTGAGAGTGATGCAACGCAACATGGAGGCTATGGTCGCACGTCTGTGCTTGATGGATAGCCCTCCAGATCTGCTATTTGTTTGACAGTCTGCTTACTTTGGTATGGGCAAGGGGATATGATTCTGGAAACAAGGTTGGTTCTTTATACATAATTGGGAATGAATGCACACAAATATTGCATGTATCATGAAACTCACCACTACTGAATACTGATTATATCCCTCTTCGTCGACGATCCTTTCAATTTCACTACTTCGCTCATCCTCTTTAGCACTCTGCTTTGACTATACTCTCTAAACTCTGTAGCTGAAACTCGTTCATTGGCTGGAAACAGCAAAGGTAGGAAATTATACTTCTGGAGGCAAGTTGCAGCGGACGAGAACTTGGCTTTCTATACCTGGATTATCGGCCGGCATTACAGGAAAGAGCTATGCGGTTGCACCAAATAGTGGCTGAAGACCTTTTACATCCTGTCAACGATTCTGCTGCCTAAGGCACTTGTCGCGTGACTCGTCCAAGCTGGCAGATCTTTCTTCGATAGGATCAAATTAGCTTGTCCATTATCGTTACTCCGTTTGCTTTCCAACTTCTCCTTTTGTGACACAGTCACCGAGTTCGTGAGATCATGCAGTTTCATCGAGGAGCTGGCCTCAAATACGATTCATCTGATTGCACCATGGCACCAGTGTTGTACTTGTCTCTTCGCGTCATTCCATGGTAATTGTAACTAATGTGAAGATTTTTCACCTCTAGCACGACATGCGCGTCATGATATTCTCTGGGATGGCTTGCCTATTGCCGTCCTCCTTCTCTTCTTCACTCCTGTTGTACATCTCACAATGGCTTTCACTGCGAAACTCAACAACCTGTTTTCGCGCAGATGGCGTCGCCTAAAGCTCAGAAAAAAGAAAGAGGATTCAAAAAGCAAGTCAAACGATTCAGATACTTGTTACTTGCCTGTGGAAAAAGATGGAGGGACTGCTCGGATTTTGACTCCTGGGTGCGAACAACGTATCCGTACTCTTATTTGGATGGTGCCTGCATACGGGATTTCAAGGCTTCCTACAACCCTCCCAACAGAGGTTTTCCCGAATGGTTACAGTACCGAGCAGAAGAGTATATGAGGGCCCTTCAAGAATTGCTTCAACGCGCTGGTATTAAGGGTATTGAATGGTTCAAGTCACCAGTTGCCGACGAGAGCGTGGATAAACTGATATGGCTTTTCGGACTACTGCTGCGCGAAACACCACACATGCCTCCCTTGGATTCCCACAGGATCTACCATTGCTACAACGTCCTGCGAGACTCCCTTTCTGGGCCAGACTTGCGGGCCGATCCAGCTTTGGACCGTCATAATCAGTCACTCTGTGTAGCCGTGTTCGGAAAGGAAGAGCCAAAGCCTGAGCCCCCTAAGCCTCAATTTGGAAGCCAATGGAGGAATTGCGAAACAGTCGACGACTTTGTGAGACACTTCAATCTGGATGACGATGTGAAGGGCTACATCGTTCCACCCGGCTCAAAAATCAAACCCGATCTCCCTGCTTGGCTGAAAGAAGGTGCCAAGGAGTATCTGGATGTTGTACTACGATATCTGAGGAAGGGTAATTGGGAAGGTATTTCGTACGGCTGTACTGTGTACACTGCCCGCTTTTCCGAAGACGTCTTGATCCAGACATATGCCGAATTAATGAGAATAAGCCCATACTTTGACATGCAAAGGCTATCCAGCTACCATGAAGCGCTGCTAAGATTGTTGCCAATTGACTGGCACCGCCTACCTGTCCATCGATGGAAGGATGGACTTTTTCCTAGGCGCTCCCTACATGATGCGACTGGCCCTCTTTACGAGCAGATCCTGCATCGATTTTATGAATTCAATAGCTATGGATCTCACCGCAATTTTGCACCTTATACTGCTCTCGTAGGCGCTGGAGGATATGGCAAGAGCTTCTTTGTGCAGCAATTGGCTGTACAAGGCTACACATATGTTGTGTACCTCCAGTCACAAGGGGACAACACTCATCTCCAGTGGTATTCATCTGAAAGCTATACCTTGGCGAATTCGGCATTGAACGGTCCCCTGGATCGGCAACGAATACTCGAGTGCTTCATAGCTGTCAGTCTGTTCAATGTTAAGCTGTGCAGAGATGTTGGCATCGGTCCTCGAGCATTTTTCAATATGCAGACTGGGATCGCGTTTCGCTCATCCAACGACACCCTCAGGAAGTTCACAAAGGTCCTATGGACGGCATTTGCAAAGTTTACACAAACTGTTCACCACGTAACTGAGCAAATACGGCCACCGGGCTGTCCGGAGGATGATGACAAGTATTGGAACCAAGCTCTGAAATATTGTTTAGACAAGTACGCGGCACTCATGTGGAGCAAATTCTTCACAATACGTGCAGTATTGCCAATTTACCAGGCGTACCATGAGTATCAAGACCCTCCTAGCGGCGATACTACCCTCAAAGAAGGGAATCCTGCTATGGTCTTATGCATCGATGAACTGCCCCTGAGTGAGCTGTGGCTTCCCAGCGAGGAACCTAAATGGCCGTGGTATAACGAGATGATAAAAGCCATCTCGAGTCGCGTAAACCATGATTGGGATGCTTCAGAAGACCGGTTCTTTGCTTTGTTCGTACATCGAGATTCGTCTGATATGCCGCCGAACCCCAATCATCCCTTTCCTGATATTCAGATCGAGCAATTGAAGTAGAACCTGTCTTGGCACGTTCGGAAATACTCAGTCTCATACATGGTGATCTAACTTGCTATTATTCTGGAATATGCTTGGTTTCTGCCGCCACAATGTAAGGCTACTTCGGAACTGCTCTCAGTTCGCCAGACGTTTAGCAGTGCTTGGTTTAGGATAATGGAGTCCATCGTTTGAAATCATCGCCGGGAATTAAAGAAGTAGTAGATCACGCAACATATCTTAATATGCAGCATTATGCTTCCCAATAGACGTATCGTTAGATTCTCCTATACTTGTTTGCAGGGCATTGCCATTCTTTTCGCAGAAAAGTACCCTTCCCTGCTAGTTTTCTCGTAAAGCTGCATCATTTTATCCGTTCTTCTTGAGTTTTGAGTCTCGGGAAGTGATATGTACCTCTTGGGTTCTACCATCCTAAATTCTGAGCCTTGCCCTCAGGTTCCCCTGAGCAGCCACACAAGTGGATTGTCGCCAGGGAACGGGACCGCGCTCTCGGCAGCTCGTAGGGTCGTCGGAACGAGTCCGTTCGTCTGCTGAATGCTTCGTCATCATCCGGGTCCCCATGTTCTTTTAGGAGAGCAGCTGTATCCCTGTTGGGTGTTCGGCTAAATCAGGTAGACACTGGCTTCGAGCTACCAGCGCAGATAGAACTCCTCAAACACGCAGAGAGACGGTAAGATTGTGCATCCAATACTTTAAGGTTGTCCTTGTCAACGGAAAAGACCGTGTTCGCAAAATTGTCAATTTCCCCAGGATGGATTGGCTTGGCCTGTCACCTTTCCAGACGTTCATAAGAACGGCCTCAGAATGCTCCTTCAATTGTGACCTTGGCAGAAATATTACGAGTCAGACACTTTTTCTATTGAGTGGAATCCAAGGTAATCTCTTCTCGACTTTCCAGGAGAAGGATAAAAAAGAGTAGCAGGTTGTAGATCTGCAGGAACGTCTTGTCACTCTTGTATAGTCGTTCCCCTCGGGACCTGCAAATATGGGGACGCAGTGCCCATCCGCCTCAATCCGCGACTGGCTTATTGCAGACCATTTCACAGTGACGAGGATTTTGACGTGCGCATAACTAGATCTGGATATGACCTTCTTGGCTGTATCAGGCGCCAAAGACCTAAATGTCTGTAGTGGGAATCGGCCGAGGAAGACACTGGGAAAACGCCGACACTAACAGAAGTTTTCAACCTGCTCAGGTGGTATTGGCATACCGATGAAGTCAATTATCTTCTCAGGCGCTCGCAGGTCTAGCAGGCCGGGTAGACTCTCCATTGGCTCCAGAGTCCATGTGTCCTCCGAGTCCGCATCCGATATTGCTGAGGGTAAATTAAGATTGCCATTGTGTCGTGTGGTCTCCTATCCTCGAAAGCCGTCAAGCAGACTGGAACGCATAGTCCAAGCCAGCAGAAGAAAACAAATGTGTTCAGAAAGTTCCGGGATCATCCCAGGGATAGATAAACGAATCGAAGACCATATGCCTGAAAGCTATCACGACGCAAGTCACCTCCTGGATGCGTGATGCTGTTGTCAACAGCTGACTAAACGCAAGACCGTACGGGGCGAGGTGCATGCATTCAGATGGGTCCATGGGTGAAGAGGAGAGTATAGCACGCAAACAATAGAGACTGATTTCATTGGAACGAATTCATGGTGTACAGACTAGAAATACCAATTTGGAATTTAATCATTCATATCCACAAACATGGCTGCTTGACCCAACCCTGTCTATCGTATGCCCAACGCACCGCTGAGGCCCCAGCCGAGAGCATGGCGTGTCGAACAAAGGAAGGAGGACAACAAAAAAGAAGACGACATGAAGAAGGTCGGGGAAGTATTTTCCCAATTTGATATGGTCACGCTTAACCGCTGGGAATCGCGTAGAGCATCTCCAAGGTTTGGGTTTGCAGTCCAGTGTGCGCGATGTACACTGTGGTTTCGATTGGGACAACTGTCACAGACCGGCCATTGCAAATATACTTGTTTATAGTCGGTTATCATGTGTCAATGAACCTATGCCCTCGGCGAAGCATGCTGGGCAGCGAGCCAAGCAACGTATCCAACAGGTTCGACTCGTATAGAGCATGCTCCGCCAGTTTTGCTCGACAACAAAGAGATCGAAATTGAAATGTTGCCTGTCTTGCAGGTATTTGAAGTGAGGGTATGATGTATCCATAATTTGATGTTCATATTTCAGGCATTGAATACTTTTGAGAGGTATTGTCAGCCATTTTGCGACTTGGGGTCAACGAAGAAGCCAGATGGACAAATTACTTCTTTGAAAACACTCACGGCGTCAGAAGCCCCCCAGCCCTAGAATATCAAACATGCCAAATAACGAGGCAGCTGGCTCGGAGGAATAGCCTCGCGAGCCCAGGACGAACATCACTTGAGGATGATTTCCTCACGTTGAGGCGATACATAAAGACACCCTTCTTCCCCGAACGTCCGTACAATGGACGCTGGCTGATCGGGGTTTAGGTAGCTCAGCAGAGCTGCCTAAACAGCCGCAAGCCAGAGTTAGGCATGCGAACCCGCTTGTTATAACAGTCATGACTCTTTGAGTCATTCCCTGAATAACAAGGTGGTGCTTCACCTCGACGCTCCGAAGTCTTGGCGCACATTGCTAGGGCAGTGTTGAAGAACTGCATGGCAGCCTTCCATGAAACATACCCAGATTCCCTGCATGGGCGTAGCAAAGCGGGAGACCGGCCATTCTCCGAGTTGGTCGCAGATACAGACCAACAAGGCATTGGTCGTATCGAGTGGTCTACTGAATGTCAGTGAAGAAGCCTCGAGATGCACCGAACACAATCCGTCACCGTACCTTGCGGATCTTTTTTGTTTCCAGTTATGCCATGGTGCGAGCGGAGAGCTTACTCGATGTTGGCGGGGGCGTTGATCAGAAGCCTCCTAACGAGGTACTCGAGAGCCGGTGAGTTCTAGACATAACCTGGTCATCGCATTAGTATTTCAATCGCCGTGTTTTGAAGGGGGCGACCCATGAAGTATGCCATACTCCCACGCAGTTCAGTTTCCAGAGGGACTGGGTCCCTTATGTCGTTTATCTCATCTGTCCAAGTCTGCCGGCCCGTTGGCGAAGGATACCGAGTGACTTCTCCGTATCTGATTTGATCCTGAACTGGGACGGCACGCTGCAAATGCCGTCGGGCAATGTGAACAACGCCTTGCCAAATGTATGTCAGATGAGGGGCCCAAGGATCGGTTGGCTCAGACACCGAGGAGCATGCCATACATTTCGGGACCGTATTCAAAGGGTGGATGCAGTACTGCCCCTGAAATTGTCATATGTTGTTCCGCTCCAATCTCGGCTCTCAGGCGGTTTCTTATCGTTCAGACACCTTTCGTTCAGTTTTGCGAAGGCTCCCCGGGCCAAAGTCGTGAATTCCGAAGTATACAGAAAAATGTTAAAATGTCTTTGGAACGGGGGACAAGTCTTCCGCTGCGGGCTCCATGTCGCGCAGCGAGACAAGGCCGGTAGTGCCATAGAAATTCTTTGCTGAATGGCACCGAGGAGAGTGACACACCAGATGGTAATTGACCCGATCAGTGATAGCCGGAAACAGAGCCTTTGGCTTCTTCGCACCGCGGTCTCTTCCAGGTGCCTTTTTCTGCTGATGACTCCTGTTGCCTTTCCGACTGACCACCATCTCCAGGAGGAGGCAATAACTGCCATTGCAAGTTGTTTCCTGGAGAGGCAATACCACTGTCCTTGGTTAGCATCAGATTTTGTGTGATCTGTGGGTCGGACTCACCCAAGTTGTTATGGGAAGAATAGCTTGAGCTGGCAAAGGTCCTGCTCAGCCTGTATCTGCTGGACGGACACCTCTTCGAACCCTCCATAATGGTACGATGGACATGTACCTGCTACAGCTCGCACTTTTGTTGTTCAGCGATGTTGTTTTAGTGGGCATTAATCCTCCGCCCCTGCTTAAGTGCATTCTGTTGCCTGTTAGTCGACGACGACCTTAGAAAGTGCAAGCTCAACATACCTTTTTCTTCACAACTTCGTGAGTTGATTTCAATCCATTTGGAGCGAGCGTAGACCGTATGTCCTAGGCCAGGCGCCCACGTTGTTGATAACCTGGTAATTGCCATGCCGCAATGGTCAGTCCTCTTCAATGCGATGGCCTCTGGGGTGGCCGGCTCACAGATTGTAATGTCAACTCGAGCGGGGATGAATCCTTTGTAGACGACTGAAGTGACCAAGCGGGTTGTGTAAGCGGTCAAGTAGCCTTGTTGCTACGAGCCGCTGAGCTAGCCATCTCAAGGGAGTGATTGTAAGGTCACTCTCTGATGACCGAATGAGGGGATAGTAATATGAAACTGAAAAAAGAAGTATAAGTAGATGCGGATAGGGCTTTCTTGGACTACAAAGCCAATTCAGAGCTGCCTGAAGGATGAGAGAAAGAAGACCCCTGGAGGAGGGAGAAGAAGGAGTTATATATCTTTCTCTTGGAGTCCTGATACGTGAATCTATTCGCGTATTCTCGCCTATTCTCTCTTACGTGAATATTTGCAGATTAATTGCGTGAATCTCAGGTCACATTCTCTTCCGTCACAATTCTTTACCATATTCTCTGCCATGATTGTACAGTAGCAGAATCGTGAATAATCACTCTGCCATCACCAAATCAGGCAGGAGGAGTGTATCTCGGACCAACTCCGACAGCCGTCATTCATCCCACTCCCCCCCACTGCTTGGACCTTTTCCCCCGCGCTTTATAAACACCTCAATCTCGTCCGAATTTGCAGAAAGAGAAACCACATATTCAATCCTACATTCAATCTTCGTAAATACAGAAAAAAATCAGATCAATCGAAATGTCCAAACCTACGATCGGCTTCGTCGGCCTGGGAGCCATGGGCTTCGGCATGGCCACCAACCTCGTCCGCGAAGGATACCCCGTCGTCGGCTTCGACGTATTCCCCGCCTCGGTGCAGCGGTTCCAGTCTCAAGGAGGAATTCCCGCCTCGTCGCTTCGGGAATCGGCAGAGGGGAAGGATTTTTATATTTGCATGGTCGCGTCGGCGCCGCAGGTCCAGTCGGTTCTTTTTGGGGAGGACGGCGTTGTACAACGTACGTTACATCCATTGAGATGTGCAATGATAGCCATGAGGAATAAGCTGATAACGAGACGAACAGACCTCCCCAAGAACGCTACTCTCCTCCTCTGCTCCACAGTCCCCGCTTCCTATGCGCAGTCTGTAGCGGCAGAGCTGCAGTCCCGCGGCCGACCGGATATCCGCTTCATCGACTGTCCCGTGTCCGGGGGCGCCAAGCGCGCCGCCGACGGGACACTGTCCATCATGGCGGGTGCGTCGGAGGAGGCGCTGAACAGTGGGCGCGAGATCCTGCAGGTGATGTCAGATAACAACAAGCTGTACCTTGTCCCCGGCGGCGTCGGGGCTGGTAGCAACATGAAGATGGTGCATCAGGTGCTGGCGGGGATCCATATCCTGGGAGCTAGTGAGGCGATGGGCTTCGCGGCGCAGTTGGGGCTGGATGCGAAGACGACCGCTGAGAAGATTATCGGTTCTGAGGCATGGACGTGGATGCATGAGAACAGGTTGCAGCGGATGGTGGAGGAGGATTGGAACCCCGGTGCCAGTGCGCTGACGATTATTCTCAAGGACGTGGTATGTTGTCTTTACCGTGTTTTTTCTACAGATCCTGACTGTCTAGGGTATTATCACGACTTCTGCCCGCCAGCACCACTTCCCGACCCCTCTCTGCTCGACAGCTGAACAAGTCTACCTCTCCGCGCTGCTGCAGGGCTACGGCCCTAAAGACGACTCTGCTATGGTCCGCCAGTACTACCCGAAACCCCTCGCCGACGTGGCCTGCACCGCGGAGGATCCCTCCGCTGCCATCCAGCTCGTCCTCGATCTGATGCTGGGAGTCAACCTCGTAGCAGCCGCAGAGGCTATTGCGTTTGCGCGGTATCTGAACGTCGATCTCGCCATGTTCCACCGACTTGTCAGCGACGCAGCTGGCGCAAGCAAAGTGTTTATGCACAAGGGGTTGGAGATGATCGAGGGGAGAATTGGCGACAAGGCGCCTGAAGGGTCACAGACGCTCGACGAAGCCGTAGCACATATGGAGAAGGTGGTGCAGAAGGCGAGGGATCTGCATTGCCCGCTGCATCTGGGGAATGCGGCGTTGGAAAAGTTGCTGATGGCACGGAGACACGGGCTCGGAGGGGAAGCGAGCACGAGCGTGATTAAGATGTTTGGCCAGTAATTGTACAGTTGTACTAGGTACTCTCTCTATGTAATGCCTTCAATTAATGTCTTCATATTAACCCGTGAAATGCGCGGGATGCCAAATGCGCATTGACGTCAGTCGGACCAACTCCGGACTGAGAGTGGGGGAGTTATCCTCCGGAGTAAACGACCCCATATATAAAAGGCATATATCCGATTGAATCTTCAATCATATACTCTATTCCTCTTATCCTCACTTCCACGCTCACCTTCACCATTTCTACAAAAATGGCCTCCAAAATGGCCTCCAACCGCGCCCTCTCCATCCTCGACCACGCCGCCTCAAACCACTACGGCGTGCCCGCCATGTGCTGCTACAACCTCGAAGGCATCCTGGCCACCGTCCGCGCCGCCGAAGCCAAGCGCTCCCCAGCCATGATCCTCCTCTTCCCCTGGGCCATCCACTACGCCGGTGGGCTGCTCGTGCACGCCGCCGCCGAAGCAGCGCGCAAAGCGTCCGTCCCCATCGCGGTGCACATGGACCACGCGCAAACGCCCGAGATCATCCGCTACGCCGCTGACCTCGGCGGCTTCGACAGCATCATGGTCGACATGAGCCACTACGAGAAAGAAGAAAATCTGCGGCTTACGCGGGAACTGGTGAGCTACTGTCACGAGCGGGGGATCGCGACAGAGGCGGAGCCGGGGCGAATCGAGGGCGGGGAGGACGGAGTCGCAGACACAGCTGATCTAGAGGGGCTGCTGACGACTCCTGAGGAGAGCCGCGAGTTTGCGGATACGGGGATTGACTGGCTGGCTCCGGCGTTTGGGAACGTGCATGGCGAGTACGGGCCGCGGGGGATCCGGCTGGAGTATGACCGCTTGAAGAGCATTCAGGAGGCGGTTGGGGATCGGGTCAAGCTTGTGCTGCATGGGGCGGATCCGTTCACGCCGGAGATCTTTGCCAAGTGCATTGAGTGTGGAGTGTCCAAGGTGAATATCAATAAGGTGTTGAATAATGAGTATGTGCGGGTGCAGCGTGAGAAGTCGGGCCGGGCGCCTTTGACGGCTGTGCTGGAAGAGGCGACGAACGAGATGCAGAAGGCTGTTGAGAGGTGTATGGATATGTTGGGGTCTACTGGGAAGGCTGCTTAATCCTATTGTCATAGAATTGCGATATACATTTTCTTTGCATTCCTCTTTCGATGAAATAATTATAACCCCACGTTTCCCCGCATCTCGGCCGAGGACCGACTCGGCAATCCTCCGTCTCTCTCTATGCCGCTCTCGGGGCAAACACCGATATCCTTACACAACATGCGCATATTGACCCTTCTCAGTATACCTCAATCCTCTACCTCTCACAGTTTTCAATTAAAAAAAGGAAATTGCTATACTGCAAGACAACTGCTTTCCTGGATGCCTGAAGTATCCGTCTCAAGGATCGGTACAATTGGCCAACGGCTTCCCGCTTTCTCAGGAATTCCAATATTTCAAAAGGTGCCAAACCTTGTCGAGTTATTATTGAGCACACAGTGGATGTTCTTCTACTCTTGAATATACATCGATCAGTGTTGGCTCAGAAACCATTAAGGACTTTTCATCTTGATTCCGCCCCACTAAACGATGTCGCGCCGGCTATACCACAACGGACTCAGTGCCATCTGGGAGAGGACCAGAGTATTCATGAAGCAGTATAACTTTTGAGCTTGCTCATGTGCATTTCTCAAAGACACTCAATTTGAACAATTTTCGGACAAGAATACTTCTAACCTGAGTTCGGCGGTTTTAACGGTTATTTGATAATCTTTGAACTAAGAGAAAGTATGTAACCACTCCTAATGTTAATTCGGAAGCACAAAACCAATGTACTATTCTAGCCCTATAGGACTATTTGCATATATCACCAGGCACAAGCTCCATAGTACCATGTTGCCATGTGCATTTTCCCATCATAGCCTAGTACTGCCCTAGCTTACAGTGGATAAGACCCACTGATGGGCCCAGAAGGCTTAGAGACAGCCACAAGCTTAGGTCCATTATTTACATAATAGGCCAGCAGGCAACAGACTGATAATTTCTGGCTCATTCTACCTTAACTTGCACACATGTTTTGATCAGTCTGCATTTATTTAACTACGAACCAAGAATGCCTCATTCAGCTCCCACCTCTAAGAAACCCGAAACCTCCGTCCAATCTAACCCGATGTCGTTCCAGCAAAAGGAAATAGCTGCAGCCTTCTCGTCTTACATCGGCTTTCCTGAGCATCTTATGCAAAAAGCTGGATTCTACAAGCATCCCTTTCTGTATGTCCAATTACCATATTGACTACCTCGATTGACGTGTCATAGATTCCTCGCCTCTATTGTCGTGTTCATTTGATGTACTACCGCACCTGTCAGTTTGTATGTGCGGTGGATACGTGCTATCTGCACACTCTGTTTCTGGGCTTTTTCTGTTTCTCGTTTTTCTGTCTTTTGGTCTTTCGTGGTGAACGGCGAGACGAGATTCTTCGGGATGCTGGGTTAGCGGGAATAATAGAGAAGTAGCGGATTGATGGGAGCAGTTGGTATTGGATTATCCGAGAGTCCGCTCGAGGGATTTTTAATTCAGTCTGTCTTTTGTGAATACTATGAGATGAGAATGATGGGAAATGCGTTGATTACCTCGGAGGATATGGTTTTTATATGCCAAAAAATGTTCGGTTGTACAGACTATACTTCAGTATATATTAGTTATTAGGTCTAGAGACATATATTAAAATAATGTTTCCTCCATATTCTATTCTTCAGGACATATATCACATTATCCAAGGCATCATTGGGTGTATACGTATTCATATAGTGCTAGAGTGGCTATGCTTATAGCACTATAAGAGGGAACACACTAGAACAGTATCCAAGTAATTAGTCATGCATGATAATGAACACTCCTTTCAATCATTCACCTCAATTACTCACAACCAGATCATGCTATCCCATGACGCACTGTAAGTCATCCAGATATCTAAACCCTTATGGGAATAGAAACTCACTATCACTATAGATAACCACAATGACGACAACCTGCCCCTGCCCACCCCAAATCAAACACCTCTTCTCCACCCTCCCAAAACAAGGCCCCTTCGAATTCAGCTTCCTCCCCACCATCACTCAACCCCTCACCGACGTCTCCCAGTCCATTGAGGCCTGTAAACACCCCTACCACAACTCCAACCAAGACCTAACTACTCCCCTCGTCGATCTCTCCGACGCAGTGCTCTCCCTCTGCCATGCAGCCTGCACGACCTACCATCTCCTTGATGATGAGCTAGGTACCGCCGCAGGTAACGGCACCACTACGGCTACTCCTACTTCTACGGCCGATGCAAGCTCCCCGTTGAGATGCACCAAATCACCCATGGCGCTGGGCAAACTCACCCTCCACGCCGAGGAGGAGACCCTCCTCGCGCGACAGGTGGTCTACGCCGTGCTTACTCGCCTGAGTACTCTCCTGCGCAGTGTGTATGTCCTTGGGAAGGAGGCGGCGGGCGGCGATCCGGCGAATGGTGCGACTGCTACTGCTACTGCCACTGTCGTGGTGGACTTTGACTTGGGGATGGCGTTGGGGAGGAGGTCGGGCCTGTATGGTCGGGAGAGCGACGGGCCTGTCAGTCAGTGTTTGTCGAGGGTGTTGGCGCTGTTGGGCAGATTGTTTCCCGCGTGAAGACGCAGGAAATAGTATAGTACAGATGGTTAAAACAAGTGGGTTATGGGATATTGTACTACAAGAAATTAGACAAGTAGAGCATGAAGTTCAAGAAATTAAGCTCGCTCATTGGCGTAGGTTAGAAAATATCGTCGTAACACTGCGTGGGTATCTCAGTCATTTCTCGTTTGTAAACGGGAAGCATTCACTCCCACAGTTGAACCTGGCCGCGAAGGTAGTCCAATCGTTGCTGAGACTCTGCAAGTACTAATTCGGCAGCGCGGTAGATGCAGTCCCCGGGGCGCGTACTAGTGGTGCGTCGCACATCCTGTACTTTGACGGCAAGCTTCTTTATCCGCATGAGGATAAGCTGTTTGAGAAAGTACTGTTTGGTATCCTCATCGAGTTCAGTGTTCCCTACAAGTAATGGAATGAGGCACACATACGGCCGCCCGCCAGCACGGTCCCCGGCCGGGGGTAGTTGTGAAGTTCGAGCCCAGGAACTGACTGTTCGCTGACTGGAGCGCGCGCTTTCTGTGTCAAGCAGGGTCTTCTCCTCGATGATCCAGTCGAGCATCTGGATTACGCGCTCAGTAATTGCCGACATGAGGAGAACAGACGAGCGGTTACTGAGACACGCGGAGCAGGCCAAAACCCGGTCGAGAAGGCTGCGCACGTGGCTTTCGACCTGCAGTATCACGTCGATTGAGGGACGAGTACTCTCGGGAAGCGACTGGCGCAAGAACAAGAGCTGTTGAAGAAGCGCCGTGTAACATTTGGCTCTACAGTCCCCACACTCACTGCTTGTGTTCGATGCGTCCACACTGAGTGTGGGCAGCTGGTCAACGCCCAATACATGCTCTGGATGTAGTAGACCGGGGCTATTGTAATCGGACAAGAAAAGAGATAAATCGCCCCACGCATCGGACGGAGAGCCCCTGATATAGCCCGTATGATAGGAGTTTGAGTTGTTGTCTCTGGCCGTCGGATCCTTGTTGAGTGGCGAGCCTGCTAATAACGCTTCAAAAGATGGCTGAAAAACGCTGTTGGTGGGATTGATGTTGTCCGCAGTAATTCCACCGGCCAGCAAAGGTGTATCATCACCGCGGACATCGGCCATGACGAGGTTCTGGCCGTTGACCGTTGAGCTAGTCGGCTCTGTGATTATTGTCCTATCTATATCGCATCCTGAATTGACCGCGGAATATGAATTCCCGTCGAGTGTCGGCCTCTTTCGCGGCCGTCCAGTGCGTCGCTGCGGGCTGTAGATGCATGGTTGGCGATGACGAAGGCAGCGATGGCACGAGGGCTTGTGTTGACTGCACTTGACCTTGGCTTCCTGGCAAGAATCACATGACTTGCGGAGACGCTCCCAGTTTGCAGTGACCTCAGCTTGTGTACACAATGGAGATGGAGATGAAGGAGTCGAGGGCATGATTGAGCTTTGTTGGTTGTGGTTGTTTACGATGTTACCGATGGTGCGATGATTGTCTGAGGGTGAAGACTGGAAAAGATGGGAGAGAATTACTAAGCAGACATCAGTCACCAGTTGGCGGCGCTTCTCGGCCGCATGCAAGACAGACGTTAACTGCGTACCTAATGGCGCCAATGTGGCATCTGGATGATCTCCGAGGATTATCACCCAGGTCCCGTGCGATAACTCTTAATGAGCAATTCCACTTTGAGAGGATAGCGCCGGTGATTCTGACTGTTGAATTTCATCCGGAAAAGCCGGGAACCCCCCCTCTTCTTCTGCTGCTCAATTCCTACAACTCTAATATATTTACATGAAGAACGTCTTCTGCAGGGATTTTCAGAGACAGACAACGCTTACATGTACTTGGGGGCAGGTCGATACTATCAGCCCAATCGGCTCATTGGCAAGAACAAGGATGCACTATAACGTCAACTGATAGCAATTCTTGATTCAGCAACTCTACATACATCGCTACGGTAAATGATGTAAAAATTTCCATAAACTATACACAACATAACTATTGATGCGTTGGCGGTGTTGGACAAGTTTATGCCGCGCACACACCCGCAAAACCCCCAATGTCCGAGACATAGCCGACAGGCAAGGCGTAGATCAAAGTCATCCAGTACGCCGTCCATATATACCCTAGGCCACGGACAAAACCTTGTAAGTCATTAGTAAACATAGCTGAGCTAACAAAAGGGACGAGAAGACGAGAACCCACCATTATCCCGGATTCCAACTTTCATACCATAATGTTTGATCAAATCCTCCACCGTGATAACAGCACCATACGCTGGCATCTGCCAAAACATTCCCCAGCCGTAGCGCAAAGACGGGATTAACAGCGGACACGCATAGTGCTGGACTCCGGAGACCAAGTATCCGACATACAGCTTGGTATACCTGTACACCAGCGTCCCTTTCTCCGCACCCAGGGCTCCAGCTACCACCTCGCCAGACCGAGTGAACATGTGCCGGAAGACCTGATGCCAGACTCTCCCCCAGAAATTCCGAACAGTGTACAAGTCCGCCGGACTGCCGAAGAGGTCTGGCCAGCGATCCGGCGTGGAAAGACACAGCCCCACGAAGAGCAGAGAGGCCTTTCGATATTCGCTGTCCAGCATGAGGCTGTCTCGAAGCAATTGAGCCGCGACCAGCAGATGTCGGTGTAGCATGGGCAATGAACGGAAATCGATACTAGCCTCGGTTGAGTGGTGAGCCGGCCAGAACGCGCAGAACGCATACTTGCGCACCATGTCGGATATGTACTGGTTCAGAAGGATTCTTCCGGTGTTTGCAATCAGGAAGTCCCTACCAATGCTCTATCGGCAGCTGCACCGGAATACTCAGGGAAACATACATACCGCCGAGATTGGGTCTGCTCTGCGCCTCGTTTGAGATGCTGGTCAGCGAAATTCCAACCCTGCCCGCGCCAGCACGACCACAACTCCACGCTCCATTTGACCTTGTTCAGGAATCTTGAGTTGCGTAAGATCCCGCCGTCCGCACTGGCGCTGTCAAGCTTCGTCGCGGTTTTAGTCGTCTGGTAGTAGTCGATTTCGGGGGTTCCGGTTAGGAACATTAGCATCCAGCGCACCGTAATTGAGATCATGAAGATCGCATCCATAAAGAAAGCTGGGCCCGATAACCAGTGGGTGAGCACGTAGAGCCACAGACATGTGAAGGCTGTCATCCCGACGATGACTCGCGTTGGGCCCGGGGAGGGAATGGTGGTGAGGATAGCGACGGCCATGAAAGTCGGCGTTAATAACTTGGTGGCCCAGAAGGGCATCTCCTCGCGCGAGGAATATGCATCTTGCATGTTCCGGAGAGTGATTTCCATGTCGCGAATCAAGTTGTCGAACATGTCGCTGGGCAGTCACAGTTCCCAAGCACTACCTGCTGGCAAGTGGCTAGAGAGGGATTCCTCGTGTATAATCATTCTGACAGACTTGTATCGATTGGATATATAGAAGTCAAGAGTAAGTTGGTTCGTGGAGAGGCCATCGGCAGCAGACATTAGGGCAAGGAAAACCCCCCGATCTCGGGAAGTTTTTAGTCAGCACGCATCGGGACCTTTTCGGTCTCTGACTGCTGAGAACAGTAGCAGAAGGCAGCAAACAATGTTCTTAATAATCATCAAGTAGTAAATCCATGATCCGATGAAGAACTAAGCAATAGTAGATCCCGTCTCATGCTGTGGTGTTGTTCCTGCTGTGAAGTATAACCACCCTTTGCCCGTTTCGGCAATTCCTCCAGCCCTAATCCCCCGTCGAGCACCCGAACACAGCCTTTAGAATGGAATCAGTTAATTGTATCAAATGCCCTTGTTTTATTTGCCTGAATGTAATTTCTAATCAGAGTCTCATCATCCCATGACATTTGTCAGCGCAGTTGACGTCTAGAGACACGGTATATATCGTGTAATCCCAAGTTAAGTCAGGATTATTCCTCCTGCGACGAGCTATCCCGTGCAATACATAACCTTCGAGGCTAGGACTTTGTTGAGTATTCTCAAGCAATACGTCAACATGGCTGCTCTCTCAGACACGGAGATGCAGCCGTCGAACTTGGACATCCCAACAGACCCAGAGAAACAAGAGAGTAGCTGTTCGGAATGCGATTTGACCAAGGATACTTCGAAGAGTCCACGCAATGTCCATGGCTTCCTATGGGTGACGGTTATCCTGGCCATCTACAGCTCGACGTTCCTCTTTGCCCTCGATAACACCATCGTCGCCAACATCCAGCCCGCCATCATCAGATCACTGAATGGAGTCGACAAGCTAGCCTGGTCAGGCGTCGCATTCGTGACGGCCTCCAGCGCCACCGTCCTGACCTGGCTCCAGATCTTCAACCAGTTCAACATCAAGTGGATGTACATTTTCTCAATTGCCGTCTTCATGGTGGGCTCCGCCATCTGCGGAGCAGCGCAGTCAATGAACATGCTCATCGGGGGCCGTGTGATCTGCGGCGTGGGCGGCGTGGGCCAGTACGTCGGCGTCATGAATTTCCTCCCTCGCTTGACGTCGATGCAAGAACGACCGATGTACGTCAGCGCGATGGGCCTGACCTGGGGTGCGGGCACCGTGCTCGGTCCCATAATCGGGGGGGCGTGTACCGATAGCTCAGCGGGCTGGCGGTGGTCGTTCTACATCAATCTTTGTGTCGGCGGCCTGTTCACCCCGGTGTACATCTTCTTACTGCCTTCGCTGCATCCGCAGCCCGTGGGGACGCCTGTTACCGAGCGGCTGAAGCGGATGGATCTGCTGGGCTCGCTCATCCTCATGGGTGCCTTTGCGGCGGGAGTCATCGGCGTCAACTTCGCTGGGGCCATGTACCCATGGGACGCACCAGGCATCATCGTCGCTCTTGTTCTTGGTGGTGTGCTGTTCATCGTCTTTGGAATCCAGCAAACGTTCTGCATCTTCACCACCGAAGAGACTCGCCTCTTCCCCGTCGAACTGGTCTCCTGGCGCAAGCCGCTCCTCACTCTCCTCTTCATCTGCGGCTGCTGCACGGGAGTCTGCGTCACAGTTCCCACGTACATCATCCCTCTGTACTTCCAGTTCACTGCGTCGGACGAATCCCTCCAGTCAGGCGTCCGGCTACTCCCGTTCGTCTGCCTCCTCGTCTTTAGTTGCGTCGGCGGCGGATTCCTCACCTCCCGTCTGGGATACTATATTCCGTGGTACATAATGGGAGGAGCGTTGTGTCTGGTTGGCTCCGCGCTGATGTACACAATCCACCCTCACAGCAGCGCGGGAGCTATCTACGGGTACAGTGCGCTGATCGGTCTGGGAGCGGGAATGTACCTCCAGCTAGGCCACGCCGTAGCGCAGGCCAAAGTCAAGCCTGAAAAGGTCCCGGCCGCCGTGGCGTTTACCACCACCGCGCAGCTGAATGGACTGACGTTTGCGTTGGTCATTGCACAGTGTGTCTTTGTCAATGAGGCTGCGAAGCGTAAGTCGCTTTCCCTTTGTGTTGTGGGCTGTGCGCTTATGGTTTTATTGCTAGGAATTGCATGGGTTCTCCCGCACGAGGCTCGCTCGACCATCATCGATGCTATTTCTGGAACTGGGTCGACGTTCGTACGGGATCTGGATGGGACCACCAAAAGCAGGGTTCTCGCTGCGATTGTTACGGCCATTGACCGGACATATATCCTCTGCATTGTGGCTGGTGCGATCACCCTGCTTGCGACATTTGGTATGAAATGGGAGCGGCTGTTCATTACTGCTTCGGCTGCTGCGTGAGGCTTTCAAGATATGGTGCATACGCCCTGAAGCAGCTAGGGGAATATCATTAATTTAATTTCTTCTCTTGCTTTCCGTGAACTCCTTAGAATTTCTGTGGGCCGCATATGGGACAACAGTTCACAAGAATCCAACTGCCCTCCAGAAACTATATTATTGCAATGTCTCATCCACTCCTCCTTTGAATGCATGTCGAACCAGCGGGATGTAAATCTTTGAACTAAAGCCACCGAGTTGACAAAATCGGGGTATACTCAATAAACCCAAGGCAATATCCTCCATCTAACGATCTTCTTGTACTCCTTCCAATCATCACCATACTTCTTCGCGCACATGGCGTCGTCTCGGCGTTCGCGGTGGATTAACAAGATCCCAAAGTAGAGCACGTAGAAGTAGGTAAAGATCATACCCCAACCAGCCGCCGGTCCTTGAACAGCCACCCGGCCATCCAGCATAGGAACAGCCTGCGAGTCATCTGTTACACTGCCTGCTGGTAGAATCAAGTAGCCAGCGAGTCCCGTAGGCAGACTGAAGGGCAGCGCCTGCAACCAGTCCCCAAAGTAATTGATATGTCTGGAGACACCCCACCATCCAGCCGTGAGGAGCCGGGTTCCCCTTTTGGTTTGGATGTAGGACAGATTAGCAACGGCCGGGTTGTCTGGCTGTGTGCGGAAAGCGTGCTTCTGGTTATTGGCGGCCTTGAAGATATAGATACCTAGCGCGAATACAGCACTGACAGCCGCGATTCGCGGCCAGCCAAGATGGCCAGGGTAGGCGGAGAGGTAGCGGCACTGTGTTGAGTAAAGGAACGGTACCCAGACGAGATCACCGAACGAGAGCATGAAGCCCATGCCGTCAGTAGTGATATCCATCATGGTCAGGATGCTGGATTCGTTGTATTGGCTGCTCAGAACATAATATGCTTGTACGGCTGTCGTGAAGATGATGCTATCAGAGACGTAGCCATAGGTGCGATACTGCTTGGCTACAAAGGCAAGATCGAGCAGGATCCACCCGGTCAGACCAGGGCAGACTTCGCACCAGGTCTTGATGTCGACTTCCCCGAAGAACGGCAGAGTGACGCGAGGGTTAAGCTCACGGCCGATGAAGAAGTCGTAGATCGGGTTACCGGTGGCACCGCCGGCAGCTAACTCTCGAAGGTCCCGGTTGGGGTAGTTGGTATTCACAGTAAAACTATAGGCGTAGAGAAAAGCAGAGATTGCATATGCGATTAAGATGTTCGCTGTCAGAAGCTGCACATAGTTGTCGGTGATGTAAGTCCAGACGGGGAAGTCGGCGCCTTGAAGATAGGTCCCTGCAGCGCAGATGGCTAGAATAACCACACTTGCAGAGAATGCTAGAACTCTTAGCTCTGGCAATGCACAGAAGGGTATGCGACGGGGTCTATATTTACCATTGAACCGGTACAATAGTGGACGGCCATGGTGCACCAGCTTAGTGCCATAGGCTTGTTTGGCAGGAAGGATTCTCCAGATAAGTAGCCCCAAAATATAGTAGGCGATAGTAACGAGTGTCACTTCCCAGCTGAAGAAATTGGCTATACTGGCATTAACTAGTCCTGTGTCTGCTTTCACCTTTTCCCAGGTGATGGAGCGAATGTGTAGGAGAGACGGTATTGGGCAACCCGCGACATCATTACAAGCAAATGCAAAGACGTACAGCAGCAATGGCAAGCCAAAGGTGATGGCCGCGGCCCCCAGACTGTGAGACCAAGAGGTTAGCATTGATTTGAATGAAGAGGAATTTTCCTTACGGTCCGCCAAACTCATATTCCGTTGTCATTCTGAGAATTACAACCCTATCAAATTGTTTCACAGGAAATTGATTGATTTCAATGTTCGAGAGGACAAGAATCCCCTTTCAAAAACAACCTTTTTACGTGGGCCGTATCGTGTATTCACTAATCATACCCCTGTCCAATGAAAAAGGTCGTGTCAAAAGTACACTGTTTACCTTATCCCTTGTTTGGAATAGCGTGCGTGCACAATTTAAATTGTCTTGACTCTTGTATGATCTAAGGTGGATTTTCTGTAGAAAATAGGCAGCAATAATACCATGACTGGGATGATGGTATTTCAGTGGTTACCCTTAATATGGTTGCAGATTGGCTATGGTCACTTTTTTAGTCCAGTGTGGTGAAACTACTTAATAAGCCCTTAGCAGTTATATGACTCTCATATAATATTAGATTTTTATTTTAACTTATACCACCTCTTTTATTACCTTTACCTTTACCTCACAATTACCTTATATTAATATGGCTATGCTTACTTTAAATATCAGTATTACTACTTATTAACTAATTAAATAGTAATTAGGATTAGAGAAAGCTAATAATTTACTTAAGAAGTAGTACTAGTAGTATCTTTATAAGGTTAAGAGTGGAAAACTTATATTACTTAACTATAAAATAATAAGTCTTAGTATTACTCTAAAAAGCACTTTCTAACTAATTTCTAACTAGTTTTAAACTACTTATAGAATAAAGATGATAAGCTGAAGATTTTTTATAATAAACTCTTCTATTAGGTCCTAGACTGTGTAAGAGCTTAGGTAAGTATATTTATAAGTCTATCTAAGTACTTACTAACTAGTTAGGAACTGCTTAGAAAAAATATACTGTAATAAATAATCTCTATACCTATTTGCTTACCTATAATGGTGTTAAACTAGAAGAGGGGCTAGTTAGTAGATATATAAAATAGAAGGAAATTAATAAAGTAATTAGTAGATAATATTAACTAATTATAGAGTACTTAGGAACTGATTAGGAACTGCTTAGAGTTCTATAAAAGTCTTTTTACTAGTGCAGAACCCTAGAAGGTAGTAGAGGGTAGTATTTCTAGCACTAAAAATACTAGTTCTTCTATTCCTACCCTGCCTGTGAAGAAGGATGGTACTATAAGTAGTTCTAAACTACTTCTAAAGTATTTAGAAACTAGTTACTAACTACTTAGGTTCATGTAACTAATATATATAAGAAAGTTACTAAGCTTAGGCACAAGGTACCTTATAACTCTTATAGAAAATATAATAACTACTATAAGGATATAAATAAATATAATTATTTTATTTCTCTTTAATTATAGTTTAGTCTGCCCAAGTCCTATATTATATATAGAGATAGAGGAGGAATAGGGTGCTAAGGCCTAAATTAGTTTATAACTAATTTATAAGTAGTTAATAGTCTTTTTATTTTTTATAGTTAATAAGTATTAGGGGTCACTTCTTAAAAGAATAGTAGGTTATAGAGAAGGACTAAGTAATTAAAAACTAATTAGAAAATAGTTACTTTATATTATTAGTAAAAGTAAAGTAAGAGTAAACTCTAAGAGTAAGTCTATAGAAGTATATATATATTTAAAGAGTAGTAAATACTAAGTAGTTATTAACTAGTTATTAAGTAGTTAGAAATAGTTACTTTATATTATTAGTAAAAGTAAAGTAAGAGTAAAACTCTAAGAGTAAGTCTTAAAGTATATATATATTTAAAGAGTAATAAAT